TTTCCTGGGTTCGAACCAGTGACCTTGCTGTGTGGGACAGCACTTGAAATGGACAGGTCACACTGCCTCAATCAATTAGATTAGATGGCTGTGTGGCACAACACAAGCACTGCTTATGCAGCCTCTCTGACTCACCGGGCCACTGCCTCAGCGGCTATGACATAGCAATGCTGCGCACAGACCAACTGTGCATGGACCAGTGTGCACAGCCGGCCCTGAACTCTTCATGTATATAAACTGGCCTCTGCTACCCTAGGGACCTCAGTTTCAATCTCTTGTCCCTAGGCCAGTAAGCACCTGTACATACTTACTTTCCTATGCTAACTTACTTGTCCCTAGCCTTAGGTTTGAGCTTGCTCACCATCACTTTGTTCAATCCAGTCGAACACCCCCAGCTTTTGGTTTGTTTGCTCCTTGTCGCTTGACCCTAAGTTGCAACACTTACATCATATAACTACAGACGGAAGTCAACAATGCAGCCTTTGCCACATTCACTGCTTTGAGCACCTCAAGCTGCCTATCTCGTATCATTACGGCAGTCAAGATGCTTGGTACTGCGTGCAAGAAGGCGAACAAAGCGGCCACTTCTAAGGCAAAGGCAGCCAACGGTGATCACATGGGTTCAGAGAGCAAAGATGTTTGAAAAGAGTTCATATTTCGATGCTACATACTTTTCAGTACACGTACGAGTGTCCGGTCTGCATTACAACATCAGAATCAAACTTGGGAGTGAAATTGTGTTTTTGGGAACCCTGATCCATCATTTCCGGACAAATCACCGATTTTTGACACCCTAGTCCAAAAAGATGCAAATTCTGGACATTTTGGCCTGAATCAGGTGGCAGCCTGATTTTTTCCGGACATATCAGGCCGAAAATCGAAATTTTCTGCCATACAAATCTGCCAAATTTTCAGAAATCGGGATCATGGTTCCCCCCCTATATTCGGGGGTCCTGGACTTCGCCGAAATCCAAAACAGGAACGAAGCGATAGAGCACGTGTCACGTGATCTGATCACAAAATCAACAATCAAGCGCCCCTGCCAGAAATATTGGGGGGCGCTTGAGGCATCCCCCGAGAAGGGAGATGGTTAGATCTCCGCTCCCGGGGGATGGTTCAGTCTCCGTACAATCGTCCCCGGTTGTCCCGCATAGGGGCTGAATTGGCGTGTCACGGTTACAGGGTCAAAACACTTGGTTGAGTCGATACGGTACGCAACAACGCTGATACCCCTTGAGTGAAACAAACGAAATAAAATATGCATCAAACTTCAGTCACTATCGCTGCTACTGCCATCCGAGTCCTTGTCCTGGTCGTCATCTGTCGAACTCTCGTCATCACTCTCTTCGTCATGCCGCTTCTTCACTGTCCCACCCCGCATGAGCGCCATCTGACCCGCCAGCGAATCCTCCTCCGGTTCCGAGATATCGTCATCCGAGTTCTGATCATCCGTGTTGAGCACAGAGACGTCATCGACCTTCCACTATTCGAACCGATGTTTTAGCTTGTTGGCCAAAACACGTAAGGAGCTATACGTACCATGACATCGCGTGTCACTTCTTCGCCAACGAATGTATCGCTAACAACATGCACCCTCCAATGGAAGGTACCGGTTGCAGGCGGCCCCTGGAACTGCATCTTGTACATGCGGTAATTCGATCCAATCGGTACATCCGCAATCTTCATCGGAGGCACCACAAGCTTGTTCGTGCGCACATCAGCCAGCAAGACCCACCAACTTGGCTTGCGATTCTGTCGTGGTGATAAGCGGCCGACACGCTGTATAAATGGCTGGAACTTACGGAAGGCCAGAATGGAGCGTGTGCCCAGCCACTGCTCGTCTCTCCGCTGAGAAGCGTCTCAACATCGCCCTTACCAGCCAAGAAATCTTGCTCCCGCGTGTCCTCCGCTTTGTGGTCAGCCTCGACGTCTGACACAGGCTTCACTCCCGAATACGAGGGAATCCGCGCCTTCAACACGAAGGAAATAAATGCCGAAGGCGTGATGTATCGCTCGCCCAACACCTTGAACGCAGCATCGACAATCTCCACCTTGCCCCAATTCTGTGCGGCCTTCTTAATCTCAGGCAATCGCTCGTCGCCCTCTTTTTCGAAAGATTCAATGAGCTGGTCTACGGCATTGAAGCGAGGAGAGAGCTTAGCGGACTCGTCCATGCTGATACCAGGAAGCTGTGCAAGTCTGAGTTGATCCTGGCCAGGAGGGAGAGCTTGAGCAAGGTATGCGTATAAACGCATGGCAGCAAGTGTTGGCTGGAGCCAATTGCGTGTGATGCTGATATTGAGCATTGAGTTCAGGAGCGTAGGTGTTTGCAGTAGCAAATGCGCTTGTTCTGAATTATGTTAGTAGATGCATACGTCCTTGCTAAACTTCCGCTCACCTTTACGGAGAGTAGAATTCGTCACTGGAAGACGCAATAGATGGGCATACAAGAGTACGAGTGCCCTGCGGCGGCTCTCATGACTGCCAGGTATTGCCTCAGCAAGCTTCTTCAGTTCGCTCCACTTGACATCCAGCTGCTCTTGGATCTTTGCCTCGAGTTCAACAAGCTCGCTCTCCTGCTTGGACGCCTTCACGTGCGGACGCTCCCACTCAAATGCCTTCCCGAGCGACCCGATCACGTCGTCAATACCAGACTCTTCGTTGAGCGTTTTGAAGAAAGTCGCGGCGCTGCGGGCATTCACGCCGTCCTTGGTCTTTTGTCTGTTACCGAACCACCAGCGGCCCTATGTGGATGTGTCTGATTATGATGCGTGGCGCGCTAAATAGTTGCGTATATCACATACCACCATAGCAGGCAACGCCCCGCCAAAAATCAGACCATATGCGCCAAGAACCCAGATGTTGTTCCCGCTCTCAACGATCCACTTCGGAAGTGCAATACCCATCGAGACTTCCTGGCGACCATCGGGGTGACCATACATTTCCCAGTTTTTACGAATAGTCTCGTCAGTCAACCTATCCAAGAACGCATGAGCACCAGTTTGCTATATTGTGCCCACCTGCAGAGCAGTAACCTCCCCTTAGAGTGCAGTTTAAGAGACGTACGATTTGTATGCTTTCGTAATCTCAACGAATTTGGCTTCCACTGCCTCGATAGTCTCGTTGATGCTCAGTTTTACCTTGTCTGGGTGGCTATATAGACACGCGTCAGCAGAGTCAGCAGGAGTAGACACGCGCGGATGTCACGGACAATTTGCGGGAGAGCTTCTTGTAATGTGACTTGATCGCCTTGACGTCTACTCCCTGACACACACATACAGTCATGAGGTGAGGCTACAGATATCGTAGCACTGCTTTAACTCACACTCCGCAGCCCAAGGATCTCAAATGGATCGTACACCTTGTTTTCGACCTCTGTCGTAGCAACTTTGTAGGCGAGGAACGCGACCGCTGTCCATCCTACAATGACGAAGATAGTTCTACATTGCGTCAGTCAACAAACGGAACCCGGCATCAATACTGGCAGAACGCACTTTCGCCTTAACTTGGGCGTGAATAGAGACCCTCTTTCCCGCTTGCGAATGTTCTCGCGTTGCTTGACACATTGACGACATTGACAGCCAGACACGGTGGGCGACTCTGCCGGACAAGAGTAAGCACACCAGGGACAGCTAGCATATACCAATGCACACACTTCGTGATGGCAATGAGGAGAGCGATAGCGGGATGAGGATAATAGACAAGAAGGTAAGCAGGAAATACGCGGCCATGTTGCCTGCCTCGTCATAGCTGTAGTTGGCCATGTTGGCCTAGAGGTACAATAGAGTAGGGTGCCGAGAATAGGGATATCGTAGCAACACGCAGTGGTAATTAACGAGGGACTGGAGGGCCGGGGGCAGCGACGGCGACGGCGAACACGTCGAGGACACGTCGACGGCGAAGAGTGAGTTGGTCCCGCTGGCGTCCAAGTGATCGTAAGCTCTAAAGTAACGTGGGAATTGACGGCGCGTCTTTGCTCGCATGAAACGCGTCTCAGACGCGTCCGCTCACGGCCTGCAGCTCCCTCGTCCCGATGCGTATCAAGCTCGAGAGTGTCCCTCCTTTGCCGCTTGTCAAGGCCTGGTTTAGTGTACACTCTGCGACCACCGTCAGCGAGCTCAAATCTGTGCTTTGCTCCGACCTTCCAGCGTTTCTGGATGGACAATTGCGTGGGGGAGATATCCGGCTTCTCCTGGAGGATTTCGAGTTGCTGGACTCGAGCCCAATTGATGTAATAAGGGAAGGGGACTTGATCATGTACGTTTCATTAGTAACCACTATTATCCTACCGTACGAACTCTCATAGTAGCCGACTTTGACAGTGTCAAGCGCAATCCTTCCGTCACGTCGAGCAATAAGCGAAAGGCGCCGGAGACTGGTACGCACTGCCTATATTCTCGAGAATACATGACACTCACTACTGCAGACCTGGAATCTTTTCGCAAGCGTCCCAAGCACGCCAATGAAGCGTCTCGGCAAGCAGACCGCGCACCCTCCCACAAATTGCAGACAATTGAAAATAAAGCAAGCGCAAATTCTGGGGCAAAGCCGTCATCCTCAGAGGATTCAGAGCCAAGTTCCGGCTCATCTTCTGAGTCTGAGTCTGAGACCAGCAGTGGCGAATCCGAGTCGGAATCTGAGTCACACTCGGGCTCGGCTTCGAGTTCGGAATCCTCATCGTCTGATGAATCTTCCTCTGCATCTTCTGCTCCCTCTGTGCGTCCATCTCGACATCACGCTGTCGCGGCCTTACCGCCGAAAGCCGAGCTAACAGCAAATGCTGCTCGCTCGAAATCGTAAGTTTCACATCCTGGATCGCTCAAAATCAAACTGATATATTGTGTCGCAAAGAGTACCAACCCTTCCTCATGTACCACCAGGCCTTGGGAAGCCGTCCACTCAAAGTCGCAACATTCGCCGGCGGCGGAAACGTCTGTACGAGCGGTTAGCAGCAACCGCAGAGCCGGCTAGCGTGAACGCAATTCCGCTCGGTACGCGAGCCCCGGCAACGGGGGCGGGTTCATCCGTACCCTCAGGGCCGTCCGCACAACCAGCGCAGAACGAGGCGCAGGAGGCACCGCGGCAGCCGGTCCTGATGGCGTCCCTGCAGAACAAGAACAAAAAGAAGGGCTTCAGAAAGTCCATGTCCGCCGCTGTTCCCGCGAAGATCGTGTTTACTGATCTGGAAGACGAGACAGCGGTCGTCGACGAGGCCATGCAAGAGGCCATGCCGTTCACGAACACGGCAGACCGAGACCGTGGTGTTTTCATGGTGAATGCGCGCCTGGTCCCGCCGTCGGAGAAGCAGGAGCGCGGTCTACTGCCTCTAAACATGTTCGTCACGAGCGTCGACGTGGAGGAGGGCTTGTATAGTAAGAAAGGAAAAAAGAAAAGGAACCAGGAACAGCGACGACCAGCGGAGGTTCCGGATGTAGGAATGAATGCGGGAGGCAATTTTGAACTCCCATATGACGACCCGGAAGAGTTGGTCGAGTCAAATGGGCTAGAGGAACACAGCGCTCGTTCGGGCGAGAGACCGATGCCCGTTCGCGGAAGCATTGAAAAGACATGGGCGTCGCTCGCCAAGATCACCGCTGCATTCCAGTCTCAGGTTGGCGCTATTGTTGGATGGAAGGTATGCGCCATCCTTCTATGATGATGCGATACGCGAATGAACAATTTGCAGGAACTTGGTATCAACCCTAGAACATATACGCCCGAGGTGCTTCTTAACATTGGGCGCGTCGTCAAGAACGATGAGCAGCTCGTTCTGGAACCTGTCTTTGAGGAAAAGGAGACAGAGGTGTGTTTCGCAGGGGCCATCGTCACTCGAGAAGACACTTTTGAGCAGGCATACGACTGGAAGGATGTCTTGCAGGGGGAATGGCGGATTGCATCGTGACAGTAATTCACATGTGTCGCGGAAATCACACTCATGCTTGGAAGATAGATGATGCGAGCCCGTCCGCAGCCTGAAGGTCAACTCGACTCCGCGTTCATGATGGTGATAGATCGGCATCATTTGTAGGGCTCTCGCCGATACTCAACGTCCGAAGACCGAGTCCTTGTACATGTTCGATAACGCGCTTTCATTGTTATCTGCTGCGTGTTGGTCTATGTTATACTTGGGGCGATTCCCGATTTGCATCTCCCTGTGGCTATGCTGCTTTGCGACATGCCACCGCGTGTCTGATTGTAAAGCGGACCTTTTTGCAAGTGCGGGTTATTTGAAGACCAAGGTCCGTCTGATCATACATCGGGGAATCGATTTCTGCCTCTTGCCGACCTTCCTCAAATCACAGTAAGCAACTCACATGGAGTTGAGCCCTAGTGAGACTAGAATTGCGTACGCTGACCGCTGTTGATGCATCTCATCCCGTCTACGCCTCTCATGAATCAATTCAGGTTCGCCAGCAAATATCAACTTGCTGCCGTCCTTGGTGAGATGCCAGTAGCTTCACGCTGAATGCTTCGTATTAACAGCACAGTCTTGCTTGTCTATGAGCATATCTTGACTCTATCTCTCGAGATAGAGCTTGCTTGGATGACGGGCTCAACACCCGCGAAGCTCGTGTTTCTCTTCAATCGATATACTGCTTTGTCCTATGCTTTCTATGAATTTGTTCTAAGTGCACAGCCCTCTCTGAGTAACTCGGTATGCTCCACCTTTGACACATTTCCTCCCATGCCTCGCTGATACCTGCCCCTATTGCCGATACAGATGTGTGTGCATTAGCCATATCCAAGCTCCATAGATTCCCTCTCAACTACTTTGTCCGTCTTGCCAGATGTGTCGGAATAGTGGCGATGAATTGTCTCTACGACGAACTATTTTTCATAATCTGGGCAGGTCGGTCAATAGCGATTCCTATCCTCTTTAGTGGTGTTCCATTGTTATCATTGCAGCCTTCTCTGCATTGCGCGTCTATGCGATTAGTGGAAGGGCACTGTACTTGGCAGCCCTCGTTTTCTGCTTGGGCATGGTACCAGCCTTCACAAACATAGTGAGTCTCTACTCCTGAGCTGTTCAACCATATGATGTTCATCGGCAGACAGTTCAACTATGCCAGAACAACGATTGCTCTAGTGGCAATAAACGGTCGGAATACTTGTTCCAGCCAAAGCAAATTGTCCATTTCCCTGAATTTTCGGTATATCAGCCTTTCTCTTCCCCGAAGTCCAGATAGTAATTACTCATTTGTAGGAGTAACGCTATATGCCTTTTCCGATAGCTTGTTCTCATACGCGTGTTTATTTAGTGGTATTGATCAATCGTCTGTGCGTTATTGCATCCGACTTGCTTGTTCTGGTTACGACATGGATCTTCACGCATCGGGAGAGGAAAGCAATGCGAGGGCTGCATGTCGTCCCGCTCGTGGACGTGTTTTGGAAAACGGGTGAGCATATTTCGTCGGCATGATATTGTGATTCGAGACACATTATATTCTGTCACAGGCATGCTCTATTTTACGTAGGTCATTCCATGTGCTCTTCTTTGAAAACGATTGATAATGGTATCGCCAGTATTATGCTCGCTCTGAACATTGCGGACATATTACTGTGGAACTCTGGGGTTTGCTTATCAGTGTTCTCTCCCGGCTCATCTCATTGATGAACTTTGATCTAGTACATCGAGCTGGTATCGGAGGCAGTTGGACCGTAAGCCCTCAATGTACCATCTACAGGCATACAAGGGAATTCAAGCCTTAATTAGGTTGACATCCTTGATGGTCTCTCACTGCCTCCTGAATCTCCGTGAAGTGATTGCATTGCCGCAAGACATAGCAGACATCACAAGCCTGTCTTTTGCCCATTCCGAGTTGCAAGTGGCGGCGCATGAAGTCGACTCGTCTACCGAGTGTACTTCCGATTCCACAATCAGCATGGAGATGGAACCGATTGAGAGCTCGCACGGAGCTCGCACATCTGATTCGTGAGTTGTCCGTGTGATCCTTCACGGTCACACCTCTCATCGTTCTCTACCAATGTTCACTTGTATTGCGTAGATTACATCATGTGCCAGTCTAGAGTCGCACGGCATCCTGCGTCCATGACATTACAATCCCGTATGATCCGATTAGAATGCATCCCTACTACACCTATACTATCTCTCATTCTTGCCCAGTCCTCAAGTGCGAATGGTTGAACTAGCGCTACACCGTAAAGTAAGATCAGGGTGCGTCAATGGCAGGGGGACACCAGAGTTCCGCCAGCTTCCCTGCAGGAGAGGCATTTCCCCCAAGGGCGTCGAGTGACATGAATCGCGAGATGCCATCGTGGCCGATGGGTGTATAGCGCTACGAAGTGTGCGCTCTTCCGACTGAACAGATCTCGACGGAACGCCACATGTGCTCGGGTATGGTTCACGAGCAGAGCACCGTGAGAGGTGATGGCGGGCCAAGGCGCGGCCTCTGGGATTCTCTGTCTCAGAAGGATACTCGCCATCAGGGAGCATCGGAGGTATCACTGGAGCGGATGGATTGGTGGTCAAGTCGGGCGGACTAGACGCTGGTCGACGCAGCGGCAGACGAGGGGATAAAGAAGAGTCGTAATATTCAAGGATCCAGCTCGTCACAGAAGAGGGTTCCTCTTGGAGCGGCGAGGACGGCGATTCACGCGCTTGATCTTCGTCCTCCGGCAGCTGTGACCTGTCCGACTGTGTGGCGGCCGTCGACGTCGCAGACTGCATCAGCTCCAAGTCAGATAGAGTCGCGAAGGGACTTTTGGAGACACTGGTAAGACCCAAAGGCGACTCCGTCCCAAGGACATCACTGTAGGCGTCCGGCAGATGTCTATACTCCCGCCTGTGCGGTTGGCGTGGCCACTGCGTAGCGTCCATCAATGGAGTCGGCGTTGCGTAACTGGACAAGTCACGCTGACCGGAAAGCTGTCGCGCGTTGGGGAGAGGGGATGAAGGGGACAGCAAGGTGACCGCAAATTGTGCCAGAGGTCGTGCAGCGACGTTGAGATCCCAGTTGAGGTGTATGCAAAGTTCGCACTCCATCTGGTTCAACTCGCGGAGGGAATACGCATTCCCTGTAATCTGGACCCATTTCCTGTTTGTGCGAAAGTCGTCTCGGAGGACCTTGGACGTCAGCATGAGAGCAGCCAGGAATAGCCGGTGTCCATCTGTTCCTTTCATTATGGGATACCGTAATTTGAGCGTGCGAAGAAGGTACAGGGCATAGACCAGATCGAGATTGCTGCGGCCTGTCTTCTGCAAGACTGTGGCAATGAAGACATCGAGCGGTTCTTTGGATGGTGCCCGATCTATGCTATGGCGCTCCGCTCCTGGACGCTGCAGCACGAGGATGTTCTCGATGAAATGTGCGGCCTCCCTCGTCATGTCGATGCATCTTCCGACCCGACCATCGTGCAACTGTTATGACGTCAGTAGTTCTCTCGAACAAAAGAGACATGTATGTACCGCCTGCAGGAAATCCGTGGCGAGAACTCGAACGGCGCTGGAGCTTGCGGCAGGGGGCACTACAACAGTGCCAGTAGCAAGATTGTCGGTCATAGCGTATGCACTGCTAGTGTGTTGTCGACGATTTGAGGATATGTCGACTAATAGGGCCACCCTGTGGCCTGCGGCAAATCGTCGGACAAAGCATCAGGATCAATGAGCACGGTTGGGCTCTAAATGCAGGGATCGGCGTATCAGCATGAGGTATTCTGGCTAACTGGGTACGAAAGATGCACAATACAACTTACCCATCGATCAGTTGTTATGCGCCCTGCACCGGCGGTCCTCGTGCCAACAAAAGAGCAAGGGAGGTATGCCGCCACAGTGACTCGGAATTCCATCTGTCAATAATGTAGCGTGACGGACCCAAGCCTCAGTGGACTAGAGTTCCGATCATTGTACTGGGTGTCATGTTACAGAACCAAGAAGAAAAGTAAGGATCCACTCAGCAGAAAATCGATCATAGTAGTAGATTCTACACTAGTACGAGGTTTATGTGGCGCGAGCTTTCGCAAGGAGTCGTAGTCACGATCCAGGCTGTGATAAGACCCCTGACAATCCCCCTAGAGCTCCGATCCTGAAATCCCCGAAAAGGGGGCCGAGGTATGATCCTCCGACCCCCGAAACCACCATCCAAGGCCGTCCAGCCAGGTCGAGCCGGCCTTGGTACAAGTGACACAATGTGCAAAAGAGGCGTGATGGTGCCTGCGACGTCACGTCACGTCACTTGATTCCACTTAAATGCTCACTCTTTACCCGAACGCTAAGTATAGCCTCTGCTGATACAACGCAAATCCGTCCTGGCCTCGAATCGACCATGGGCTGTCCCCCGAAAAGGGGTCTGCCCGGGATCGGAGCTCTGAGGGGATTATCAGGGATCCTGGTGCCTATCGATCGAATTCCCCTCTGTATTTTTTCGCTGCGAAGTGGTTGGGTGTGGTATCAAGACTGTCGGGTACGAGACCAAGCGCAGAGAGACCTAAGTTCTCTCAGACGGCGAGTCTGTAATCTGCGTTACCTACGTCGCCTTACAACTCGTTTTCACGCTATATCAAGACAACTTCATGGCTGGAGAAAACTTAGACTCGTGGCCTGCACTGGTCTTGTCTTGTCTTGTCTGTCTCGGTAAGAGTAAGCCAGGCACTAAGATCATTCATTTTGGCCAGTTTCCACTGGCGCTCGGCGACGCCGGAAAGACCGCCAGCAGCTGTCTCGTACCCATCCCCCGTATCAGACCCCCACCACCGCGAAAAGGGGGTGGGGGTCTGATACGGGGGATGGGTACGAGACATTGCTCTGTGATCTGACACTCACATTGCGCTTCACATCCTTGATCAGCTCTCGTTGGGTCTCTGTCCACAAGGTGTAATAACACCGCCCAGCGATGGCAACGGTGCAAGAAATCCTTGAAGACTAGTACGCCCACTTTTAAATGAAATTCACGTTGCTTACACTATCCCGCAGTGTCCTTAATCGAGATGACAACTACGGACGATATGCCGTCACCAGTAAGCATCTCTTTTTGACCAATTGCTTGCGTGTTTCCTGATTTGAGAAGGTTTGATACTTTACGATTATCTCCTCACTCTCTCGCGTGAAGTCGAGCTGGTCTGGCACTCGCAAAGGTCGCCTGCTAAATACACATTCTTCTACAATCGGTATTGTGTGCTATTGTGGGCATTTTACGTAGTCATCAGCTTACTACGGTCATCTCAAACAGTACGTCGCACACAGTACTGCAAATGTCTGACTGACTCTCCTTAGAGGTACACTTCATAAGCATCTGCACTCCGTGCTGATACGATGTACATGCGATCGCAGCTGCGTTGCGGAATTCATAGTCTCTTCGTGTTTTGACATATCTTTCTTTGCCACATGGGCTGGTACGTGCAACCATCGCATGACGCCAAGGCGATATGTAACTGATGGGCATTCATCAGTATTCTCCGCACTTCGAGTCTGGGCTATCAGCGGGCGCGACTGGCGTCCAACAAGCCTCACTCTTGCTTTAGGATTGGTACCCGTTGCCACAAATATGGTGCATCTCAATTCACTACAAGTGTCGTATGCGGCTCATTTTGCATATGCAAGCTCAACTACATCCGGTCCAAGGCAGCATATGGCGTAGGGCTGAATGGGAGTCTAGAATGCATTTATTCGAGCCGGCTGTCTGTTTCCTTGAACAACAAGTTCGTGTTTTGTTGGCGTAATTGCTCATCACTCATGTCGTCATTCAGGAGTGAGACCTAACAAGCTCTACGGTATCTTGATCTCGTTGACTGTGTCAACAGTGGTTATTGCAACTCGCTCGTGTGCGATTGCTTCCGACGTCGTGGTGCTAGTGGCCATTTGGGCTTATACGCGGCATAGCCGGCGGGTAGCCCACGGTCTGAATCAACGATTTCCTCTTGTTACCATGTTCCTGCGAAGTGGTGAGAGAGCAACGACATTATAGAGCTCAACTTATTGATGACGGTGGATTTGACGCCAGGTTGTTTGTACTTTATGTGAGTGGTATCCCTGCAGCGCTCATCATGTCTTTTTGTGAAGCAGGAATCTCACAACAACTTATACTTGGGTTTAGAATTTTACTGACAATGAACGTTATCGACATAGTGCTCTGGACCACAACTGTGCGCCTTTCCTTCTTCCCCTTTTCTCACAAGCTCAAGGCTGTACCACAGGACTTGAATGGTATAGTATCAGATTTCATAGCACCGTGCGTCATTTTTTTTTCGAGCTGGTTCTATGTTGATGCGACAAGACCAGGTTCACATCTATGATGATGACCCACTGCCTCCTCGACCTCCGCGGAACCCTCGAGATGAGCAATGAAGACGACGCCACAGAATTGGAAGACCTCCTTTTTGTATCTCCTGGAACTGTGGCTTCTTCTTAGTTATATCCGAATGACATGTTGTACCAACAGACCATCAGCGTCATACGTCAAGTCGTAACGCTGGGCAGGTCTTATGGTGCAATCCAAGTAACATACCAACTTGTATTGAATTTACCCAGCGTATATTGTTCCCTGTACTTGTTCATTACCCCTTATACTTACATTACTACATCACTACCTTTACATTACGCCTCTTGTGCCATCAAAACCCTTACATTGCTGCAGATGCTTGCGTGATTGTGGGACTGAGGCATTCATATCAGGCATGATCTCGTTGCGGAACATCATCCAACTAACTATTCATTACATGCATAGATACACACATAAATACACCGGGGATAGGGAACGTGTATAAATAGGCAAGACCGCAAAAATGAGACAGCCATAGATGGAAGGCACTTACATAAAGTCGAGGATCGTAAATCGTCATGTTAATGAATGGGGTCAAGGGCCGGCCTTGGCGGTCATTGAGATACTGCAGCTGATCACCACTCCGCGGGGCCAGCCCGTGGAAGCGGGCGCTCTAACGGGCGTAGAGGACGCGGTTCCATGGACGGCGCCCGTCCTCTACCCACGCCAGTTGCGGATGCATCAGACGGTGGAGGTGCCGGGTCGACGTATGCCTGCCTCGAGGAGGCCTCGACTATCGCAGTTGGTCGAGCAGCCGGTGGCCCCAGCGACGGTGTCCCGTAGATGCATCGCCTATTGATGGTGCGCATACCCAATGTGGCTGAATGGTAGGGTAGAGAGGAGTTCACGCTTGGCTGGGTGCGCGGCTGGGGATGGACGGCGGGAGGTGCAGCAAACGGCGGCGCGGTATGGGACCGTACAGCAGCCCAGTACCCGGAGCGGGACTGGTTGGAAGCCGTCGATGCATGAGCAGGAGCAAGGAGGTTTCGTGGATCCGGCTGACTATGCGAGTCTACAGCAAACGTTGGGGCATACGCGAGCGACATTGGATCCGCAGGAGAAGGGTGACGAGAACGAGCGCGATGCCGGCGCGCTGCAGCCGCAGTATCATGGACTTTAGACAGGGGAGCAGACGCAGGATGCTGGGCGTTGCGGTTGGCCTGATTATGCGTGCTTTGAAAACCCGCGGCATAAGGCGCCATCGAACGAGAATCAGATACGATAGGACTGTGGTCCGAATAAGCTTGACTATATGCGCTCGCGGCGGCAGACGTCACCGAGACGTGTGTGGGAAGACGAGGAGGAGGGTCCGGTTGGCGATGTACATCCATGGCGGACCGGACCACTCTACAATCGGAGGTAGTACGTCCACGAGCGGGCTTGGACGGGACATGGCGTACCACAGATGATGTTGTTCCGACACGCTCGGGTTGAAAAGACAGTGCACGCCCACGCGGGAGGTCGGGGGACCGCCTATCAGCTAGCGTGGCGTTAAAAGAGACAAGGCGATAGGATAAAACCACGAACTTTGCTTTTTGTAGGTCCCCAATTCCATCTCGATGTTTTGCAGGTAACGACTGTGTATCGTCAACTTGTAATCGAGAAGCTCGCACATCCGTCGTTCTAAAGCGTTGAACTCCACAACTTTGATTTGAATGCCTGACGCCTGTATCCAGCTTTTGTTCGAATACGGGTCGTCCTGGATCAATTTGGACGCTAACGTCATGGCGATCAGAAATACTATGTGTATGCTCGGAGCACCCAAGGTTCCTTGCAGCTTGCCGCGGAGGGACGGGTCGCGTATTCTGCTGATCAGATACAACGCAGTATTGGTGACTGTGGGTAGCAACTGAGTGCGGTACAAGAGGATTTCGACGAACGAATGAAGTTGACATGGCGGCCATTCCAGACCCGGGGGTAAATGCAATCTAGGGGCAATCTCGAAGGCACATGAGCCTGTGAATACGCCATAGCAGGTCGATTCGAGGTATTGACCGACTATTCGCGCTTCTGCAGATCTGTTCGCAATCGATTGCGGGTCCTAAAAACGAGGTCAGTCTTTTTGAGCACGGTACATCACAGTGGTCACATACCATTGGTTTGCAGAATATGGGAAGTGGGACTTCTTTGCTGAACGGAGTGAAGTTTGCGAGAACACTAGGAGAAGGAGGCCTTTTCGGAGGTGGGGGTGGTGGCAGTGATACATTGAAGCTACGCTGTGGCTCAAGGAAAACCTGCTTCAGCGCTGAACCACTGTTTCTTAAGTCAAAGGGGATCTGAGAGACCTGCTGAGGAAAATATTCATATTCCGCGTCTGACTGAAATTGTGGCGTCCAAGGCGGACCGTCCGGCTCTCGAATATCCATCGTCGTCCTGAGGGGGCAAGACCCAGATGGTGCAAGATTATAAATAGAGTGACAGCAATGACACAAGGAGCGACTGCGGGTGAAGGAGTGTATACCTCTGGTGGAGATGTTATATGGCAGACGTCAACCCAGCCACAAGGTGAACGCGAGCACTAGTGCACGAAGCGGAGGTTCAATCAGGGCCGGAAGCCACAAGTCAGCCTATAAGTGCTGCCAATCGAGTGTGAGAATTTGTGAAAACAAGCCATTTCTCGTTCAGCTTGTGGTTTGAGCCCCATGATGATGTACACAGGATGACGCGTCCCTTGGTGGCCCGAGCCGTATTATGCTTGCGTGTGATGTACCGATGAGCTTGTCCGTTGAGCGTGTCCGCGCCTTGATGCCGCGAGAAGGGTGTTCAGAGCAAGCAAATGTGGCGTCAATGTGTAGTCTTATCGACATCAGTCGAGTAGTGTGGAAAGTAGGCGCCATCGCTTGCTTCAGGATGCACGGACCTGGCACCGAATGACGTTGTTTATGGGTCCGCAAGAGCTTTGACCCACCTTGATTCCAACTGTGATCTTCCGGTGACCAGCTATCCATGATGTTACGGTGCGTTAACGCGTACCTCCTTATGAAGTGCAAACTTGTAGCTCTAGGATTTAGGGCCTAGCGAGGGCAGCATTGGCGCATGCTAGAGCATGTCTCCGTACGGCAACCGAGGATCCGTGTCAGCTAAGACGTCGCTAACAAGCAGGGGCCCGTACAAGATTTAGGCGTTCAAGCTTGAGCGTGAAGTGGGGAGGCTGCATTGATGTAGTCGCGAGATGAATTGCACAGTCATACGCTCGTCGTACTTACTTGTCGGTGGCCCGATCGTGGTGGACGTTGTGTGGACAATCGGGTGAAGCTAACCGATCCCAATCTTGATCCTCAGTTCGCCGGCCACCGGGCGACAATCTCTCCGGCCGCAAAGCGTGCCCGACTGCATGTACGGCTCTGGAACAACATAGCGCTTCATTGCAGTTCTTGGAAGTAAACGGACAATAGCCCTTGGCTTGGTAAGTGGTCGCGCATACTTATGAGAATCATTATCTTATTGATAATTACGTATAATATAAGAGTGTAGGGAGCGAAACGAGGATCAATGAATGGTAGTGTGTGGATTATAGATAGTACATCCCAGATAGATACAGACAAACAGCAGAGAGAAGACCTACATGTTCCGGAGAGCGGTATGCACCTCCGATAGATGGGAAGAGACGCGACGACGAACACAGTACGCCAACTAGTTTTATATCAAGGCCAGCACGGTCGAGCCCAAGTATGAGCTGACGTTCTTGGGAAGCGAATCCGGAGAGACGGTGGGCTGCTGTTACTGGAACGCAGGAGGGGGGACAGCATCCAGATGCGGATGAAGTCGCTGGGGGTGGCCATGGACATATGGTGCCGGTCGTACATATGTTGATTCTGTGCGTTGCACATATTGATGAACGCCGTCCTTGTCCCGTTTTGCCATGGAATGAGGTGTGTGCAAGGCTGGACGACCATCCGGCATTGGTACAAAACTGCATCCCGGAGGCGGATTGCCCGCAGACCATGCCAAGGCGCCCTGATGCGTAGAGGATAACGACGGGTTGCTAGCCCTAGATGTCGATGGAACTACAAACTGTGCTTGAGATGGACCTTGCGCTACAGGCACTAGAGGTGCGACGCTGTCCGCCAAGGACTGTGGTGCGGCACGTTCCACCGCAAGCGGGCATAGGTGACTTTGGGGATGCACGGACAGTGCCTTCGCTGCGTTCTGCGATGCATGCCGCGCCACCTTGTTTCGTTGCCGTTGCGCCGCTTCGGCCACCGCTAGGCGAGTCTCTGTAAGGACTACATTTGACGTGTATCATGAGTAAGAGCTTCAAGGACTGAAGGGCGAAGTACAGACCAGTGTTCCCATACTTCAGCCAGAGCGCGAACACAAAATCGATGACCACCTCTTTGGAAAAATTGACTTGATACCTGAAGTGGCGAGACACCCTTCGCTCGAATGCCTGCAGATATTTGGCGGTAACACTGCCGGCGGATGCGACGTTCCAGGTGTCCTTCCCGTAATGGTCATCTTCAAGTTGTCTGGCTGCAATGTGGTAGGCTCCGAGGAATAGCTTATGTCCTCTTGGTAAAAACCGCCCGTCTCGTGTGCGGTTGTCTGGACAAGACTCTTTGAGTCGGCTGATCAAATATAACGCGAACAGTGTTGTAGACTGAGAGTGAAGCCTTAGACAAGAAGTGGCATATAACGCGAACCAGTCGAGTCGTTCTGGCGGCCAGTGAATGTATGACGGAAGGTAACGCGGGCGAGAGGCTGAGAAATGAGGCGTCTTGCCTTTCCATTCCGCGTCTTCTTCGATGTAATACCGAGCTAGTTTGGATATGTAGATATTTTCCATCAGGCGGTCGGCCTTCGAGAGCATGGTGAGTATACCAGAGCTTAGTAAGATGCGATCTTTATACGTGCCTTCGGGATTGAGTAGAAAACTGGCTTTGGAACAGGATCAGATGAAGCCCCGAGGGCGATGGACAAAAACGAGGGCATGAAAATAGTCCTGGAGCTGATCTGTGGCTGCGGTGGCTGGGCAGTGCCAGTGATTTCGTGAGCGTTCATAACGATAAAACGAGCGCGGATGTTGAGGAGTGCCAGACTACCGATGGACGAGGGACCATAGGAAATGAGATGATGCTGACCTCTGGGTCGATGATGCTTTATGCGTCCTCCGCGTCTGTAATGGCCGCGTTGTGGCTAAGGGTGGGATAGTGCAAGCCGCGTAAGTTGAACACCCGCCGAGCAACGCCTGCGAGCGGAGTTGGCATTTTAGGCTTAAAAAGGAGGCTGTTTGTTCTAATGCTGGTTGATTTGCCATTGTTCCTAGCTAGCCGAGCAGACGTCGCTTGTGAGTGAATTTGGCTGTAACCCGTCAGCGAGCCACCTTCTGCCTTATGTTCAACGGAGAAAAGATGAAACAGAGAACGAAAGCCGTCCATTCCCCTGGCTTTAACTATGGTGGTGTCAGTGCCCGTGAAGGATTGAAGCGGCCCGTTGCTCAATGGAGTAACGTCCCTCTTCATGTCCCTTCACACTCCTTCCTCGTGTTTAAGCGTCGAGGATGCTAGCTCCGTACCACGCCACACAAGAGAAGCGCAGCTAGTCGCGACATAGCATCAACCACGTGATCGCAATGGACATCCGGCTCTCCGAGCTGCTCTGTATTGAAGCCGACAGACGTCCACAAGGCTCAATATTTGCTCTGAAGAGCATCGCTGCAGTTTCGACGCCAGTACAACATGAACAGGCAAGTTACTCGCCTCTAGATCAATGTACAGTTGTCAGCCGTTTCTAAGTGCACCTACGAAACAGAGGCCCAATCATCCTGGTATGTTTCCATGCTGATCCATTGATTAGGGAGGCCCTGGGATTCTGATTCAGCTATGGAAGACGATAGATGAAGCAGAGGTGAGCTGATGTGTGTAGATTCTTCATATTTCCGCTGTTTAATGCGTATCCAGTATCTGCTAGACCAGATGGTACATTCTGCGCTATGGTAAAATTCGCAGTAATCGCTGACTAGTATCGTTGTGGCCGTAAGCCTCCTCCTTCGAAAGACGAGGATGATATGATCACGAAGTTGAGACATCGGCTGAAGGATCTGCTAACGTCGCTGCGATCCGGAGCTGAGGGAATCAAGCATGACTAGTCGACGCCCGTTTGGCAGGGGCCATCATGGGGAAGTGATATAAAGACATGGCAAGGCGCCGGTTGGTCAGAAGGGACTTCGGAAATAGACAGTATCCGAATCCTTCAGCTGGTGGAACCATCCACAGAGTATAAGTAGTAGATGATTGAAACTTGCAACTGGGTCAACGCGCCGGTGGGTGATCGGGTTAAGTGCCGGTGATCGAGACATCACCCGCAATTGGCATGTGAACAAGTTCGACTTCGGTGCCACCTCAAGCCTCTGATTCTTACTCCATTATCTACTCCCTCTTCAAGGCATCTTGTTATATTTGTGTCTGAAGACTAACCCACATTCACTGTAACCAACTTCAGGCAACATCATCAACCTGAGAAACTGCTGGTCGGTTTCCAAGACTGAGCATCAGCACTGAACATGTCGCAACTCCCCTACTTGCACCCGACAGACTACGACGACGAAGACAACAGTACTCGTAGCTTCGAACATGGCACACCTCTACTTTTGAACTTCTCACGTACATCTCATGAATCTAGCACTTTTATTCTTCGCACACCAACCTATGACCACACGCGCACCGAATCAAACAGTACACGGAAGATGCAAACCACGGTGGCGATTGTTGAACAAGACCCACATAGGTTCAAGGTTCTTCCACTCAGGCAAGTTCGCAACAGCGGTGTCTCCGCAGGAACAGTCGCGCAACGGACTGTGGCTCCAGACTGGGCCGCTGCTCTCCGCCGTAAACGCAATATGTCGGCAGGGTCAACACCCTTCTCCCAGCGTGCCAGAACACATTACTCTGCAGTGAGTAATCCTGAGCCATGCGTGGTATTTTCTAAACTGAGTTCTCCAAGTATTTATCGCGCGAAGGGGGCCATGATACTGAGGACGCCCCTGCTACCATCGCCCCACTTGAGTACGAGTCTCCCTTCGGCAATGCAAGGCTGGGTACTCCAGGTGATCACAGAAGGCAGGACTCTGACTTAGTCAACTCAGGCCAAGGACCAGAATTGACGAAGAGAGTCCGTGATTCTATGGCAATCGGAACTGGTACAAGGTTACGCTCCGGCCGGCAAGTCAAGCTTAGTCGCACAGACTCAGAGGAGCTCATATCTCTACCCACGCTCTCGACACTGGAGTCAGTAGCTCCGGACGGAATAGGCAACATGAACCCCATTTTTGCAAGGAAAACGGACGGGCGTCGAGACGCTGGACACTCTCTCCAGGAAGCTGAGGCTAGCTGGGCGACAAGAAGACGCTCGCAAACAGTCTCAGAGTGTACGAGCTCCAGACGCCGTGTCGCAACTATGGATGGTTCGGCTTCGGTCGCGCAGACGAAGCGATATCCTACGATCAGACGACATGCGATCTATGAGCACTCTGAGCGTCGTCTGGCGGATGATTCAAAAGAAGATGACTGGCATCAGGAAGACAAGATCTCAGCAACATACAGCAAGCATCATACCTTCGTCTTCCCTGATCTAGCAAATAGAACTCCGCGACCATCCCAGAGAGATGAAAATCGACGGTCTTCCAGCTTGTTCAAGGCGGCCGTGTTGACGAACCATACTCGTAGTGCGTCTGCGAAGGACACTGATCCCATCAGGGATTTTCCCTCAACACAGCAGCGTGTCGTCCTGGCGGATCTTGACCTCAACACACTTCCGGTTGCTGTCCCTACGCCGCCTGCTCGCTATGCTCGCAGACGGCTTCCCCTCGCGCCCTGGCCTCCCTTGGACGTGAGGAAACGCCGTACCCAAGACTCCTTGGACGCTGTTGTACGAGCAGCACTTGTTGCAGCAACAGGCCTACCTGATCCTCACCCGAAGAACCACGGAGGGCACCATCCTATTATACAGGAGTTGATATGGGAAGTAGATGCAGCGATTGCTGCTCTGCACTACGAGATGTCCCAGCTGTAATGGTATCTGACTGTACATTCGGTATCTTCGTTGTGCTCAAATTTTGCCGTGTACGACTGTTTGCGAAGTTAGTTTTCCCCGAGCAGCCTACAAAAAAAACTCCCTTTCTGAGGGCGTGTGCCGGATCGCCGAAGCCGATCGTCTTCCCAAACAGGATGGGTTGCCACCGGCAGGTGCCGAAATTTGGGTTCTCATTTTCGGAAATTTTCCGAGATCTGGCTAGAGTTGACCTTTCGCTCTCCCCACACCATCTCAGACCTCTTGCACACGCATCCTCGCTATGGCCAAGTCAACAGAGAAGAAGGCAGAGAAGAAGGGTGCAAAGAAGGCTGCGGCAACCGCAAAGCCTGCTGCACCGAAACCCAACGCAAAACCCATCTCTTCTAAGGAGATCATAGCGAAGGCCAACGTTAGTATTTCTCCACGGTCTACATCGTTGGTAACTAATCAGGACATGTCTCCAATAATGCAAAGGCAAAGGCAAAGGGGAAGCCATCAAAAAAGAAGGAGAGCAGCAGTGAGGAGTCGTCAGAGTCCGAGGACGAAAAGCCTGCTCCTAAGGCAGCAGCCAAGAAGGTACATTCCCTTCTGTCCTCTTGTAATGTGCGCATCCTCAACATTCGCAGGACAACAAAAAGGCTGCGAAGCCTGCCTCGTCTTCGAGCGAATCCAGCTCTGAGGATGAGGCGCCTAAAACCCCTGCCAAAGCAGCGAATGGCAAGGTATGTTTACCTTTATCAACCCCTTCCCGATATCATGTCTAATCATGCATTAGGCTAAGGCTGATCCCTCAAGCGACTCATCCTCTGAAGATGAGGACGAGGTGCCGAAGGTGTGTATAGCGGATGTCCTCTGTTGCATATCGGCTAAAATTTGTATCAGCCTGCAAAGGCTCCTGCCTCAAGCGAGGAGTCTTCAGAAAGTGGATCTGATGACGAGAAGCCGAAGGCGGCACAAGTTAAGGCTACCCCCAAAAAAGCGTCGTCGTCCAGCGATAGCGACAGTGGCTCCGAGGACGAAGCACCTACGAAGGCTGCTCCGGCCTCCGCTAAAAAGCCTGCCGCCGCGGCGGCAAAAGCTGCATCATCTGGCTCGGAATCCAGCAGCGATGAAGATGAAGCCCCCAAGAAAACTGCTTCCTCCGCGAAGAAGGCGACACCGGCCAAGGCTGCCGTTGCCAAGAACCAGGAGTCCAGCGATGAGGATTCCGATGAAGAGAGCTCCGGGGATGAAGATGCTGAGATAGCTGAGACAGGGGCGAAGACCAACGGTCAGTTCTGTGATTTGCTTCGTGAATTCCTGTCAGCGACTTACTTCAGTCATCTAGGCAAGCGCAAGGCCGATGATGATGATGCGGCCCCTGCCAAGAAGGTCAAGCTGGTCGACGGCGGCGCTGCCGCGTCTGGCGAATCTGGCAAGACCATTTTCGTCGGCAGGTTATCGTGGAACGTCGACAACGACTGGCTCGCTCAGGAGTTCGCCGAGTGCGGCGAGGTTGTCTCTGCGCGTGTGCAGATGGATCGGAACACGGGCAAGTCGCGCGGTTTCGCGCACGTCACCTTCGCCACCGCTGAGGCGGTCACGGCGGCTCTTGCCCTGAACGGCAAGGAGATCGATGGTCGCCCCGTCAACATCGACAAGAGCGTTGAGAAGGACCCGGACACCGCGCGCCAAAATCGCGCGAAGACATTCGGGGACTCGCAGAGCCCGCCGTCCGCAAGCATCTTCGTTGGGAACCTCAGTTTCGCCGCTACAGAAGATGAGCTGTGGGAGAAATTCAGCGAGTTCGGCGACGTCAAGGGTGTGCGGATCCCAACCGACCGTGACACTGGCAGGCCGAAGGGCTTCGCATACGTCGAGTTCACGGATGTCGAAGCTTCAAAGAAGGCAGTTGAGGGTCTAGCTGGCGCTGAGATTGGCGGGCGTGCGATCAGGCTCGACTTCTCCCAGCCGCGCGACTCGAGCTTTGGCGGGCGCGATTCGGGCTTTGGCGGTCGCGGTGGCCGTGGCGGAGGTGACCGTGGTGGTCGTGGCCGTGGCGGTGTAAGTTGTTATGCTATTATTATGTGGTTGCGCGCGCTGATAGTGACTCTAGGGACGAGGACGAGGCGGTGACCGCGGTGACCGCGGTCGTGGTGGCCGTGGAGGTGGACGAGGTGGCCGTGGAGCCCCCCGGGGTGGTGGTGCGCGCTTTGGTGCCATTGCTGCTCCCGAGGGCAGGAAGACCACATTCGACTGATTGTCAGAGAGGTACCTTGTGTTTCTCTTTCACTTGACCTGGCCCTTCTTTCATGATGTTTTATGGATTATGATATATGCCTTGTCTGCACGTTGATTGTTTCGCATAATTTTGCTTGAGCATCATTTCTGACGCATCCATGGACGTCCACTGTGAGGATCCTTTGGCTCGCAGCTGTGACTATGAAAAATTCCCTTTGATGAAGTCGTGCAAACGCAATGCAGCTGTGTCAAGATTGAACGGGTCTCGAGCGCTGTGTGCGGATCGGTAGTTGAAATACTCTCATCAGCATGTCCCGCCAAGCTCGGCACATCATTCAATAATATATGTACTCTCGCACTCGTGGCGGCTCCAGAAAACGTATGCATGCACATTGGCAGCTGTGAGCGCTGTACATGGACGATGTATGTTTATGGGCAGAGCTCACGCTCATAGCAAGGTGATACGAAATGCCTTTGTATCGTTCGCCCCAGTTCCTCGGAGACTGGCACCATCAATGGAGTCGCAGCGCCTGTGGCGGGACTCCGTTCGAAAAACTGGCTTCGTTCTCCTTGACGCCGGATGCGGAAATCGCTATCGATAGCAATGGACAAGTAATTTATTGATGCTATGTGTTGGGCAAATATGCCAGGAAGCTGGCTTCTGACGCTTGCAGGGCAGTGAAAGGAATCGCGTGGTGCTTCGTCGTACGGCCCGTATATAGTGACGGCGACGTGGAGGTAGACGATTTGCAATGCCCCCAGAACAGGAAGAACATATTCCTGCATAACATGCCCTCTTGAGTCAAGAGCTCCGTTGTGAGGAGAAGTCATCGTATCACACACCGTCCATGGCATAAAGTCCCCAAGCCACTCTGACTCAGGCGTTTCTAGGCCAAGAGCCACGTAATCAAGTGCCAGCTCGAGGCACTGCAGACGTGGTAGACTTGTAACGAAGCGCTTCCAGAATTGCTCTCCAAGATCGAAGTTGGTGTCAATGCAAAGATATAGCGACTTCGGAGATGCATATTGCAGCACCTGCAGGACTTCCGCAGGCGTGCTACAATCAAAAGGCCTGCGCGAGACATTATACAGTGACAAGGTGTTCTCTAATTCCAAGCGAGCCACTGAACAACGCATTTGTAGGCATATCCAGTTGTGCGTCGATCCGTGAAAGTAGTTCAGGTCTGACCAGTTGCCCTCCTCGGCCGCCTCAAAATCCGTGTGTAGGAGAATGAGGTCGCGGACATTTGGGAAGAGAGAATAGATGCCGATGGGTGTATGAACGCTACACTCATCCAGTACGACACGATGCACCGACAGAAATGGCGACCCGCTGAAGGATTGGTCCAGCATGTGCTGGATTTCCAGCGTGCGCAAGTTCGGCGAGCACATATTTGAAACGGCATGGAAGATGTGGTCGTACTTGTCGTATAATATTGATCGTCCCCAGCAATAGTAAGCTTTTGGAGAGGGCTTGCCGCCATCATCATGGAATCCAATACGTCTGTGCTGGCGAGATCGTTGAGTCTGAGAGTGGTGAGACTGGGAAGGACAGAGAGGGCCGCCGCGATCCGCGGCTCGTTGCACATCAGCCCAGCCGCGTCGCCCAGCAAGAGGTGTTGAAGGTTAGCAGCGTTCTCGAGCACGCTGGCGAGCAACGGCGCCAGCGAGTATTCGCTCATGAGCACATATCCTCTTTGCGGCGCCGGCGAGCCGAAGTATCGCCATATACTTGTGTGGACTCCCAGCCGGCGCACACGGTGCAGACGGCCAGGGACGTCTGCAAGCACGTATAGGCAGAATAGCTGGCCCTCATGAGGATTGTCCGTACCAGTGGGATTGAATGGTCTGTTGACGCCAAGGGTCACTGAAGAGAGGGCCTGGTTCCGGGCGATGCAGAGAATGCCCCGACACGTCTCCGACAAGCGCAACGCATCCCATGTCGACAGATACGACACAATCATCGAAAGCACATCTTGATTGAGGGTAGTGAGATGCATGCCGATGGCAGGATACATCGCGGTCTACGTATCGTATCGGTCTGCAGCCAGCCACACGTATCGTTTGGACCGTGATTAGTTCAACTACACATGTAATGTCGACGGCGTCGATACTTGCCGTGCGTAGGTCCCCTGTCTGAAAAATGATAGTTCGATAAAAACGGAGGAGCCAAGCTAACCTTCCCTGTTGGGCAAGTATGTAGGTTACAGCAGTGGATCGGCACATCAAACCTAGGGTCCATAAATTACTTGTCATATTCAGTCCTCGCCATGGGCACATGCGCGCAGAGACGTAAGGATCATTACAGCAACACTAGACTAGGTACATTCTGGGTATGTATCATGGCCAATACTGGAAGCAGACAACTATTAGACAAGGAAAAGTGCACATGCCCACGGCGGGCAATAACATAGTGACTATCGATGTAAACAAGACCGCGCGGGTCCCAATGTCACATAGAACGAAAACGTCCTCATCGCCATCACTCGTCAACTCACCGACTCACTCGTTCACCTACTGCCAAGTTATCCGCCCGCCTACCCCAGACGCCCTTCCTGTGCGGCCTTCCTGATCGGATTCTGGCTGGGCTGGAGGGCGCCGCTCCTCTCGAGGCGATCGAACAAGACAAACAGCTTCTCCGCCTCGCGCTCCTTCTCCTCATCGGTCATCTCGATCTCTTCCTTCGGCTGCTCCGCGATGCCGGTGATCGGGTTGATAGGCATGCCTGACGGCGTCGTCGACGGGACGGTAGAGTTCGACGGCCGCGTCGGCTGTCCGGTGATGCCCTTGTGGAAGAGGAAGCCGGCGACGTTGCCGTAGCCTACGTAAGATGCGAGGAGGCTCGCTGTGACCGTGCGCAAATGAGCGATCGAATCGCCGGCGATCTAGCACGGGCGTGAACGTACCATCAGAGTCGCAGATCGCGTACATCATCTCTCCAGTAGCAGACTTGAGTTTCGTGTGGTGCACACACGACATGAGGCGTAGGGTGCGCCCTAGGAAGTCCGCCCGCCCCTCAAGCGGCGACGTACGGTCGAGATCCGCGGGCAGAAGCCACTCCCGCATGCGCGCGCGCGACGCATCGTCCCCCACGCACATTTTGTTCACGAGAAGTACGAGCGGTACCAGGATATCATCAAGGCTGCTGCCTTCTGCGCGTGCGCGCTCTCGCACGCTCGAGTCATCTGGGTCCACGGTACTCGGCAGGTAGTAGAGCAGCGAGATGTCAAGCAGATCGAATGCGCGCTGCAGCGTATCCACTGGAGTGCGCGAGGACGGCGAGGCGGACCGAGATAACGACAGAGACCGCCGTCCGACACTGAGTGCGTTGAATGCACGGTCGAACGCGCTCTGCTTGAGCTCCTTGGACGGTCCGAGCGTAGGCGAGCCGCCGTTGCTTCCTCCGGGCGAGGTCTGTGGCGACTCCCTGCTCTTGGGCGTGGCGGAACGGGGAGAGCCTGCACCGCCCGGAAACCACTTCGGCTGCAATGAAGGTGTAACGGGAATAGTGATGAGAGAATGAATAACGTGAGTCATGGGAGGTTGCAAGGGGGAAGGGAAGGTCGATGGTAGGGTGTTGAACGTTCGGAGAAGGGGCAGAAGAATACTATTTCAATGTGTAAGACTCGAAGAACAAAGAGGACAGGCTGCACCGACCCATCGAGACGACTGCTCCAACAGTCGCCCATGACCTTGGCTTCATCTTCATTTCTTGGGGTGACATCTTGTGCATCATCAGCGATCTGCAAAGTAACCGGTTTAGTCCGTATTTAGGTCCCGTGTCCGGGACGACATACCTTGGGGTAGTGTAACAACAAATTAAACGTGAATTTCAGTAGATCGGTCATCGCCTCTCGTGACAGCCTCGCGCTTGACATTATACTTTTCGACAGAGAGTCAAGTTTCACACCAATAACTTCGACAATATTTCCAGGGTGTCCCTGTGGCTTAGCCTCAACAAGAGTCTTGATGTAGCTGGAAGACGACGCCATTGAGACTGTACACAGGAACAAAATACGAGATGCAAGGAATATGCGTTCTGGGTAAGTCGCTTTCTGTAGCCCCCGGCATTGAGATATCCGTCGGTCATCAGCACTCCAAGACATACCTCGAACAGCTCAATAATCGCCTCTCCGCCACCCACATCCTTCCGAACGAATGTATCCCGCGCGCCGCTGATTAACAACAGCGCATTCGCGAGACATCGGAGGGCCTCATTGGAAGCATCAGCGTTGTCTTTGAAGGCGTTCACCATTCCCAGCAGCGCCATAAGATTAGCGGGGCTCGCGATGACCTCCGAGCCAGCGGGGTCCTTTCCTAGCGTCTTCACAGCCAACAGGGCCTGGAAGGCATCTGCACAAACCGGCATCGGGGTTGGCATGGATGCACTACGGACAGTCGTCTTCGCGGGGTGCCGCAGCAGGCACGTACCTTTCGAGGACAGCCGGCTCTTCTTCCCGTTGCTAGCACCGCATCTCGTAAGGTCGTCAAGGACCGTCTGGACGAGCTTCTTGCGGCTCGTGACGTCGATTTGGGAGGGGAAGGCTGCGGGGGCGTCAGGAAACACGCTGGGTAAACTGAAGGGGAACGGCGTGCCATCGATGATAGACTGCAGGACTGTGGCTACGTCCGGCCGCGAAGATGAGACGGAAAGCGCGCAGTAGGACTCAAGAAAGCTGGACATGAAGTATAACGCCCGCCGGCCGTGAGTCGTCGCAAAGTAGCAGAACGGGAGCGAAATAATAAAGACAGCAAGAGCAGGGAGCGACGGGCCAGCTGGCTGGGGAATGATAGAAGGGGGACGGAAGAGGATCTGGTGGATGGTGTACTATGAGCGTCGTCGACAAGGCGGCCAGGGCCACCGGCCTCCCCGCGCCAATCATCATCCGGTCGCCGGCTCAGTCGGGCCACTGCACTCTGCGGATCATTCATCTAATTGAAGCTTACCGGGGTCCTCACACTGCAGGAGACGAAGATATATTCATATTATGGTATTCCAGCATGTCATTACTTTTCCTTCTACGTCTGCCGCCGCCTGAATGTGGCTGAATGGGTGTGGCGAACATTCGACAGGCTTGGGCAACCGTCTATCGGGTCGGCACCACAGCACGATCTAGCAGGTAGTTAATCGCAGCGAGGCATATAGAAACTATTCCAGCGCAATCCCAGCATGGTCATTGCCCGCTAGATAATTGCTCCCATCGCCCGAGAAGACGGACCCAGGACCAGTAATAATCAAAAGCCTACCTCGAATAGCTGCTTTCATTGCGGCTGATCGCCTTCATGCCGGTCAATTCGATCGATTGCAGGCGTGGATCCAATATAGTTCGCGTTACTCGACAGCGATAATGGAAGTACAGGACACCATTCCAGTAAGGACGCCCCCTGCCACAGCACCGATGACACTGTTCTCGTCCGTGAACGCACGGCTAGAGAGCCTGTTCCAGGTCAATGAGAACCGCGCGGCCAAGGGAGGCTAGACCATGCATGAGTGAAGCCGGCGGCCGAGGAGCACACCGTGGTATAGCCGCCCGTGTCGATGAGTAGACGCGGTCAGAAGATTGCACCCTACGGGCGACACAGTCCCAGACTGATCTCCCATGGCGCATAGTAGATTTCGGCGTGCGGTACGCGTGAGCGATCGACGCCCATTCGGCAGTCTCGAGGCAGACCCTGGCGATATGCAAAACAGGGTCAAAGCATGACTCGTTTCCCTACTGTTACTCATGAGCGCATTGCTGCTAACGGCCTTTGTAAAAAACATACCAGCGCATTATGTCGCACGCGTATGAGCGCCATTCATTGAAACCTGATCAGGCGTGGCCACAGTCACATTCACGAGAGACGCTTCATCGTGGGGCTCCACAAGGAACTCCGCAAGCTCCGGGAACGTCTGCACGAGGACCTCATCGAGGTGCCTGCGGTAGGACTAGTGCAGTGATACCAATCTGTTAGGGGCGTGGACGAACGTGTGCGATGTAGCGATGGCTTACGTCGAGCGCGTGTATCTGGCCGTTCATGTACTGATTCTCCGTCGCCGCGCGCTCTAGGCGCTCCTTCGTAAGCTGCAGCGGGTTGCGCGCATTATCAATGTCCGAGAGGACTTGCATGGGGATCATCGTGGTTACATGTTGCGACATGTCTTCTATCGTGGCCAGGTGCTGAATCACATCGTTCCTGGTGTCGACAGTTGAGCACCCGCGAAATCATCCGCACGACGTGCTATACGCACACTCTGTGACCCACTGGCTTCCCACCCCCTCCAGGCTTGTCTTTCTCCTTCGTGAGGTCATTGACTACTGTCGTACCCAGATTGTACAGGGCATTCGCGAGCCCTAGCAGCTCTAGCTCGAGGTCCCCTTGCACGCCCGATGGCGGTGGAGATTCTGATAGTCTGGGAGAATCAGCAGCATTTTGCTGCCCTGCGGGGGAGATATTGCCCCTGGTCATAGTCATAAGCGACCAGAGTCGAAGGGAGCGCGAGGTCGCAAGTCAGACGAAGTAGGGGTTCGGTTTGCCGATGTGTTTGAGTGACATCAGATCAGATCGGCATGAGCCGGTACAGCGCCAATGACTGAATAACCAGCCTAAGCTTGACCTCGTCGCACAACTTGCAGCCTTTCGACAACATGGACGCCGACGTTATCGTCCTGGGCACCGGACTGACCCAGTCAATCACTGCTGCGTGAGCGCGTCGCCACCGTCTCCCGCGGAACCCTTGTCTGAAGTGGTGCCCATCAGCGCCCTCTCGAAAGCAGGCTTCAGCGTGGCCCATGTCGATGTAAACCCGTACTATGGTGGAGACGATACCTCCCTCACTCTCGACGAGCTCGTCGAATGGGCAGATACGCGCACGCATGCTGACGATGCCGCCGCACCGGACGCGTACCTCTCGGCGCAGCGAGCCAGATACACCTCCATCTCGTGCAGCACCTCTGCCCTGCCCCAACAATCTCGCCAATACTCCGTCTCTCTCGCACCCACGATCATACCCTCTGTAGGACCTCTCATCAACTCATTGGTCTCCTCTGGTGTCTCGCGCTATGGCGGGTTCAAGCTGCTTGAGAAAGTGGCCATCTACGACGGCCCCGGCTCCGTAAAGCCTGTCCCTGGCAGCAAGGAAGACGTCTTCAAGAACAAGGATCTGTCCCTGCTTGAAAAGCGAAGGCTCATGCGTTTCCTGATGTTCGCAGCGGGGGATTTTGCGGACAAGCCGGAGCTCGAAGGGAAGGAGCAGATGCCTTTCGTTCAATTTTTACGCGAGACATTCTCTCTGGATCAACGGACCACCAATGCCCTTGCATATGCGCTGGCATTTTGTGTTTCTGCCTCAGGTACCTTTCTTGTAGCAAACATTAGCGGCGATATCCTGATTCATTTCATTGTAATCAGATCCCACTCTCCCTGCTCTTCAGCGTGTTCGAAGATATTTGCGTTCAGCAGGGCGATATGGCACGTCTCCGTTCCTTGTGGGACACTATGGCGGTCTAGGCGAAATAGCTCAGGGTTTCTGCCGAACTGCCGCAGTCAGTGGAGCAACATACATCCTAGGACGCAGAATATCGTCAATAGTCACTCTGGATGAACACGCTGATACCGGAAGTTCTGGCGCAACGGACGAGACATCGCATTCGCTGGAGGAGCGTACGCGAAAGCATAGGCTGAAACTACATGATCTAGATGAAGAACTGAAATGCGACCTGATTGTATCATCCTCTGACTTCCTTCTTGGGGGCTCACTTTCCTTGTCCGATGACATTCAGATGGAAAACACCCATGCAATAGCGAGAGGCATAGCAATCATTGACCGGCCCCTATCATTTTCGACCACGGAGCAAGCCTCGAGCATTGAGCCACCAGATCCAGTCGATTATGCGACAACAGATGCAGAACAACTTTCTCCTACCCGCGAGCAACTCGATACCGCTCTGCTAGTGTTGCCTCCGTCGAGTTTGCCAGACGGCTCATCGACCGTTGCGGTCAATATCTTGACCACCGGTGAAGGCAGCCTGTCTGCACCGCGCGGGAAATGTACGTGACGCATTTATGCTGCCTGTCTGGTCTTAATGATCACTATCATGCAGGGATTGTGTATATTTCCATGCCACTACTCGAGGAGACAACGCGGTCCGCAGAAGAGCTATTACGGCCATATTTGGACGCAGCCCTCACGCTGGCTGTTCCTAATCCTGACGACTCAGCCGCTCCACTGGTGCCGCTCTTTACCATGTTCTACACCCAGACGCCTGCTCCCTCAATGCCAAGCTCGGATAGCTCTCGATCCGTGCTTAGGGTCACAGACAGTTTGCCGATACTACCTGAGGTCGCCGATTCCGCAACGTCGCAGGCCGAGGTTCTCTTCTGGAAAGCAGTTGAGCTCCTCAAGGGTGCGGGATGTCGTCCGCGGCCACGAAAGGAAGATGACGGTGAGGAGGCGAATGAAGAGGTGGAGATAGACTCGTTCTGGCCGCCATTGGATATGGTGGATGATCCTAGCGAGGACTGGTGATTGTTGGCACACATAGATACTATATTGTGGACCTATTTAGTACATGACATGCTTGAAATCCAGACATTTCCCCCGAAACCATAATCTTTGCTTGTAGAGACGATCACATCGAGCACCCTAGTTGGGACCCTAACCTCATGCCAATTGCAATGGAGTTGTTACCGTAAGTTGCATCGGACGCCACCTCCGAAGGATATACACTACTACACTTGCTCCCAGTCTCGTCAACTTAAGATCGGTTTCGTGTCCCTCTAGCAGTACTGCCAGGTTGCCTTCTCGTCTGAACGGAAACTACTCATACTGATTTACTGCTGCCTTGACAAGCTCCAACCTACCACCATACACCATGCACCCTTCACTACGTCTGTGCACCGCTGGACGCGCACGCCAGCCTCTCATTCACTTCATCGGCAGACGACAGTGGCCTTCAAGTACGTCCTCATTCTTGCATCCAACGCTGACTGGATGACAATTTCAATGAACAGCGCCTGAGGCTCCTCATGCACACCCTGCGGCGCCGCTCGAGCAGAAGCAGTCCTTCTCAGACTTTATGAAGAAGTTCAACGCGTCCGTGTCGTCGTCCTCTACCCCTTCGGCAGCGTCGCCAAGCACGAGCAGTCGTAAAGAGGGTGTGCAGGTCTTCCAGGAGTTCTGGCAGGCGCCTGAGAGGTTCTGGAAACACGACTTGAAGGACTGGGAGATCGAGCTAGTCGAGGTGCGTTCTTCCTCTCTTTCGCGTTTTGCTGCTGAAGACCGATACAACTATATTGGGGAATAGACTGGTGGTGTCTCTAGGTTTTAGACTTCACAAGACACTGATAGAGTGTGTACATTTGCATCAATATGGTACACCGCCCGACACAGTGCTTGCTGAACGAGACGAATGCAACGATAGCTCGAGAATCCAGTAAGAATACATGTACATCAGTCCTTCTCTGCGTACGCGAGCAAGTGCTCTTCGATCTCTGCCTCATCCATGACGCGCCACTTTCCCCGCGTCTTCACGTTCTCGTCCTCGCTGTCCGACACGATGCCAATTTCGACCTCGCCAGGCTTGAAGTCGGTGGCATGCACAGTTGAGATTGCCTCAATTGCAATCTGGCCCTTTATGAGCAAGGCTCAAACGGCAACGATACCAGGCAGCAACTAACCTCAATGACTTCTGCTCTGCCGAGCGTTTTGCCTGCCTTCACAGCATCATCAGCTCCCCGTCCGGAATCGAGCTTCTTCCACTTCTTCTCGAGGTGGTTCATGGCTTCTTGCTGTTTCTGGCCCGCTGATGCTGCATGGAAACCCACGAAGTAGCCTGCTGGATCGAGCCTGAAACATTGCGGGCCGAATTCAGGGTCGACGCCGATGATGATCATAGCTGGTGCAAGTGATTATATACCCCATGACGTTTACGAATTGAAAGAACGTACATATACCGAGAGGTCTCATAGCAGCGCGTTGCGTGTACACTTGATTGATGTTTGCTAGTCGCCGCGCGAGAGCATCTGGTGTGATCTCGTAGCCATACTTGTGACGGAAGTCAGCTGCTTCTGAACGTGCTCGCATAACTTGCGCGCGGGCATCAGCTGGTGACAACATTCAAGAATCAAGAATGAACATTTTAGCATTTTAGCATTGCAAGCGATCGGAACAGCGTGCGGGCGCACCGATGAGGCCTGTCATAACACAACCAATCGTGGGCGTAAGACTAAAGAGGTGCGTGACAGTCGAGGCATCGAGCAGCTTGTCCTGTTGCGAGCCGACGTTATGAGAGGCGCCTCGCCTGCAGCATAGTATAATGAATACGCACGGGGACCTTCTTCTGCGTGATGACTACTGCGGTGTCCTTACCACGCACTGCGATCGCGGTGTGCCCAGAGCCAGTGATGGCTTTGAATGCATATTCTACAACGCGTTGTGTGAGCGTATTGAAATGACGGTAGTATGGAAGTGCGCACCGACTTGGTACAGTCTCCCCTCCGGGGAGAATACGGTGAGATATCTGTCAAATGCGCGTCAGATAAGAAAGACTAGATATCTCAGTGTATAAGACTGACCGGTCGTAGGAGCTTCTGGACATCGGGGACTGAGCAGAGCAATGGTAGTGGAGGCGTACGCAACGGAGGACGCGCAATACAGCTACCCTCCGGCGTCTACTGAACGCGACGCAGACGCGTCCTGTCTAGGGTTAGGCTTTCCGTATTCGGTTTCCAGGAATAGACTCAAAATTCTGGGTCAAGTCCTCGCCGGCTAACTGCTAAGTAACTTCTGAGTGTGCTGCCGTCTCCGTTCCAAAGCCCAAGGACTGTTTGTCTGAGGCAGCAGGCCTTGCCTCCTCGTGTGCAGGATGAAGGAGTCGGTCTCACACCAAGCCCCCAAGGTCATGTAAGTACGCCGAGTCTGTGTTGCCGGAATTGGCTCACTTTGAGTTAGCAAGAAGCTGCAATTCAGCTTGCTGAACAACCAGGACACCGTTAAGATCTCAGAATTCGAGGTTACACATCGTGATCTTTATACACCGGTCGATCGGCACCCAGTCAAAAATGGTGTACTTGACCGCCGTCTGGTGAGTAGGAAGGACTACTACACCGCTGCAAAGCTAATTCTATTCTCAGGGTACTACCGAGAAGAACTCGTTCTGTGAAACCTGTGGTCTTTCTTCTGTGGACTGCGTTGGTCACTATGCCTACATCAAGCTTACGGTCCCTGTCTTCCACATCGGTTACTTCAAGCACACAATTGCAATCCTACAATGCATTTGCAAGACATGTGCCAGAGTTCTTCTCGAGGAGCCCGATCGCCGTGTCTATCTAAAGCGCTTTCGTCGTCCGAATCTAGAGAACATACAGCGGCAGGCACTCTGCAAGGCAGTAAACACGCTCGCTCGCAAGACTGTCTACTGTCCGTATTGTTCAGGGACGAATGGGACGGTCAAGAAGGCAGGCGCTTTGAAGATCATACACGACAAGTTCCGTGCTAAGAAGACAGCAGAAGAAATGGAGAGGTGGAAGTCGACATTCGCGCCTGCTGTCGAAGCGCAAAAGGAGCTGGCAATGTACCTCAATAAGGCCGTTCATGAGGATCTGAACCCCCTCAAGGTTCTCAATCTGTTCAAGCGTATATCTGACGAGGTGAGCAACAGTTGCACGTTCGAAGTGCGAATGAGCTGACGAACGGGGTAAGGATTGTGAACTACTTGGGCTTCGTCCCGCTTACGGCCGACCGGAGCAGTACGTCTGGCAGTACATCTCCGTTCCTCCTGTCTGTATCCGGCCGTCTGTTGCGCAAGACGGCGCCTCAAATGAAGACGACCTGACCGTTAAATTGACCGAGATCGTGTTCACCAATGCGCTTATCAAACAAGGACTCGCAAAAGGTGCACCAACTGCGCAGTTTATGGTCAGACACTCATATTTCCATCGTTACAGTCAAGCTCAATGTGCTTTTTGACAGGAACAATGGGACTTCCTGCAGCTTTCCGTGGCTATGTATATCAACTCCGAACTGCCGGGAGTACCTTCGCAAATGGGCCAGAAGCCAATCCGTGGTTTTTGTCAGCGTTTGAAGGGAAAGCAAGGTCGGTTCCGTGGAAACCTTTCAGGGAAGCGTGTCGACTTTTCGGGACGTACTGTCATCTCTCCGGATCCCAATTTGCGCATCGACGAGGTCGCTGTCCCTGAACGTGTCGCCAAGATCCTCACATACCCCGAGCGTGTCACTGCCCACAATATTGACATGCTGAAAAAGGCGATCAGGAATGGCTGCGACGTTCATCCTGGCGCGAACTACGTTACTGCTGGAAGCAACGGCTTCAAGAAGTATCTTAAGTTCGGTAATCGGGCTGCTATCGCTGACGGTCTTAGAATCGGAGATGTCGTTGAAAGACATATCATTGACGGAGATATTGTGCTTTTCAATCGACAACCAAGTTTGCACAAGGTACGTGACCCATGCCTATACGGTGAACAGTAGTTCTAACATATCTTAAGCTTTCTATCATGTGTCATCGAGTGTGTAAAATAACTCGCCAAATATGTCTTTCGGTCTAATTTACTCTGCATAGGTGAAAGTGCGACCATGGAGATCCTTCCGTCTCAACGAATGTGTGTGCGGTCCTTACAACGCTGATTTTGATGGCGATGAGATGAACCTTCGTATGTTCCTCCTTTGTATACCCTTCTCGCATTGCACTGAGTCTCGTTTAGACGTCCCGCAAACCGAAGAAGCACGAACCGAGGCTCTCGAGCTCATGAGTGTGAAGCATAATCTCGTCACGCCTCGTAACGGAGAGCCCGTTATTGCTGCTATTCAGGACTTCATTACCGCGTCTTTCTTGCTCTCCCGTAAAGACACATTCTTTGATCGGCGCCAGTTCACTCAGATCTGCTCGTATTTTGGTGATGCGAACATGCAGATTGACATTCCCCCACCCACAATCTGGAAGCCAGTTCGTCTTTGGACAGGCAAACAGGTCTTTAACGTCCTCATGCGTCCAAACAAGAGCTCGAAGGTGTTCGTGAATGTTGAGTCCAAGTGTAACAAGCAGGAAAAACCGGACCCGAAGCATTATCCACGCATGAATCCCGCTCCCGATCTGTCTCCCAATGACGGCTGGCTTGTGATTGTGAACAGCGAGATCATGTGTGGTGTCATGGACAAGGCGACGGTCGGAAGCGGCAAGAAAAAGTCGGTATTCGGTGTCATCATGAGGGATTACGGTCCCGATGAGGCTGCAGCGGCGATGAACAGGTTGGCGAAACTCTGTGCTCGGTATCTGGGTGAGCATGGCGTGGCATCTTACTGGGTCGCGTAGCTGACGTGATGTCCTTCCAGCGAACTACGGATTCTCTCTTGGGATTAACGATGTCATCCCTGGTCCCAAACTTTCGAACGAGAAGGACAAGTTGGTAGAGACGGCATACGCCGAATGTCAAGACCTTATCATGCGTGCCAAGAAGGGTCTTTTGGAGAACAAGCCTGGCTGTGACCAGGAACAGACACTCGAAGCGATGATTTCTGGTGTTTTATCGAAAGTCCGTGACAAGGTTGGAGAAATATGTCTGAAGGAGCTAAGCCGACATAATGCCCCTCTTATCATGGCTACCTGTGGTTCTAAGGGTGTGTCCTCTTCTTCGAACAAGCAGTCACCACGATTGATCTTGAAAGATCAGGTTCGGTCATCAACGTCGCGCAGATGGTTGCTTGTGTGGGCCAACAGATTATTGCTGGCCATCGTGTGCCGGATGGCTTCCAAGATCGTTCATTACCGCACTTCCCCAAAAAATCAAGGGAACCACCATCCAAAGGTTTCGTTCGGAATAGCTTTTACACTGGCTTATCGCCGACAGAGTTTCTCTTCCACGCTATCTCTGGTCGAGAGGGTCTAGTCGATACGGCTGTCAAGACCGCTGAGACAGGATACATGCAGCGTCGTCTCATGAAGGCTCTGGAAGATCTGGTTACTCACTATGACTCTTCTGTGCGCAATGCGGTCGGTGGTGTCGTGCAGTTCCGATATGGAGACGACGGTCTTGATCCAGCGTGCCTTGAAGGTGATGCGCAGCCTGTAGAGTTTTTAAGAGCTTGGAGCCACGCATCCGTAAGCGTTTGGCTTTGACAGGTGATGCTTCGCTGACATGCGTACTCACACAGTCAATTGCCTCACGCTCCACTCGGGGTCTACTACCGTTCGAGATTCTTGAGTTGGTAGATCGCGAACTCTCACGCCGTCAATTCACCAGTGAATGTACCGCGGCCTATCTTGCCACTATCCGCGGTTTTGTCACCGAGCATATCGCCCATAGATTGGCGGAGATCAGAAGAAACCATGGCATGTTTGAGGCCTTGGAACGCGAAGAAGAATGGGATGAAGAGACAGACTTGTCTCTAGGCGCTTCTGGTATGTCTCATAGTCGCCCCAGCTTACGGATTATATTAACCTTGTGGTAGACGCAGATAAAGCCGTCGTGGACAATAAGCTCAAGGTGACTGAGGACCAACTACGAGCGTTCTTGGGGGTTTGCTGGACTAAGTATGTCAAGGCGAAAATCGAGCCCGGTGAGTTATGGTAATATGACGGGGACGGAAGCTGAGACTGATTGAACATTCCTAGGCTCAACGGTTGGTGCTGTCGGAGCTCAGTCCATTGGAGAGCCAGGAACACAAATGACACTCAAGACCTTTCACTTCGCTGGCGTCGCATCAATGAACGTCACGCTTGGTGTACCGCGCATCAAAGAAATCATCAACGCAGCGAAGGCAATCAGTACCCCGATCATTAGCTGTAAACTCGTTACCGCTGATAGTGAGGCATCTGCTCGCATCGTGAAGGGGCGATTGGAGAAGACGCATCTTGGTGACGTGAGGACATTGTCCATGCAGACATGGACTGTACTTAACAACGTTGATTGGTTTCACAGGTTGCTGCTGTATTGGAGGAAGCTTGGGCTCCAGAATACACCTACATTGGTATCATTGTGGACATGAAGACTATCCAGGATCTTCAGGTACGTGTCGAATGTGTGGTGTTTCTATGCGCTTACTGATGAGTATAAAGCTTGAGCTCACATTAGACGACATCAAGTGGGCCATCGTAGCTGCTAAAAAGCTCAAAATCAAGCAAGAGGTGAGCACCTGTTGTCATAATTGTGCGATGCTGGTTAACTGTCTTTCACAGTCGATCACCGTCATCCCTCGCAAAGATCGACTACGGGTGTATATTGATGGACCTGACAAATACTACCGCTTGCGCGAGTTGAAGAGGATGCTTCCTGAAGTTGTCGTGAAGGTGTGCCTTCTGCTTTGCAGTAGATCAATGCAGCTACTAACATTTACTGCCAGGGTGTCCCCACCATTCGTCGCGCTATTATTAATATCAAGGAAGATGACGATCATCGAGGAAAGAAAGGTGACAAGGAACTACTCGTGGAAGGGTATGGCCTCCAGAAGGTTATGGTAACACAAGGTGCGTTACAACGAAGCTGGGCGATCACTGATGCATGATACTTTCTCGAAAATTTGTTCAGGTATCGTTGGCGAGCAGACTACTTCCAATCACATCATCGAAGTCGCACAAGTGCTCGGTATAGAAGCTGCAAGACGCACGATCATCAATGAGATTCAGTATACAATGGCCAGCCACGGTATGAGCATCGATCCTCGGCACGTCATGCTTCTCGGAGACGTCATGTCATACAAGGTATGGTGTCCATGACCGGTGGATGCCACCAGCTGATGTCTGACTCCTGTGACAGGGCGAAGTGTTGGGTATCACACGTTTCGGCGTCGCGAAAATGAAGGACAGCGTTTTAATGCTGGCGTCATTTGAAAAAACAACAGATCACCTGTTCGACGCTTCCGCATACGGCAAAACTGACAGCATCGCTGGTGTCTCGGAGAGCATTATCATGGGTAATCCTGCTGCGATGACCGGAACGTCTATGTGAGTTCTCGATCGTGTGCCACATCCGCAAAAAAAGCAACAAGCTCACCCGCCTTTCAGGCCTGCATTGGTCACTCCTGCTCCACACATCAGCAAACCCAGGAAGCTCTTGTTTGAGGGCGCGCTTTGATAGTGCACAGTCGGTACTCATCGCTAATTTATGTCAGTAATGTGCTTGTTGTATTTGTAGCGTTTGTGAGTGTTCTTCAATTAGGTCTTCCCGCAATTTTTGCTGAGTGCTGCATGAACTAACCTCATGTCCCCTGCCACGCTGGCCCATATAGTCGCATATATTACATGATCGTCAGGTAATCGTTTACATAAAACATGACCCGTTATTGACCGCTGCTGTCAACCCGAGATTTTCTCGGGAGTAATCATCACGACACCCCACGTCTCTTTGAAAATCTCCATGAGTGATTCGAGCTTTGTTACGGCATCCTCGGGCGCATCTGGTCTCCCCTCCTCGTGCATCAATTGCAAGAACGATCGAAGGTCGTGAATCTCGGGTGTGTACTTTGCAACAATTTTACGCATCATTTCTTTTTCTGGGAGCGGCTCCGTCGACGCTGTTGTACTGTCGTTGTCTTCTGGTATGCCTGCTACTTTCGGAACGTAGCGCACGAAACCCCACTGATGTTTCGCTGGTTGCGTCGTGTACCCGAGGGGATCGCTGATCATTGTGAACCCCCAACCTTCGCCCAAACCTTGCCGCATGCTGTTACCCTGGCTCAGCTCGCTGATGCTTCGAGTGCTCCAACCCTTGACTGGGTCCCTGCTACTACTGAAGACGGCGTAGATCATGTTGGGATGGTCCAATACTTCCTGCGGAAACTTACTTTCCGCAATAGGCGCGAAGTAGTCGATCATACACTGGACTATGCGCGTTGGTGTAGCGACCGGCATTGTACTGGCCCGTGTGACATGCGGGACACTACGGTATAGGTGGTAGATGGTGGTTATGGAGAAAGTGTTCGGCAACTGGGTCCTGTACCATGGTTGAATAGTAATGGGAGCGATCAAGCCGTTCAAGTTTTTGAATAAAGCCGGTTTGGTGCTCATCAGAACGCATAGCTCGCTATTGTCCAACGACGGACAGTTCAGGACCACTAGGCGCTGTAGGCTGGGCGGTGCCACACCCATGATAGACTCGATGGTAGCACTAGTTACGTTGGGATTATTCGAAAGGTTGAATGACTCGAGTGATTTGCATGTCGAGACGATGCTGACAAGTTGTTCTGCCGTGTAGGACCATTTTGAGAGGTCAGCGCGGATCGGCTGCAACAAATTGAGCCCACTGGGCGGTAAGGGTGTGGAGTCACGGAGAATTGCCTGTACACGAGAAGCCGTCTCCGTCTGCAAGAGTAGACGTTCGATTGTGCTAGTGTCGTCGGTCTCGACAGCACGTAGTACGGCGGGTTTAAGGCTGATCTCGAAGAGGGACAAAATCCGACCGTGGCTGTCGTTCCTCACATTTCCTTTTTCGTCGGCAGCTTCGTCTCCCTTAGTCTCGTTGTCTGCACCCAGTCCTCCATGCTCATGGTCTGTAGTTTCCTCGATAGCAACTGTCTCTCCGGCCACCCCTTCGTCTCCACCACTGCCTCCATCCCCATGAGAGACGACGTCCACATTGGATGTTTGATCCGACACTACCCCTTCGTAGGATGCTTCATCCTCGTTCGATGCTGCGTCTCCGTCTGATGCTTCGTCTTGATCAGACGCTTCATCATCCTGATCATCGGCATCCTGAGCTGCTTGAAACACGGACGGCCAAGTCTCGTGAAGGACATCCTGGGTGACCATAGGAACTCCTGCGAGAAAGCCTATAGCCCGACATACGTTTCTCTCCTTCTGTTTTGCCCCATCATCTTGAGGTTGATCAGGGTCGAGCGCCGGATAATAAGCGCGAATATACTGGGTAGCACTGAGAGGGACGAGACTGGGGACCTCAACCTCAGTTTCTAGACCCCACAGTGCAGCGAAACAATATGTGGGGGACTCTGGGCGTGTGATATCTATCACAGTTATGCCATCATTATTGTCTACCAGATCGATCTAATTCAGTAGATGATTGCCGAAGTACTGCGATCACTGCGTACCGATCTCATCTGGGTCCTCTTCAGTATCCACGATGTATTCGTTGCTACTACAGTAGGGCGTTTGGGGATTATCCAGATCAACATTCCAGCTGATTCTGAGCAGGAATGTGATGTATGCAGAGGATGTCCCATCTGAGCCGCCTACACGCTTCAGCTCCTCACGCACGACCTCAGCGTTATCCGGCTGCTTGACCAAAGTCATGAAGCGGTGCGCTCCTAGCAGGACAAGAGTGCCCCAGCACCATGTGTGATTTAAGGCCACGATACAGCGATATCTGGGCTTGGAATCTTGCGAGCCGACGCGAGCGACGACGTAAACTTGGTGCCGCTGACCCATTTGACTAGTCGGTGTGGTGTAACGCTCCTAACTAGTACTTACTACGAGGAGGGAGGTCAGGTTTGAGAACCGTGACCTATATCGCCACAGTGTGACGAGTCGCGTACCATTTCACGTGATCGTGACGATTGCATCACAGTGACACGATGGGTGGTCGCGCATCCGAAGCCCACACCTACGCCCTCAGTTTCCTTGAGCTGCGTAAACCCCTCTGACCCGGCGCGGCTTCTACTCTATGCCATGAGCTCGAAGTGGGACAAATATAGTAGGATTGGCCTGAATGTTGCGTCAACAGCAACTTCGGTAGGCTTTTCTGCTGCCAAAGCTGGTACGAAGCTTGGGGTAAGCGACAAGCATAAGCTGTCAGATGTTAATCTTCTACGTTAAAATCTTTGTGTAGTTCTCGATAACCAGAGAGATTGCGTCCACCGCCGCGGGTGTCACAGGATCCGCGTTAGACCAAGCTTTCTTTGGTGGTAGCGTCGGAGCGGGACCCATACTCGGTGGGGCAGTTTCGACGGCGATATCAACTATCGAGAGCCTTGCGCTCGCACCAATTCTCATAGGTGAATCTCTGACTTCTACTTCTTTTGTCGCAGCACAGTCCTCGCTATCTGCGCTTTCTACCATTTTCCCTGGGAGTGATGAAGCGAGCTTTTCTCTCGCAAGCTTTGTCGGACTCGTGCGAAGAGAATGGACAGAACCTGTCGATAGCGACGGACTTCCAGAGGAAAAGTACAGCCTAGCAAAGATTATGAAAGCATTGGTAGGCTGGGCAACGCTGCAGGGCGTCACTAGCGATTGGCAGGAACGACAATGGTTCGCCGTAATGAAGGAGATCGAGGTCAACGACGAAGCTTCAGATGCGATATCCCCAGCACCACGACAACGAGTACACTCTGATGTGCATATAACGAATGACACCATCTATCCCGGCCGCGGTGGTCAGATCGTTACTGCGGATATCGGGGAGGCCACAGAAGCGTCTTCTCCCACTCCGCCGCCTGGTTCAAGCCGGGACACACATTCTCTTTTGTCAGATTATCAACTCAAACACACTCTGCGCCGTCTCTCCAAATTGGTCCTCGCTGGTTACGGAGGTCCGAGCTTACTGTTCTTCGGTGTCACTCCATGGCAGACATCAAAACCATCCAGTGTACCATTTAGCTCTGAAAAGGAAAAGAGCAAGGAGGAAGCAAAGCTTACCGATGCCGTTGGAGTTTCAGAAGCGGAATCTTCTGACAATAATATCGGAGCGACTGGTGCTGCCGCGGAACCCGGCAAACCGTCATATTCATGGTGGAACGTGCTCATGGGGAGACACGATCACGATATCTTCCTACAACATGCCACGGTAAGCTCTAGGTTCATCCACGGTATTCGTAGTCATAATACAGGGTCAGTCCTCAACTGTCGGTCAATCCGAGGCCCAACCTCGCCCCCCTACCGCGTTTGTTGGCACAGAGAACTTGATGCCACGCTTCTGGGTGCTCACGGACCATGCTCGGCGCGAAGTCGTGCTGGTCATCCGTGGTACGATGAGCTTGAACGAGATTGCCGTCGATCTCACATGTGATACTGCACCTTTCGAGCTGTATACTCCGAAGGCCTCGCGAGCACGTCCCCAGAGGGCATATACTCAACCTGATCCCGTCGAATACGAGGCAGAGCCTTGGAGTGAGTTTGAGGAGGAGCTGGAGAGTATGCCAGGCTCGTTCCCCTTGGACATGTCCACCCCACCCCCACGTCCAGCCAAGCGGCCTCGTGCCATGTCTAGTGTTCCTGTACCAAGCGTAGAGCCTGCTATTGGACCCGAATCGGATGACGAGAGCCATACCACGCACCTCGTGCATGGCGGGATGCTCAAGATGGCCAGAGCGATGGGTGCTCCTGGCAAGCCTGTACATGTCGCTGTGCGAGATGCACTCAGGCGGAATCGCGGGTACTGTAAGACTTCGAGCTACTTCAAACCAATCATGATCGTACCTTATGCGCCCACTCGCAGCACTCGTCTTATGTGGACACAGCCTTGGTGCTGGTGTTGCTGCCCTTCTAGCGCTCGTACGCCGAAGTCTCATTTTTATATCAGCTTTCTGCCACTTATTGGAGTCTCGCAGATGTGGGCCAACCCGCGTACGCGCCTGACTCACCAGTATTCCAGATTGCCACAGCGCCGCTCGGTGTCAGCATATTGCTTTGCACCCCCGTGTATGGCATCCACGCAGCTAGCTAGGCTTGCGGGTGAATCCGGCCTCGTTACTTCCTTCGTGTATGGCCATGATGTCGTGTCGCGGCTATCGCTTGGGAGCGTGAGGGACCTCACGCGATGTGCTGCATGGCTATGCCAGGCGGAGGTGGCCCATGGAGAAGGTTACTCTGCCGTCACGAAGCGCGCTCTACGCTGGAAGGCTGGCTTTAGAGACGAAGGAGACGAAGAATGGGTGAGTTTGTCAGCGTAATGTGTCAACATGGACGTAAACCAACAATTCCTGCAGTTTCTGTCAATGCGCAAGACGCTCGAGGCAAACATGCACATGACGCAGCTGTTTCCCCCGGGACGTGTCCTGTGGGCCCTCCGTGACGGTGATCTGCAGTCCGCTAACCGTCTGCGGGAAGCCGATGGTCGTCCGAGGCAAAGTGGGCGCGGAGAAGAAAAGGTGCGGTTGTTTGAGGTACACGACGTCGAGCGCGCATTTGGACAAGTCGTATTCGCCCGAGATATGCTCAGTTCGCATATGCCGCATCAATACGACCGGGTCCTACATGAGTTGCTTTGATCCGTAATTGCTGCTGTATCTGTAGCTCCAGTCTGTATACTATGATCGCGAACACTTAGTATGGCTCTCGTTGTGAGTTGGGCCCACGATACACGGGGCTGTAATGAAGGTACCGCCCGGCTCTATAGGCCCAACATAATTTAAAATTTTGGCAGGAAGCCCACACGTAAATAAGACGCCGCGCACGGTGAACTGTCCCATTCGACTTATGATAGAACCTTGCAGGTTTCTAATATGAACACTTGCGCGAATCTAATGATACACCTGGATTATGAGAGCACATATGGACGGTACAAGCGGTAAATAGAAAGGGAAACCTCAAATGAAGATGGCGGAAGACTTTCAGTCCTGTTCTGACTGATCTCTTGGTCGGTACTTGATCCCACGGCTCTCGAGCTCAGCTTCGACGTCTTCAGGCACCCGGCCCTTCACCCGGACGGCGTACATCCCCCGCACGTATTTTGCTACACAATAGGTATATAGTTGCGATTCTGAAGAGGAGCTTTGGGACACTCACATGTCCGCTGCCAACGCGCAATCCAGCTCTGCTCCGGGTCGATCACAGCAATCACGCCGTCGAAGTGTGTAGTCGTGCAGGCTTGAATACGATCAGGGTACCCTTTCATCTACATATTTCCCTCGAGTTCAACGTGACAGAAAGCATACAGACATCTAGGCCTCGTACCTGCATGAGCTCCTCGCAATTGGGGCAACCATGTTTTCGGAAGTCGGCGGGTGTCTGGATGATCGAGCAGAGCAGACATGCACGCAGTGCTTTTGCGCGAGGCTGGGGTGGGATGGCTGCTGTATTTTGGTTGGACATTGCTGTCAAGTGCAGAGATCTTGATGGCCAATCTCTGGAGTTTGTGGGCGAAAGAATCGGAACAGGAGAACGTCGTGAAACGGAAGGTGGCGTCGAGCGCATAGAGTTGCCATTTGAGGAATGACGGACATTGCCGGGCGTCTCTCAACCTCCTTGCACTCGTTCAGGTCTCTGGCTCAGCTGCTACATACGATGGCTCGGCGTACGGTGCACGTTGTGCTCGCTCTGTTACCCGCTCTCGTGTCTGCGTTTTCAAACACACATCCAATTGTAGCATGGTCATCTCATAGGTCAGCCACATTGTTGGTGCTGCTGAATTCTGAAGCTGAACGGTTAACGCTGTGGCCACATCCGGCACGACAGTTCGAACACCCTGTATGCAGGGTCGCTCGAGAAACCGACACACTCTTCGACCATACTCGAGACGATACTCTCGAAGTACGATGTATGCTTCAATGATGCCATCATCCTTGTTGCACAAGAAGGTGTAAGTCCTCAACACTCCGTGCCATACGTCACCGAGTTCTAATGGCTATCTCATCCACAAAGCTTCACGCCTCTGATCTACGTACTTTGTCGCCTTCTGGTGTCCTGGCGCAAACTCTGAACATTGCTGAATCAACGCTGGAGCTGCCGTATGTACCCCGCAGTACATCCCACCCATTCACTCCGCTTGCGAACGCAGTTGCCGAGCGCTGTGGTGCTCGCGTAGTCAGCTACAGCCCTGGACAGACAGAGGTGACTGGAAATGCTGGCGAGAAGCATGTGGTATGTGTCGACATGCCTGCCGTTAGTGGGCAAGGGACAGATCGGAAGAACGCTATGACGGGCCATGGTGAGTTCGTTCCTTATTTGGCGGTGAGCGCACTAATGAGAATCGCACCGTGTTACTTGCCAGAATCTGCCCTAGCATCTTCTCTCGATACTCTCTCGGCGGCTTTCCCGAGGCATCTTGTCGTCTACGCGGGCTGGAGCCCATCCCTCCACCCTCGCCAATCACCCTCCCCTTTCTCGCCTTCATCCGCTGGCGTCAATACAACAAGCGCAAGCGCAAGCGCGTTCGCTGCCCCAACCGGCGGTATCCTCTCCCGCTATCAGCTGCTCACGCCAGGGCTGATTCTATCGCTGCTTGTCGGGTTCTTTGTCCTCATCCCGACGGTTATGTTGGGTGTATCCGCGGTTTCGAGTATCAAGTCTCCTCTGCAGGGTGAACCGCCGAAGGGGTACATATCTGCGGAGAAGAAGAATCAGTAGAGGGGGCTAGCTATTTACTGCGAGCCTGTACTATTTGACGTTGCATGCCATGCAACACGTCCCTTCCTCGAGCTTTCATCGAACGGTGACACCAGCGATGTCATGTCATGGCTGTGATTTACCGTTGAAGGTGCCGTGTTGCCACACGTACTCTCTTTAAGTGTTGAGTTTCGTCCCTTGGTGAGTACTGAGGCATCTGCGGCTTTCCGGACCGTGGTGTGGCGTGACTGCGGGTGCTCTCACCAAAAATGAGGCTATTTGCCACAAGACTCAGGCCAATCCTCCGTAGTTTCCGCTTTCATGACGATGTTCGACGAGATCATCCCTTATCCCGCGCTTCGTCATCCATAATTTCCAACCATAAATACCACCGGCCGTCCGCCTGCAGTGCATTGATATTGCTGCCAAGCCACTTGTACTAGCACCTCCTTCCCTCGAGCAGGAGTCGTTGAAAAGCTACTATGTCTCTCGTGCCAATCCGTGCTCCCCCAACCGATGTGCGTAGTCATCGTTGATATTATCCCTCAACCCGCTTATCGCATACAGCTTGGGGCCATTGCCGCTGAGGAGGCGCGCTGCGTCTTCACCCGCTTCACCGCCAACACGGCTTGGACTCTCGGTAGCTTGCTGCGCGATCGCCTCCGGCGCGGGTCGACAAGGCCCGCTGTGGTGAACATAACGCTTGCGAACAGCGACCAGCTGCTCTTCCACGCAGCGTCGGGCTCTGGCACGGGTCCGGACAACGACATCTGGGTGGCGCGCAAGCGCCGTGCCGTGCTCCGCTGGGGCGCAAGCACCTGGGCGCTGCACAACAAGTACAAGGGTGATGAGGCGGCGTTCGCGGCCAAGTTCCAGCTAGGTCCGCGTGGCGGCGACTATGCCATTCACGGAGGTGGTTTCCCCGTGCGCGTGAAGGGCGTCGAGGGCATCGTGGGTGTCATTGTGGTGAGCGGCCTGACGATGCAGGAGGACCACGAGGTGATTGTAGAGGTGATCGAGGAGTATTTGCAGAAGGTGGATGCTGGGGAGATCCAGGATTGAGGGAACGTGGGTTGGGGAATTTAAATGAACCTGTATATTCGTATGTCCTCGGCGCACCGGAGAATGTTTACTAGGCATATCAACGGCTGCCCAGGTCTGAATTCAAAATGCACAACAAAATCCTCAGTTGATGTGACATGATTGAATACCTTTCCCGCAGATTGACAGATGACGGCTTCCGCCGGCTTTCTTGAATCACTAAGGATATGGACATGGCCCCTCGTGAAGGGTGCAGTGCAGTGTGCGCATGAGAATCCAATATACCCATTCCGTCGCAAGGAGAATACAAAATGACACAATACAAATCGAAGATGAAGCAATCCACATGTGTATGGTTTTTGTATTTCTGATCGTCACTGTCCGTCCGTGAGGACGACACCACCGCCCCAGGCCGATCGTCGAACCCAAGGCCGTGACATAGTCTCGCCTTCCGCCAATGAGGTTTCCCCCAGAGGCCCTCCAGTCCCGAGCGACCGTGACAACTCGAGCTGAAGGTATTAGCCGTCGCATATAACTGCACATCGAGGCGACCTCCCCGCCGCGCAGTGGTCTTGCTGTTCCGCCAGTGGAGTTTCCTCCATAGGCCCCGCAAGCCCGGACAACCACTCCGGACCCCAGGTGTTGGCCGTCGCATGTGACCACGCACCGAGCCGACCGACCCGGCACGCAGTAGTCTCGCCGTTTCGCCAAAGAGCTTTCGTTCAGAGGCCCCACAGACCCGGGCGACCAGTCCGGGGTGCAGGTGTTGGCCGTCGCATGGGACCGCGCAGAGAGGCGACCTCCCCATCGCACGGTGGTCTCGCTGGTTTGCCAGAGAGCTTTCGCTCAAAGGCCCCGCAGACCCGGGCAACCACGCCGGGGTGCAGGTCTTGGCCGTAACTTCGCGCCCGAGGGCGACTTGCCGCGCATCCGAGGCGACCTCCAAGGCGCGCGGTGGTCTAGCTGTGTCGCCAGTGTCCTTTCGTACATAGGCCCTGCAGTCCCGGGCAACCACGCCGGGGTGCAGGTGCTGGCCGTCGATCATCAGTCGGAGAGTTGGCTGCTCGCCGACACCGTCCATCCTGTGGCGACCTCCACAGGGTGAGCGGTCTTCGACAGACGTGCCAGGTCTGTCGGGAGGGTGTCTTGCAGGATGATGTCAGCCGATGTGAGTTGACAAAGTTGAGAGCAGACATACCTTTGTGACTTGAAACGCTTGCGTCGATTGATCAGATCGGGCTTGCGCGTTGGTGCTATATGGTGCAGAGTGAGTGACGCATCATCCGAGAGTGTGTGGCAAGACTTACGTGTCAGTATCATGTGAGGGTATCGTTGATCGGGGAAGGTAATGAGCGGCAGCGACATACGTCTGGACATAACAGACGGCGTGAGACCACTCCAACATGAAGTTGAGGAGGAAGGAGGCAGACGTACCCGAAAGCAAGTCGAAAGCAAACCGAAAGCGAGTCGAAAGCAAATAACCCGGCCGGGGTGAGGAGAGAAAGAGTAAGAGGGGGGGTCTTATATACCTTGAATTCAGAGGCGGCTGACTGCCATGCGGCTGCTGGCTCAACGTCAACTTCGTCAGCCTCTGCTCCACGCAAGTCGCGCTCTCGGTGTGTCCAGATCGAGCACGTCGATCCTGCCTGTCATGCCTGTCAGCCGCGCCGTCAGCCACACCGTCAGCCACACCGTCAGCCACACCGTCAGCCTCTCGCAGCAGAGAGCGCACAGATCGGTCGGAGGATTATGTGTACCTCATGGTATCAGTGCACATCCGACCAGCTTGTGCAAAACGTCACGGTAAAGCAGAAGAGGTAGTCTTCGAGGAGTCACCAAGACCGATGGGACGGCTCTTCCAGTGGCATGCTACCAGGAAAGACGAGACTTCTTGAAGCACAGAAGGGTCATTAGTAGTTGCACCTGAGACGCGATTTGAGATGCTGAAGAATGGCTGCTGAGAGGGAACACGAGGCGAATGTGATACATGTCTTGGTTGATTCTCGAGAGTAATACTCACGACGGCAGCTTCACAAGGAAATTCCTGAGACAGTAAGCCCGCAGCAATCGTTTCACCACCAGGCGCAAATTGGTGGTTGTTCCGGGGAATCGGCCTTCGCCCCTTGCATTGTCATGCGATTGAGAGATACGCGGAGTCCCCTTGACACCACCGGCGGTTCCATACTTCTATGCACGGGCCATTGTCAGTATGGTAATCGCGAATCCGGACACACCGAGGTATTTTTGGCCCGATCGATGACCTAAAGCCGTCCAAATCGTCAATTGGGGTCGGGAGCTTGTGGGAGCACCGCTTGTGCGTTTAGAATCTGTGAAATGTGCCGAACATACAAACCAGTGACGTAACCACTGATCGACCGACCTAGCGCTAGGAGCCCGGGAATTCGTGCACTGCATGAGTCCATTCGCAACACCTGCATCTAGAGGAATGTCGGGTCCAATCAGTCGAGCAGTCGGATGTAAGAGCAATTACCATTACCTAGCTATCGGAGAGCTATGGATCCGCATACGCAGCCACGACTCTTGAGTAATCCCAACTGTTCCCTTCAGCGTAAAGTGGTCTATCACAGCGTAAACGGATGTTGTAGAACGGTCGACAGCTGGAAATATGGTATGATTGCAACAATGTATTGTAAAGTCTACCGAGGCTTTCCAGAATACACAAAAATGAATGGATGGTCTGAGCCAATATACCATGAGGTATTATACCGCGGATATAGATAAGAGGATGAGCATCACCAAATCAGTAATACAACACATGGAGTCCATGATAACGATGCGCAATGTTCTTATAATTACATATATACCTGAAATGATTCGGGTCGAACCATGAGAGATGATCGCGACAAGGCTTTCATCATACACTCACAGTAAGCTCATGAGTCAGTTGACGGACTTCCCACCAGAGCTGCTCTCATCATCTCTAATGCGCCCAAATGGAATGGCAAAGTAGGAGCGACAGGTGCGCGCCACCTCATCCGTGCCAGAACTGCCAAAGCGTGATAGTTGTGCACGATGTCATGCAGAGCTGCGTCGTCAAAACTCTCCACAGCGTCGAGATTCTGGTCGAGGAGTTCAGTCGTGACTGTTGCCGATCTTGTCACCGAAGAATGTGGAGAGATGACTGAATGCAGTTGATAGACATGTACCATAGAGATCGCAGTGTGATCGTTACTAGTTGGCACGTGAATCAACGTGCTCATCCTGCGCGCACGCGGATGAGAGTATTGATGAGCAGGAAGTTCGTCTTCTTCGCAGTCTGGAATATACGGTTTGTCCGACGGATAAGACGTGGAAGTGACGGCTGAGGCGGAGTTCAGTGCAGGAACATATGTGAGATCCAGAGCAGGAAACGCTGCATATGTTTTGTAAGTCATATCTCCCAAAACCGATCCTGAGGGAGTCCGAGGCGTCGGACGCGACGATACTGGCAAACCAAATATCGTTCGCGTGCCGCTTGGTGGGACCAGTGTCCAAGTGTTCTCGTATTCAACGACAAGGAGCGAGATGTGCATCGGAGGCGCTGCAGCTGCGGCTGCTATGACGTCTTGAAGGTGTATTACCCAAGCTGAGTCCGGAGATGCACGCTTAGTCTAACAATCTCAACCCCGATAATAATAAAATCACGCACCTTCGAGTTCGTTCTCCCCCATAGCTCCCACCTTAGCGATGCCAACCCTCCATTCCACGTTTGCTCGACCCGCAAACGCTTGAGTGAAAGTCCAGATCTGAGAGACAATGAAACTTTCGACAGACTCCGCAGGAAGCAGCCAGGCCCCCCAGTCATATTCATCCCCTCGTTCATCTGTGCACGATGCGAGCAGCCATTGTCTGCACGAAGAGATCCGATATCCGACATGCAGCAGGGTATGTCGATCCACAACATCGAGAGAGCTAGGATGCGATTCGAGCGTATAGCTCACTCGTGGACCGCTGTGTCTTGTCATCGCGGAGAAACCACTTGCTAAGGCGAATGCTGGGGCATGGAAGCATGCACGAGTGCGAGGAGTCAGATCAAATAGTCTCCTCGACATGGCTCGTTCCACTGGCTGTAGAATGCGATCATAAACGCTGGCGACAAGGATCTCGAGTCCTCCATGAACGACGTTCGGATCGTCTAGCCCACCATTCACGTGGGCTTCCGGGACGAGATGAAAGAGGATTCCAGAGTCCGGATATGCCTTGAGCGCACGCTTGATGGCCGAGAACAATGGCCGAAGGGTAGAGGAGGCAGGTGCGCTGGTAGATGACGGGGTAATGATATAGAAGACGAGGTGATCCTGTGGAGATGGCTGTAAAGTCCCTATGAAATTGACTGAAGCACAATCAGCACAGCAATAAACATGATACCACTACTCAACTGACCCAAAGTCTTCTTGACTTGATCAAGGCGTATCGGAACCAACCCTGGCCTTGAGCAACTAGTAGACACCCCCACGGCATGGCCGCCATAATTTCTTGCCTGTATTCACGGTCAGCTTCAGATATATCGTAATAGAGGCTGAACATACGGAGTATGTCGCTGAAACTTGATCTATCCAAGCAGCTATCTGTGACTCCCTTTCTGGGCCTCCCGCTTCATAGAAGACGAAGGCGGTAACATTCTTTAGGCCAGCTTTGGGGCCTAAGCCTAACTTTTCCCAGAATCGCAAAGCAGTCGGCATGACCTGAACAATAGCATCAGACTTGCACACTGTGAGCAGTGGTGGAGGCAACAGAACAAGAGGATCAGATGCATCCTCCTCGCCAGATCTGGAATCTACGGGAGGAACTGCTAAGCGACCGGTGATTAACAGCGCGCTCATATAGCTTACCTGGAGAGTACACTGCACGGAGCGTCCCAGTGCTCAGTGTTGGCCCGACATTATCGAGGAGTGTGGCTACTCTGTTGACGTCGACATGCCATATGTCCACAGGGAGGCTGGATGCGGCCATCGAGACAGCAGCGTTTGCGCGCCACGCATCTGCCCATACCGGGTTTTCGACGATCTCAGCTGCTAGTAACTGTGCTGCTGCTTCCAGCGATTTAGACTTCTCGGATGCCGCTCCTAAAATAGCAGCTGGAGAGACAGGCGTAGGCACTGAAGTCGGATGGGCGCTGCATGGAGTACTGCTCACAACAGCACCTGGGGGTCTAAGAGGCGAACTCAGAGGCAAGAGCCGTGAGTGATGGAACTGAGTCTGTAGTAAAGTCGGACCCAAAGGTAAGTATGATGGTGGAGGCGTTGAGGGACGCGAGATAGTGGCTGCATCGTCGTCGTCCACCCATGGCTCATCGTCTTCGGACTCGCCGTCCGATTTGCTATCTTGAACCCAGGGGCTCGGCGTGCTGCTTTCCCAGTCTTCATGTTCCCGAACCCAAGATGGCGACATTGGGGGTTCTCTCTTGCCCTGTCCCAGAACCTTCCGCTTCATCCCTACCAGTCTGCGCATCACGCCAATCCGTGGGTCCGTCGCAAGACCGTACTTCCACTTCCACCCTGTTGATGCAGACGGCGCAGAGGAAGGGAACAGCTTAGTCTCCATCGTATCTTCCATGTTGTTCGGACTGGCCAATGCGAACTTCCCAACAGCATACTTACCGTCGGCAATCCTATGACTAGGGGCAAAAGGAATGGGGTCGAAGATTCTCGGACCGCTTGGTATAGAAGTATCGTCTGCTCCGAAGCCATCTGATAACTGCACAGCGGGTGTGGCAGGCGCCGAATATGAAGATGGTGTCTTCGAGGGCGACGGTGGCAGCAGTTCTGGAGCAGGTGGCACAACATCGCCAAGATGGGGTGTTAATGCTTCTGTGAGATTGGATGCCCATGACGATGTCAGTGACATTGCCGCAACAGGTGGTCCCGGACCGGAAAGGTCGTCACCAATTGGATGTGGTGAGTATCCCAGCGACGCAGCCCCTGCAGTAGGAGTCAAACCTTCGTTGACGTGAATAGTATTGTCTAGTCTGATAGGAGGAACAGGAATCGGCACAGAACGGGTTTGCGTTGTCGGGGCGTCGAAGAAACTGAAATCTTCGTCCGTGAAATCGCCGAACCCTTCGTCCATGTCGAAGTCACCATCGCCTATCCGGCCCATACGCGATTCGCTTAGCGAGTCCATGTTCATGTTAAAACCCATGTCATATCCCATGTCGAGGAATGTGTTGGACGGCTGGTTCCATGATGCGTCCAGACCATTGAACGGATCAAAATTCGACAAGACATCCGTATGCGGGGCCGGTTCGATGGGAATAGGCATTGTGTCCACGTCCATTCGCTCCGCTTTCACCTCTGAATCCGAGGAGGAATGCATAACATCATCTGGAGGAGGCGTGTTTTCACCGGCAGGTGGTGAGAACAAAGAGTCCGTCGAGTCTTGCGACGAGGGAAGGTCTTCGTCCATGAGAATATCTTCCGCCGCCGGAGTTCCATGTGCGATGTCGACCATAGCCTCTGGAGGAGGAGCTGTGACGCTCGAAGAACCCGGGGTTGGTTGGTCCACAACAGCAGACGGAGTTGAGGTAGACGTAGGCCCACTTGTGCTTGTGGCTCTCCCGCGGGTGGTAGTCCCTTCCCTTTCTCGTTTCAATCGCTCGCGCTCCCTCTCGCGCTCCTTGGCGACAGAGTCAACATAACCGCTCACTTCCGAAGCAACCTTGTTTACATCTCGGGGAGATGGGTTCGCGGTGAGTGTCAGCGTTCGGAAAGCACGTAGGGATTCCGTTGTTGGCGAGGACGTGACGGTGCGAGGCCGGCGGGAAATGGGTGTAGAGAGCGGGTCTCGCTCTAGATGGGCGGAGGGTGGTTGTGGAGTTGCGGCTCGTGCCTTAGGATCTGTTGCGACGGAGAGCGCAGTTTTGAAACTTGCAAAACTCTGAGGTATTGTTGGCGGTGGAGGTGGAGGTGATGCTTGCAGCTGCGCCGGAAGCTCGGGGTTGTAGGCCAGGGGTGTGCGCGCATGCGGGGACGGTGAGTTCGGGTGGTACGATAGACAGAGACGTGCTGGCCAGATGATAGGCATGCCTTTATCCTCGCCCTGCTTGTTCTGAACAGCCAGCCATGCAATGATATAGGAAGGATCCTTCCTATCGCACGAAGTCGTAGACGACGTACTAGCATCGGATTGCACGTGTCTTTTCGTATGAGCGCCTTTCCATTCGCCCGCGCCCAAACCGACGAGAGCATCATTGAACGGTGCAGTCAAGGCGGACGCGGGACCAGTGTACGTATTCAGGTAATACGCGGGTATACCATATGGAAGCAGAACGACTGGTGTACCCGAAGGAACTGGTAGCGTAGCACAGAGAGGGAAATAGAACGTTGGCCTTAGCACGGGATGGATAAGAAGTCGTGCAGAAAAGGGTGTTTGCGATAGATGAACTTGAAGATGGGTGAACACCAGAGGACGGCTCCGCGCATGATGCTCCCAACCGGCGCTCCATTCCGAAGATGCAGCCGCAGGACCAAGGATGAAGCCGTCCTTGAGCCTTATAGCTTGCCTAGAATTCGGGTTCAGCTTCGAGGTTTCGGTTATATCGTCGATGAGCCTATCCCGCACAGCGCTCAGGAAGTGATGGAATGGCATGCGGAGATGTTTTCGTGGGAGTAGATGTGCAGCTGAAGAAGCGGACCGCGCCGTCTTTGGGAATGGCTTGAGACATTCGGGGCACGGAGCAGTCTGAATAGAGCACGCGGCAGAACATGGGTAAATAGAATTTGTCGTGAACGTGGAATTATCAGATACTGTAAAGAAAACACGGTGGTTATCAGCGATACTGAGGACAGGATAGGAATCAATGAAATAGGCGCTATGAAAACGATGCCGAGAGAATAGACGCCCAGCATGTCTCGCATCATTCTCCTGAGATAAGTGCCGTGGATGCTCTGTACACATCTCAACTTCTGCGAAGACAGTATCTGGGTCGCTTCCGGCGGCGGCGAAGCATCGGCAAGACAAGGCGAGTGAGAAACGAATTGAACTCACGAGATAAGCCCTCAAACTGTAACGCCGCAAGAGCAGCACTCGTTGGAGAAGGTACGTCCTGCGACGCAAGTCCAAATACGTACAGCTTGGAGGCATCCTTGGTGATATGAACGCTTGGCAAGAGCGAGTCAAGGATACCGCGGTTGACATTCTGTGCCAACACCTTCCTTCGCGCAAGTTCAATGAGGTTGAGGTGATCCGCCGCGTTTGTGGACGGCGAGCCGGAGAACACATAGTAGGCAACCACAGGTTGATCAGGAAGAGTTATAGATGAAGCAAGAACGGGAGAGTCTAGAGTTACAGTCGGAGGAAATTGGGCCAGGAGTGATGAGCCAGTATTATCCTGAGGGACAGCATGAAGTCTGGCCGCCATGGCCAGCGTTCAAGAGGGCAAGCAACAAGATCTGCAGGGGAGAGGTAGGGTCCGAGTGTGACCGAGGAAGTCGTGTAAGCCGCAGAGGTGAAATGACTAAATGGCCGGAATCCGGGAAATGCGGCCCAGCCGTAAAGCAATGGGGGAATCTATAAGGACGCGCTATGGCCTCAGATAACGAACCAGGCGAGCTGATTACACAGGAGAACCTCGGGTGCAGTGTTAAAGATCACTGGTGGATGTTGAGTGGTTGGTACCGGAGAGAGGGCATTTGGGCAGACAATATTGGTGGCGTTATTTGAAGCGTACTACAGCGTGATCCGAGTGAGACCTACAAGCTCACCTCTCAGTCTCTGCGGTGTTAATTTTTTGGAAAACATAGTATGTGGTACAATTTTTGCAAGATACACGCAAGCAGTATCACTTCAATCGCGCAACTCGTTGGTAGTCATCGTTGTCGGAGTTCCCATTGGATTGTGGTCACGGATAGGGAAACATAACCTTGTCACGTTCTTATGTAATCCTCCCTTTTAAGTAAGTCCAGGGCCGTTTGTGGCAGGCAGTCCGGTTTATCAGAATTCCCGCGCTGATTTCAATGGTCCAACCAAGAACGTCACACACGCGGCAGATTTTTGTGACACACCGCTCCTGCCGCACTCTGTCCTCGACATCCTCCTCCCCGTTTCCAAAATGCAGTCCGTTTCTCGCCCTGCCTCTACATCGACCCGTCCGACCGCCTCGCCGAACCCGCGCCCAACGCAGCATCAGGTCAACACCAAGACACAGGTGTTTGACACCACTCATGGCCGCCTTCTTTGTATCGCAGACATCCGCGGGCGTGTTACAACACTGAATGACCTTGCGCGCGAGGCGAATGCCTCAGCCATCATTCATACGGGGGACTTTGGCTTCTTTGGTGCGTACATGCGTGTATGCGCTTCAAGAATGTGTCTTTTAACTCCCCACAGAGGCGTCGAGTCTTGACAGAATCAATGACAGAACCCTTCGCCACCTCACAATGTACTCGCCCTTGATACCCGCAGCGCAGCGCAACCATCTACTCGCGTCAGAAAACCCACCGTCTATTATTCGTTCAACCGTGGGCATCAGCATGCTGTCCGAGTTCCCACTACTGCTCTCCGGTCAGATGAAACTTGACGTGCCTGTCTACACCGTCTGGGGCGCCTGCGAAGACGTCGCTGTGTTGGAGAAATTCCGTACTGGCCAGTACGAGGTCAACAATCTACATATTCTCGACGAGGCTACCACGCGCTGTCTCGATATTGGCGGCATCAAGCTGCGTCTGCTTGGTCTTGGTGGCGCGCTCGTGCCACACAAGATGTTCGACAATGGCGACGGTCATGCAACGATTGCAGGCGGGCAGGGGACCATGTGGACAACTGCGCTCCAGATCGGGGAGCTCGTGGACACCGCCCAGCGCGTCTTTGACCAGACCGAGACGCGTCTCTTGGTCACACACGCCAGCCCCGGACGTGAGGGGATCATCAATCAGCTTGGGCTCGTGCTCAGAGCTGACCTCACGGTCTCGGCTGGCCTGCACTTCCGTTATGCTTCCTCATACAACGAGTTCAGCGTGCAGGGTGACTTTGAGGGTCTGCGTCACAAAATGCAGATCGGCAAGGAGGGCTTTGACAAGGTGTGGGAGAGTGTGAAGGTGCAGGTGAATGCTGTCATCGATGAGCATCAGAGGGTGTTGCTCGACAAGGCGCTCTCAGTAGTTGAACGTATACCAGCTCCAACCAACCAGCCTGGACCAAATGGGCAATTCCCTCAAGAAGAGCCCGCGTGGAAGAACTGCTGGAACTGGAACCTGTGCGATGCCGCATATGGTTCCCTGGTTCTTGATATCAAGGACGGCAGAGTCAGTGCAGAGTTGAAGAGTCAAGGTGCGTGAGCAGTCTTACTGAAGCAGACAAGAATGCTGACTTCGTTGATTTCAGGATTCAACTACGCGTATCGTCGGACTGCAACGCCCACAACCGCAGAACCGAACTCTGCTAACTCCACCTCACCCACGGCGAACGCTGGTTCCGGCGCGTCCGCGACTCCTACGCTCTCTACTAAGGGCCCAGGCACACCTTTGCTTGCAGATAAATCTGGCCCCCCGTACCTGACCACGTCGAAGTCAAAGCCAACAACACCGCCACCGGGGTTGACGGACTCGGGCCGCGAGACGCCGGGAGACAAGCCAAACGGGGCAACGCCGAACAGCGCCGGTGCGGCGGACAGGGCAGACAAAGAGCGGGCTAAGCGGGAACGTAAGAAAGAACGCAAGCAGCTGGAGCGCGTCGAGCGTGAGGCAGGTGCCGTCAAAGAGAAAGAGGGCGGGAGCAAGCCTGCGACGCCAACGTTGACCGAGGGTCCGAGTAGTCCTACCCCGCAGCAACAAGTGAAGTCGGGCAAGGCAACACCGGACCTGCGCGCGACGGAGGACGGCGTGATGTCTCCTGTAGCTGATAGCAGCGCGGGTGCCCGGACGCCGACGAGCAAGAGACCGCCGAGGAACCCCTGGACGATTTTCATGCGCTCGCGGGAGCCGGCAAACGAGCAAGAAGTGCGGGACTTCTTCGGAGACGCCAAAGCCGGGGTGAGCTGCATATGCCATACAACTGAGCTTACGCTGATAGGGGAGTCGTGCAGATCATTCGTATCAACTATCCGCAGAACTTCCCGGGCCGCGCGCAGAAGATGATGTACGTCGAGTTCGGTGACGAGGACGCGATGAAGGCGGGTCTTGCCAAGCAGGGCGAGGTAAGTGCATTTTCGATGCTGTCATCTGGTGCAGGAACATAATATTCTCGGGATGTGACAGAAACTCAAAGACGTGATACCCGAGCTCAAGCAGGCGACAGACAAAGAATCGCGCGCCGCGGAGAACGGTGGGCCGCCCCGCGGGTTTGGCGGACGCGGTCGGGGCGGACGTGGCGGTTATGCGGCGCGCGGATTCGCAGCGGCTGGGTTGACAAGAGGCGTCCCGCGAGAAAACGGCGACGCGCCGGCATCATCGGAGGGTCCGAAAGCGTCTGAGGGTTCCTAAACATTGTCTGCATGATTAGTACCGTCATGCCCCTCCTCATCCCTCTTTCGAAATGATGGTTTATGAGCATGGAGCACTTCATTTCCGTGTCCACTGTGTGGACGTCGACCGCCTTATGTTGTTTTGACCGTCTGGTGTGTCTGCAGCAGCTTGTGTTTGTCGATACTTATGATCATGGTAATGCGAGACCCTTCTATGCCGTTCACAGAGTTGATCATGAGACTGGACGGTCCTATGCAAGAGTGATAGCACGTCTCTTCTGTAGACAAATTACGATTGTCACTCGACTAAAGGTCTCTCGGTCGCCCAAGAGTCTACACGTCGATATCCCCTTTCAACCTGGGTAGTCCCAGGTTCATGCATTCCCTTATATGCATGTACTCCGGACGTGTCTGATCTTGGTTTGTCAGACCCTGCATAGAGTTTTGCGCCGGTCACGATGGCAAGTGCCGCCTTAGGCACATCGTAACATCATGATCTCCTTGCACGAACCTAATCGAAAGATTCGGCATGCACAAAATGTGAGTAAACAGGAGCCGGGCACTCAATACTTCAAGTTATTCGCAGCACAGCTAAGTCATCATAGAACAGAACGTGCAGCGCACTCAGGGAGGCACAAATAGCCCGCTTTACTTGTGTGAGAGCTGTGAGAGACTTGTCTGGGTGCCACAGTAGCCCAGTATGAATACCACAGATCAAGCAACCCTGCTGTAAAGGCCGATGTTAGCGCGGATCAGTGCCAGGGCGTCATCCTAGCTTTTGTTAAGGGTCCTCTCTGAGTCAGCTCCGTGGGCCTATAACGAGCAAGAACACGATTTAGCATGCTCGATTCGACACAGGGCCTGCATAAGAATCAGCCTGCATATTGAGTAATAGTTTAACTGGACATCCCCGTCGGGTTGTTCAATAGTAAGTACTTTCAAGCCGCCCTCACGGCGACCAGAATGATGTGATACCTCTAACGGCCGACACGGATCAGCTGGAGTGACACTCACCTATCTACGTCCCTTTGCAACACAGCAGCCCTTGACGGTCGGATGATGTCCGAGTCTGGAACGTTCAAGAGCACTTCTAGCTCAGAGCTGAGTATGTGACTATGCTCTAGCCTGTAGAAAACGTATGTAGGCACCCACATCTGAACAGGTATTTCCGAGTTTGTGTCATGATAGCAAATATGACGAGAGAGGTCAGCGACCATGTCCATAGCACGGCCGCCCGAATGGTGCTTCCTGAACGACCGAACGGATCATTTCTTGCGATCATCCCCACGATCAACTGATCGTTCCTTCCCCGGGAAATCACAAGCCGTGCGGGGCGCTCGGCTCGCCAGACACTATTCAAGTACCGGCACCTCCTTGCATTTGAAGCTATTAACCTCTCCCTCCTGCCCCCCACACTATGCTGCGCAACATTGCCCGCACTGCTCAGAACTCCGTTCGTCTTGGACATCGTTTGTCAAGAGCAGGCACTCGGTGAGCTACTCACGGCTTGAGGAGGAGGAATACGTGTTCAACGCAGCTTCATCTAGGTCGTTCGCAAGGACAGCCGCAGTACTATCTGAAGCTCCACTCAACTCGCTAGACGCATTCACAGATGAGGAACAGATGCTGCGGGAGTCCGGTGAGCGCGCTCAGTCGCATTGAAGGCGCTGGTTCACCCCTGACATTTTGTCTCCTTCCAGTTGCACGCTTCGCGCAGGATGTCATAGCCCCCAAAGTGCGGGAGATGGACGAGGCGGAAATGATGGAACCGGAGCTAATAAAAGCCCTTTTTGAGCAAGGAGTGAGCATTTGCGCTTGGAATCCCAACTAGCACACACTTAACGTCGCTCACCAGCTCATGGGCATTGAAACGAGCATAGACCATGGCGGCGCCGGGTCCTCATTCATGTCAGCTATCATTGCCATTGAGGAGCTCGCCAAAGTCGACCCCTCTGTTTCTGTTATGTGCGATGTGCACAACACTCTGGTTAATACTGTCATCCGTACGTATGGTACCCAGGAGCAGCAAGACAAGTGGTTGCCCCAGCTTGCCGAGTCCAAGGTGAGCTTGGGACACGTAAGCAGAACATGGATAGGACTCATACAGCAAGCAGCTTGGATCATTTTGTCTGTCTGAGCCCGCATCAGGGTCGGATGCCTTCGCCCTCCAGACGCGTGCCGTCAAGGATGGGGACTATTGGGTTCTTAACGGTAGCAAGATGTGGATCACGAACTCATATGAAGCGGAAGTCTTCCTCATATTCGCGAATGTAAGTGTGCACCCCGAGAACGATAGCATCGAGTTCATAATTCCACGACCTCAGGTAGACCCAAGCAAGGGCTACAAGGGCATCACCTGCTTCATCGCCACGAAAGATATGGGCATACAGATAGCAAAGAAGGAGCAGAAGCTTGGCATTCGCGCGTCATCGACTTGCCTCATCAGTCTCGACGACCTGCGCGTTCCGGCGGAGAACATTATCGGCGGCGAGGGCAAGGGCTACAAAGTAAGCACGTTTTACGCATGCGTCACACCGCACAGACACTGATGCTGTACGACCCACAGATCGCGATTGAGTGTCTGAACGAGGGCCGCATCGGTATTGCCGCGCAGATGCTTGGGCTTGCGCAGGGCGCATTCGACAAGGCGGTGCCGTACACGTATCAGCGGACGCAGTTCGGGCAGCCGGTGGGCACGTTCCAGGGGCTCGCGTTCCAGCAGGCGCGCGCGGCGATGGAGATCGAGGCCGCTCGGCTGCTGACATACAACGCGGCGCGACGCAAGGAAGAAGGTAAGCCGTTCGCGCGTGAGGCGGCGATGGCAAAGTTGTACGCGAGCGAGGTTGCGCAGCGCGTGAGCGGCGCAGCGATTGAGTGGGCAGGCGGCGTTGGTTTCACGCGCGAGACGGGGATCGAGAAGTACTGGCGGGACTCAAAGATTGTAAGTTGCGTGTGTGGTCAAGGGGCTACGCTGCTGACGTTGTCTTTGTCTCAGGGTGCGATCTACGAGGGAACGTCAAACATTCAGCTACAGACCATCGCGAAGCTCATTCAGAAGCAGTACTCATAAATCGTCATCGGTCTCATCATTCGGTGACATCATACCTGGAGCGTTTTGGACAAACTTACCCATGTAAAAGTACACATTGCCATATTCATTCTTAAAACAGCAGGATATATTTCCCAAGGGCCCGTACGCATTAAGATTGCTGCGAGCGGCGCATGAGCATGAGTACACTTTCGTATGTAGCCCAAGCAATAGCCGAATTTGGCGGCTTCCGCAGTATACGCAAAACTGCGCCGTCGTAGAAACCGATCCATCCGCGTTGCTAGACGGCGTAGATCAAGTAAGTTGCTTGCATGAACCGCATACGTCGTGGACTGACCTGATAGATAGTGCTGATGGTTTTCAGGAGCCCCTGGTATCTGTCTTCTGTGCGAACCTGCATTTTCGTCTGGACGATGCGTTAGCTGTTGGGGCTATGGAGCACGGATAAGTATTGCGATGTCTACCTTGACGACGTCGAAGGGATGTGTAGCTAGACTGGCAACTACGCCGGCGGATGCGGCTGCAAAGCCATACACCAAGGTTGACGAGGTCGAGGATGTCGGTGCGACGAAATGCTCTAAGACATGAGACTCGGTAAGATGCTATTTCAAGAGCGTGTCGTACGGCCAAGCCACTCACCTAACTCGCCCTTGAAATGCTCGTAAGACACAACAAACAACCCTGCGTAAGGCGCATCGCGCAGCGAGGCTGCCAGAACTCCTCGAAATAATTCCGAGGGACCCGCTTGCACAAGGGAGTGTATCGCGCTAGCGAGGCTTTTATATTCGTGGAGATTGCTCTGTAGGTAATATTAGCTGTCTCATATGTGAAAGCATGTAGAAGGCGGACTTCGTAGCGTGCTTTCAGCACCGCAAACGGGTTCAGCAGTGTTCCCACCGCCACCCGCGCGGTCGCGCCCGCCAGAAGGTTGCCCCATTTGGAGAGCTTCGGAAGGACAGATCCGGATGACGCGCGTGTTTGCTCAAGGGGGACCACAGCAAAGTACGGGGTGGTAGCGAGTACGGTTCTAACATGGTTCAAGCTGGTGAAATAAAGTGCAACTCCAGGCACATTCCTGGTGATGGTCATCGGGGTGACGTCAGCGGCACACTCCCCCATAAAACCTCAATAACCACTCACGAACCTTAGCAGAGTGGCACTTGTCCCCCGCCAGAGACCGAACACGCCCTTCTCTCTGACAATGTCCCGTGCGATCGACAAAATGCTTCCTGCATGCCTGCTCTGAGTTCAGACCATGCGTAATGATGCCCTGGTCAAGACTCACCGAGCGCCGCGTGAGGAACCGTCACCCTGCTGTAGGCGTGTCTTCAAGAGGTCGACTATACGCGAACTTTGTGTCAAGCTGCGATCTTTCGAATACAATGGTGTACTCACGCGGCTGCAAGGATATGCTGGACGCGAATCCCGACACTGCACCTGCAAAACGCACAATTCAACTCGCCCATCAGACGTTGAGGCCATGAACAATTCCATGGTAGTGAATGACAAACCTGACAGAAGGTGCTGACTAGCATTATTCATAAATGTTCGCGTCTTCACAGCTTGTATGCTGCTGTCACGCGGGCGTTTCGTTTCGTGCTCGCGGCGCTCGTCAATTGACTAGCCCAAGCTGCAATGCGCAGAGTCACAGAGTCAGGGTCTCAGTTCTCCGGAGCCAGGATTAATTGCCCAATTGAAGTGTAGTGGTCGTATTGAGCGGCTGTGGATCCGAGTTGGTCCTCGGCGCTTACCGCTGTGCCGGGAAAAGCTCGGATTTGCTTTACTATAGCGTCTACATCGAATGTAAATTATGTGTACAGTACAAGGACAGTGTCTTCCTTTTGCTCTACTGTGTGAGATTGGACAATGCTAAGTACTCGAGACATACTGAATCCATGAGAGACACCGGCGACGACACGGGATGGCCTAAGCAGCTAGGTCGCAAAGAGCTTTCGGAGACGTCCGCTCATGGCTTAACATGTAGACGTCAGAACTCGTGAAATACGGTATTATCATATCACTGAGATGACTGCCATCATGTGCGGAATTGGCGATATCAGGAAACGCTGAGAGGCTCGCAACTATAGGGCATGAGGACGTAATTACTTACGTACGATGTCTAATGCATCAGCACAGAGCATAAATAGTTAAATGGTCGTACTCATATAGCGAGGCTAGTGTACACGCAAAGATTCGGCTCTGTGCTGAGGTGCTACTTCTTCCACGACTGTCGAGTAGTACAGCCGACCTGCGACATCATCCACGACCCAGTCTAAGCCCTCGATCAGATTCTCACCTGTAACAGCGCTGCACGGCAATATCTTCCAGTGGTGTGACTTGATTGCTAGCAGGTCAAGGGCCTTGTGAAAAGCATCGTCAGAGAATATATATGCATGTATTCATTCATGACGCACATCACGTATTTCGGTGCTGCTCATAGAGCCCTGTATGTCCTGTTTGTTTGCAAATACTAACAGGGAGGCACCAGCCAATCTCTAGTTTCGCGCAGATTCAGCCAACGACATGACGCCAGGAAAGATACAGGTACATACGTCTTCCAGTAGAAGGCTGTGAAGCTCCTCCTTGCAATCGCGTATTCGCATGCGGTCACCAGAGTCTACCACCCACACGAGCGCGTCGGTTTGCTCGAAGTAGTTCCGCCAGTATGGTCGAAGCGTGCGTTGGCCACCAACGTCCCCTAGAAGACAGTCACAGTCACGCAGTTGTAATTGCGCATCCACATCATCACTAACAAATGTTCAATGTATATCTAGTCGCGACTCCCCTCAGCCGAAGTCGCATGGAATGGGCGAGTAGTATGCGCACTTCCGGTGAACGAACGTCTTGATGTTGAAGCCAAGTGTTGGGCTTATACCCATGATGTCCTCCCCGTTCAGTTTCTTCAGAATTGTTGTCTTTCCCGCATTGTCGAGTCCTCTGCGCGTATCCGAGAGTTATGAGATGGAGTAATGGTGATTGGACGCGGACGGGCCCGCGTACAAGAAGAGGATGCGCATCTCCTTTTCCTTCTGCCTATTCTTCCTGATTATCGTCAAGAGCCCCATGGTTGGACAGCCACTGCTTCAAATGAAAGTGCTAGTATTCGCAGAGAGTAGACGTCTGGATGTATCTGGATACGGAGAGAGTACAAGTATGGACCGCCGGATCACGAGCGTTCACACACTTTTCCTCGGTACCGGCACCGGCATCGTGCTCACTCATCCCAGCATTGTCCATTCTCTATCCATTCCTCCTTTTCCTCCCACTCTCGAAACCTCGTCTAGCGAATATACGGGATGGCTCCAAAAAACAAGGGAAAGAAGGGAAAGAAGCAGGACGATGATGACTTCTGGTGAGTAGATCAATCGACCCTGCGAGACCGATTGATCGAGCATGTATGCAGGGATAAGGCTGGGACGTCCGTCGCAAACAACAATGCGACCCCACCGCCCGAGGCGGCCGAAGCCCCAGATGACGACTTCAAGCCTGCAAAGAAGTCAGGTTTCTCTGCGTTCGCTGAGTTGGGCGTTGACGATGGGGACGCTGCAGCAGAGGAAGAGGATTTCGGTGGTCTCATGGTATGTTTGCAAATCCACTCCTATCTTAATGTAGTTATTCATATGTTATCTATGACTGCAGTCTATTATCAAAGCGTCTACGAAAGGCAAGAAAGACAAGAAAGACAAGAAGGCAGGCAAGAAGGGCGCTGCCGAGGTGTCCTTTGCAGATGGCCCATCGCCTGGGGAAGGTTCGGATGGCGAAGCAGCAGCCGCAAAAGGCGATATCAGTGCGCCAAAAGGACCTGTACAGATGTCCGCGGAGGAGCTTGCAGACGAAGAGTGGGGCCCGGTGAAGGAAAAGGGCAAGAAAGGAAAGAAGAAAGGAAAGAAGGGCAAAGCTCAAGAGGATGATGAAGAAGAGGAGGAAAAGCCATGTAAGTCGGGCTCTTTACAATCTACCGAGGGATTAACCCAATTTTATTCTAATCTTGCGTCTGATGTAGCTGCTGCGCCCGAAGCTCCAGCACCGGCTGCGCCTGTGGAGGCTGAGAAGCAAGATGAAGACGAAAATGAAGATGGCGCTGGCGAGGACGGGGGACCTAAGGTCCTTTCTAAGAAAGAGAAGGAGAAGTTGAAGAAAGAGCGTGAAAAGGTTTGTGTCTACATTGTCGGAGTGCTCGACCCTGATTGATATTCCTTCTCACCAGGCCAAGAAAAAGGCACAGGCGGCAGCGAAAAAGGCTGCTCAGGGAGAGGATGCTGCTGACGCTGCATCGGCTCCTGCGCCACCTGCACCAGAACCAGAGTCTTTGGAGAAGGAGGATGAAGGCGAGGATGAAGGCGAGGGTGGTGGTGCGAAAGCAGATTCTAAGAAGAAGAAAAAGAAAAGGGCAAAGAAGGACGATGAGCCGGCTGCGGCTACAGCGGCGGCAGGCGGCAAGAAGAAAGCAGGCGGCATCAGTGCATTGAGGGCGCTGATGGAGGAAAAGAAGCGGATAGAGGAGGAGGCAAGGAAAAGAGAGGAGGAGGAGCGGCAGAGGATCGAGGAGGAGGAGCGGCTGGCGGAGGAGGAGGCGAAACGCAAAGAAGAGGAGAAGCAGCGGAGGAAAGAGAAAGAGAAAGTACGTTTTTATGTACGTCCATGCGGAGCTGTGTTGTCTCACTCAAGTTCCAGGCCAAGCGCGAGCAAGCTAAGAAGGAGGGCCGTTTGCTCACTAAGAAGCAGAAGGAGGAGCAGCGGATGGCCGAGCTGCGTAAGCAAGCACTGCTCGCCTCCGGGGTACAGATCGAAGGCTTGCAACAACAGCACGCCGGTGGCCAGGCACCTAAGAAGGTTGTGTACGGTAATCGGAAGAAGAAGGGACCAACCAGTGTCACGGACAGTGGCCCCGCGACAAGAGAGACGTCTCCAGTCCGGGAAGTGAAGCCTGCTCCCTCAAAGCCTGCTGTTCTCCCTGCCGCGGCACCGCCTGCTGTGGAAGCAGAAAAGTCGGACGATGTAAAGTCCGATTGGGACGCAAGTAGTGACGAAGAGAAGCCTGCTGCGGACGTTAAGGATTCATGGGATGCAAGCAGTGACGAGGAAGACGCCGCATCTAAACCACCAAAGGCGGCACCAGGAAGTAAGTCAAACAAATTTCGTTCATGCTGTACATTATATTCATCTCAACTCTCATCTCCAAGCCAATGGTGCTGCGAAGGCGGCTTCGAAGGCTGCTCAGGTCAAACCTGCCGCCATCGCGAAGGCGGCTCCCACGAAATCATCTGCTACTGCGTCTACAGCGAAAGCTGCACCGTCGAAGCCTGCACCTGCAAAGGCGAATGGTGCAGCAGAGTCCTCATCAGAATCCGAGGAGGAGAGCTCGGATGAAAGCTCTGACGATTCTGATTCAGACTCGGACGAGGACTCGTCGTCTGGTTCGGAGTCTGATGGCATGACCCAAACTCAACGCCAGGCTGCGCAGAAGAAGGCGGAGGCGGCTGAGCGGAAGGCGAAGGCACATGCGGCTGCCGTCGCTGCACAGAGTAAAGACAACCTTCGTAGCCCAATCTGCTGTATTCTGGGTCACGTCGACACGGGCAAGACAAAGCTGCTGGACAAGGTACAGTCGATGCTATTGCGAACTACCAGTGCTCGACTGACTCTCATGGACAGATTCGCCAAACAAACGTCCAAGAAGGAGAAGCCGGTGGTATCACTCAACAAATCGGCGCCACTTACTTCCCTGTCGACGCTATCAAGACAAAGACCGCAGTCCTCAACAAAGTTCGTCTATTTTCGAGACGCGTTGATATTATTCTCATATTTTGCTGTAATAGGAGGGTACGCAGGACTACAAGATCCCGGGTCTTCTCGTTATTGACACCCCTGGTCACGAGTCCTTCACTAACCTGCGATCCCGCGGAAGCTCGCTCTGTAACATTGCTATTCTTGTTGTGGATATCATGGTAAGCTCCTCCCAATGCCGATAACCTCTGACATGATACTGACACACCGTAGCACGGCCTCGAACCGCAAACCCTCGAGTCGCTTCGCCTGCTCAGGGATCGCAAGACGCCGTTCATTGTCGCACTGAACAAGATCGACCGTATGTACGGCTGGGAAGCTTCACCCGATAATGACTTCCGCAGCTCCTTGGCAATGCAGACGCGATCGGTGCAGCGAGAATTCGAGGACCGCTACCAGAAGATCGTCGTAGCGTTCGCTGAGCAGGGATTGAATGCAGTTCTCTACTATGAGAACAAGAATTTCGCGCGGAATGTCTCTGTAGTCCCGACATCCGCTATCACCGGCGAAGGTGTCCCCGATATGATTATGCTCCTCGTTAACCTGACGCAGCAACGCATGAGCGACCGTCTCATGTATCTGTCAGAGCTCGAGTGCACTGTGCTCGAAGTCAAGGTCATCGAAGGTCTGGGAACTACCATTGATGTTGTCCTGTCGAATGGTATCCTTCACGAGGGCGGAAGGATTGTCGTTTGCGGTCTGAACGGGCCAATTGTCACGCAAATCCGAGCGCTCCTGACGCCTCAACCTCTCCGCGAACTGCGTATCAAGGTGAGTTGCAATTCCTCGCAAAGTTCTTGAAGTTCTCAATGAGACTAACGGTGCTGTACTACCTCCAGTCAGCGTACGTCCACCACAAAGAGATCAAGGCGGCAATGGGTGTCAAAATCGTAGCGCCAGACCTGGAGAAGGCCATCGCCGGTTCCCGTCTGCTGGTCGTCGGGCCTGATGACGAGGAGGAGGACCTTATGGAGGAGGTCATGTCCGACCTGACCACCCTCTTGAACTCGATCGACAAGTCTGGTCGCGGTGTCTGCGTGCAGGCCAGCACGCTCGGTTCGCTGGAGGCGCTGCTCGACTTCCTGAAGTCGAGCAAGATCCCCGTCTCGGGCATCAACATCGGCCCTGTGCACAAGAAGGATGTCATGCGTGCAGCGACAATGTTGGAGAAAGCCAAGGAGCTCGCCTGTATTCTTTGCTTCGACGTCACAGTTGACAAGGATGCCGAGCGGCTTGCAGAGGAGATGGGCATTCGCCTATTCAAAGGTCAGCCTATTGTTGTCTATGTAGCGAGCGCTGCGCTGATCACACTTATGTAGCTGATATCATTTACCACCTCTTCGATGCCTTCACGGCATACAACGCCGAGATCACAGAGGCGAAACGAAGAGATGCTGCACCTCAAGCTGTCTGGCCGTGCAGATTGAAGACTATCGCTGCGTTCTGTAAGCGCGACCCGATCATCCTTGGTGTCGACATTCTGGACGGTACTCTGCGTGTCGGCACTCCTATATGTGTCGTTAAGACAGATTCGGAGACAGGAAAGAAGGACATTATCGATCTCGGTCGAGTGTGGGTACTGTGATCAAAAGCGAGATCCCTTGGTACTGATATTATACTAGTACATCTCTCGAGATCAACCACAAACCATTCGAGGTAAGCTACTGGGCTTTGCTAGTGTTCTACTCGCTTCTGACTCCATGCTATAGATTGTGAAGAAGTCTCAGGCCGGCGCTGGTGTCGCGGTGAAGATCGAGCACGCCGTCTATCAATCTGCGAAAATGTTCGGCCGGCATTTTGACGACAAAGATGAACTCTACAGCCACATTACTCGCCAGAGCATTGATGTACTGAAGGCGCGTTCTGCAGTGATTTCTGCCCGCGAGCGATGGACTGACATTTTCTCGCAGACATCCTTCAAGACAGATGTGAGCAACGATGAATGGCTGCTCATCAAGGCTTTGAAGCCGGTGAGCTATCCCGCGACGCTGCAGCTCACGTACATGTTCCTGACCCTGGATGTTCCCAGCGCCTCGGCATCCCGTGAGCGATATCGATGACTCCCGACGTCATTTTTGTCCCACGCCCCTGATCGAGAGCATGTGGAAGTTTTACATACACAAGTGTATTTATACCGCATTTGTACTTCAATTTGTATCTGCTCTTCTTAGTCCTTCCGCTCGTCGCTTGCTATCCTCACGCTGAGAACATGTCCGCGGCCGCAATTGACGTCGCAAAGTTACCTGCGCATACTGACACCGAGCGCGACTCTTCTATCGACGAAGATGAGCTCCAACTGGTAATAACACCGGTGCAACTGGGAAGAACTATGCGGGGAAGGGGCTTGCTGTGATTGTGTCATCGGTAACGTCGCTTTTCAGTGGTGAACTGGAATGGCTACGGGTATCCTTGTCGCGATGCATTTCTTGGACTTGTTGGCTGTTGAAATCACGGTTGACTTGGACGAGGGATGCAGAGGACCGGCAAGGATTGAGATCATACCGTCTGAACCTGAACAGCGCTCATACCTGCGTAGGGAAGCCCCCCCAGTGTCACCTTCTTACTTGCCTCTTCTGTTGATGCAGAGGGGCCCCGACGTGATGCGCTGACCTACTTCTGTTTTTTTGATAGCAAAAACTCGGGTATAAACAGGTATGCGCGTTCATGGAAGGCACATGAGTGGGATTCCTAGACTGAATGACCTTTATCGTAGCAATTACATCGTAGCTGGCATTTCGTCGAAAGCTTTGCGGCGAGTTTTGTCGCACTTAACTTCATCGGTGGTGTTCGGTGAGCCTACCGTTTATTCTTTTCATGCACCGGTGCTGACATCCCTCCCCAGAGCTGGGATCTTCCTGGGCCTTCAAGCCGGAGGGCCTGCTGCAGTATGGTACGTGTCCAAAATATGAGGCGCGCAGGAGGCCTCATCATTATTAGGTCGTCGTATATCATCTCGATGATTTTCATGTTCATCACGGCGGCCGTCATGGCTGAAATCTGCTCTGCGCTCCCTCTTAGCGGGTCGATTTATATCTGGTCGGCCGAGAGTGCAGGCCCGAAGTATGGACGATTCTTCGGCTTCATAGTTGCTTGGTGGTCGTGCACTGCTTGGATGACATTCTCCGCGGGAAACTGTCTGGTATGCTGTCTTGATACATCGTCATATAACATCCTTTCTGACACTGGTCTGCAGACGGCTGCGAACTACATCGTGTCTGAAATGATGGTCTATAACGTCAGCTACCCAGGCGGCGCCGGCAACGACAGTATTCAATGGCGCGCACTCGTATGGGCCGTCGCAGAGGGCTGCCTTATCGTTTCGATTGCCATCAACTATCTTCCGCCGAGACTTTATTCTGCGGTCTTCAAGTTCTCCATCGGGCTGTATATGGTGGACTTCCTGTTGTGCTTGATTTGGCTCCCCATTGGTGTATCGAAGACATATGGTTTCCGCTCGGCCAAAGAGGTCTTCACTATGACGTGTATGTCTCCAAATATAAGTAAATAATGGCTAAAAGCTGACCGGATGCGCTTTTAGACAACGGTACCGGGGCTCCTCCCGCGTGGAATTGGATTCTATCCTTGTAAGTCATGTCAGGTTGTGGTAGGCTGCGCATGTGCTTACCCTGCCGCCATAGCCTTTTCACGTCGGGGACTATGATTGGATTCGACGCGTCCGGTCACATTGCTGAGGAGACGAAAAACGCCAGGTATGCCATAGTAGCAGTCTTACGACGTAGGACAGCTGTTAACCTGTTTTGTCGCAGCGTGGTTGCCGCTCGCGGTATCCTCTACAGCGCCATCGCGACTGGTGTGCTCGGGTTTGCGACGACTATTTTGTTCCTATTCTGCACTCCCGATCTCGACACCCTGTTCGCGCTCGATGCTCCTCAGCCTTTCGTTCAGCTGTACGCGCTCTCACTCGGCAAGGGTGGCAGCATCTTTATGACCATCATCGCTGCTGTGGGCCTCATTCTGGCATGTTACTCTCGTCTTCTCACTCCCGCGCAACTCTAATTACCCTGCTTTATACAGAATACAAGCGTCTCGGTCGTCGCAGCTTCACGTCTCGTCTTCGCCGTATCCCGCGACGGCGTCCTTCCGATGTCAGGCTGGATCGGGCGCGTCGACTCGGAGCGCCAGCCACGCAATGCCGTGACAGTGATGTTCGTCTTTGGCGCGGCAATTTTGTGCACGATCCTTCCCAGCCAGGTGGCTTTCACGTCACTCACATCGGCTGGCGGTATTCCGACGACTGCAGCCTATGGGCTCATTGCGCTTCTGCGACTGACGCTCACACCGAATGATTTCAAATCGTCCCGCTTCTATCTTGGAAAGTGGCGGAAGCCGTTCTACGTCGCAGCCGTGCTGTTTAACGGCTTGGTCTTCGCAGTACGTGCACCACATTCTGTGAACCCTCTACAGTTAGTTAACTATGGTGATCAGACCCAAATCTCGCCTTTCTACTTCCCGGTGAATGCAGAGTCCTTCAACTTCGTATGTTCGTCCAATCTCTTTGCGTGCGCGTGCACTAAATTTAGGTCGACAGGCATGCGTGATCTTCGGCTCCGTCACTGTCTTCGGCATTCTCAGCTGGTACTTCATTCCCGAGGAGAAGTGGCTCCGTCGCGAGCACGTCCTGCGCGCACTGGAAGTTGCCGACGAGGAACCTCTGCAGGCAGGCAGCTCGGGCGTCGTCGCTGGAAGTGCTGCAGGTGTTGGGGCAATTTCGAGGCATCGCCGCGACTCTATCAACAAGGACAGGGATGAGCTTGACTTGGAGTAAGACAAGAGAATAGAGGTCTATATAAATTGCCTAGATAGAGACGGAAGAGTGGGATGGAGAACAAAGGGGCGGAGTGAACAGACGTATGCAGCATTGTCCTGTGTCATGCTTCATTTCTTTCAAAAGATTAGACACCGCCAAAGTTCTAGCGACCCTGCACTCTCTGTATATAGAACTTCGGCTCCGCATGAATCTTCCTGATATCGCCGAGTGTCGTCACCCAGCGAAGATAGAGCCTTGTCCGCTCCCGAATTCTCTCGATCCTTGATCGGAAAATAATGATCGGTGTTCGATGCATCGGGCACGTACATAGGATTCCCTTCGCTGCCATTGTCACTTGACAAAGGCGCTGCGCCTCGAGGCATGCCAGCCACCACCTCGAGCTCCGTCGTGAGACCGCACGGACGACGATTGTGTCTGGCAGACATGCAGGGATGCGTTAATATGCAATGCCAATATTGATAAATTCGAGAGAGCAGAAGAGATGCCACATGCACTGTACAGCTGGCACATTGCCGTCGCTTATATCACGGCATAGGCACTACCAAGGGCGTCTACAAATGTGGATATCCGCAGATATCTCGATGTGCCTCACTCTCGGTATGGCAACGATATAGTGGAGAGCGCGATTCCACCCCGTAAACAGTGTGCCTTGGAAGTTGAAAGACGTCCGTTCGACAAGACGTCAATGTGCAGAGCGACAGACGCAACGTAGCAGCCTTTCATGGTAATCAAAAGGTCTAATGGTATGTTGCAAATAGGTCGCTCCATCGGAGTCATCAATTACAAGGCACAATTGGAATTGGCAGCAGCTGAACGAGACGATCTCGTGGCCGACACGGCCTCAAGCATCGTCCGTAGATGACATTGTGATCGCTGTGGATACATCGCAATAAGCGGGTCTGCGGAGGCCGTGTGGCGGTTGCAGGGAACAATGATCTGCCCTGTCCTGGGAATGCTGCTGCTCGAGAGGAGTGTTTGGAGTCTGAGCAACTTGTGCGATCAGTCGGGGCTGAGCGGCAGGCGGAATTGTCTCAAAGTAGCTCACGGGCAATACAGCGAGCGGCAATCTGCCGCATGTTGTGTGAGACGCTTGAAGGCGCATTCATCATCCCAGCACGCAGGAGCTAGTGGAGCAAGCTCCGAGTTCATTCGTCGTATCGGCCCGCGCCTGAAGCTCGAGACATTGCCTCGATGCGTGAACAAACGCTGCCGGTCGGATACATGCCATTGAGCACGGAGTGACTGTCATAGGTATTAGAGAGGACATCACAATGGCGATACCGCAGGTGACCTACATAGATACATGAAGAAAATAGGTTTACACGTTGCAGAATTCCATTTGGACTGGGAGACAGCAGAAGCCGTGCACCAGACATGCACTCGCACGATCGTCTGTAATTTGAGAGTGAGACGGTGATCAACCAGAGTGAACAACCATACCTGCCTTAGTACCAGGCTTCTCAGGCTGCCTAACGCATACAGGAAATGAAGACACTATCACGGTGATGCAAACACCCTCTGCCAATGAGACGCGCTCAGGTATGCGGCTTTACACACCGGCAAGACATGTCTCCGCCCTGGCCGGGACTGCAATGCAAAATCACGTCAGTAGGCGGCGGACTGGGCAAAGAGCGAATGGAATGGAGAGCAGCGCACAAGCATAGCGCCCTGGGTCAACTTACCAGTAGAATGGGTGAAACATAGGATATACTGATGATGAATATGTCAATCGACCGCCACTAGTGCCTAAGGGCAGTGCGGCGTTGTTATGGCCTGAACATGTATTCGCTGGGGTGTATATTGGCCTCTCTCTGGACGGCATAATTGGCACTGAGTGTATGTAGGTGGTGTAACATAGCCGGACTTGCGTCTTTGAACAACCTATTTACGCGCTGGCAGAAGGCTCCAAGCCCGCGGCACCGAACTCCGCCAACGTGACCGGAAGCGGAGTCATGGAATCTCAATGGTCAGATTGGCGCCACCAGATGGCGACTGTCTCGCTCGAAAACAACTCCAGAATCACCTCGACTGTCGTCTTTGGACATAATGTTTTGGGCGTTATGTCAAGCGCATGGTCATCGTGACCATCTCGTGCTGCGGTGAAGTCACAGAAATCGCTAATGTGCTGACAGTGGGTTCTAGCAGATCAGCTAGCCGCTCAGCGCTGGGGTCAGGACAACCTATCGATATTGTTACTTCTCCTAACGATGACATGAGGCTTGCTGAATCCGTGTGTTCTCTTTCATCCACACTTGCGTTTTGGCGTTAAAACATCCTGGCAGATGCATAGGTCCATTGGTCTTTGGGATGTGTGACCCGTGACCTCGCAAACGTCGTTATGGTCCGCTGAGCTGTCGAAAGCATGTCGGAAATGATCGTCATCAATTCAAGCTCAGAATATCTTTCAAATACGTTCAAACATGATAACGCCCTAAGTTGGAGGAAGTGGCGCATCTTTTGCGCGCACTCCCAGCATCTTGTCAGTGTGCATTGGTTATCTATTGGTCGTCTATAGTCACTCATGGTGCAACACAATATGACAACCGCCGCTCAGATGTGAATACCTACCTGGGATGAGTAGGCTCGGCCTTTGCTGAATCCTGCCAGTGTCCCACGGTATGCACGCACTCGGATCGAGAAAATATAGATATATCACTCCGTGTGCGCTGAGGCGATATACCAGGTGGATCCCATATGTTAGACAGGCGAGCGGTTGTGCGCGGACTCATCCCGATGCAGAGCCCCCACGGGTCTGGCGCCCCGCGTAACCCGCGCTCATGTCAGGCCAGTACCGCCTATGTCTAACTTAGTGTGCTGATGTATGTCTCCCGATTTACAATCGGTGGCAAGATGGACCCGTTCCGACCTTGAGTCTGGTATACAATTTTCCATTTCCCGTGACTACGTTGGTATAAAAGACTGTGGACGTGTCGCCAAGAGCATCCCTACAGTGTTAGTGATATTACCACCCTCCCCATCATCGCTCAGGTGGTAGTACCTCGACGAAGATGACACTAGTATCTATCTTCACGGCCGTTGCGGTCCTGGGGCTGTCTGTCGCTGGCACTCCCACTTTCGACATTACGACTGACCTCGATATGTCGAGTCCATATGGTACAACGGGTCAGACCATTCTTGGCGGATGGCCTATTGCCGAAGTCTACCACCTCGACATCGTGAACCGTAATATTACACCCGATGGCTTCACTCGCCAGGCGGTTCTCGCTGGCGGCACATTCCCAGGCCCCCTCATCAAGGGGTTCAAGGTATGACTGTTGCATCTGTGCAACCACATCATCTGATTATGAACATCGCTAGGGCGACAATTTCCGAATTCACGTACACAATTATCTGACTAATTCGACCATGAACAAGACTACCACGGTGGTGGGCTATACTACTGTGTTCATGGACCATTAGGCATTGTGGCTAACAATGTGTCCCTCTAGCACTGGCATGGAATTGACCAGCATAGGTCGAATTGGGCTGACGGCGTGGCGATGGTCACCCAATGTCCGATTTCGTCAGGGCAATCCTTCCTATACAACTTCAATGTTCATGAACAAACTGGTGCGTATCCATTTCATGCACCCCCTCACGTGCTGTAGCTTATTATCACCCAAGGCACATATTGGTATCATAGTCATCTCGGTCTGCAGTACTGTGATGGCCTGAGGGGGCCGCTGGTTCTTTACGACCCTCATGATCCCCACGGTCATCTATACGACTACGACAATGGTGAGTACCTTACGCCACACGACGGGAAAACAAGTGGCTGAACACAAGAGCTTCGTCAGAGACCACTGTTATCACCCTGTCCGATTGGTATCATCTTCCTGCAGCGCAAATCCAACCCCCTTTGTACGTCTATTGCCCTTCTGAGCAGAGGGCAAGCTATTCATTCCTGTTATCCTCCTAGCATCCCCGATTCTATCCTCATCAACGGTCTAGGCCGCATAGATAACACTAGCGATCCATTGACAGTCCTACACGTGCAGAAGGGGCGCCGGTTAGTGTAACGTACTCTCACATCTGCGACTTGCTGATCAAGCTCTATAGATACCGTTTCCGTCTCATATCTATGGCTTGTGACCCGAACTTCACGTTCTCTATTGATAACCACACGGTAACCATCATCGAGGCCGATGGGGAAAACACGCAGGCCTTGCCTGGCATTGATTCCATACAGATCTGGGCCGCACAGCGGTATTCGTTTGTGGTGCGTATCATCTCACTCCGGCAGGAGGTTGTACCGCTGACATTGTATGTCACAGCTGGAGGCCAATCAGCCTGTCGACAACTACTGGATTCGCGCCTTGGTCGAAGCCGGTGACACAACCCCTCCGGGTCTGGCAATCCTACGCTACGAGGGTGCAGACGAAAAGGACCCCGAAACCAACCAGACCACGCCTGTTAACCCGCTTTCCGAAGTCAACTTGCACCCGTTGACAGATCCTGCGGCGGTAGGTCAACAGCGAAAGGCCTTATGTTAGCGGGGCTGACTATGTAGTAGCCGCCATTCAACCCGGACGACGGAGACAAGGCCATTGAACTCAACGTGACCTTCGTAAGCATCGCACAATACCATACAATGTGAAAGCTGGCTGATTCCTTCCTGCACAGAACGACGGCTTGTTCTTTGTCAACAATGTATCCTATGCCTCTCCGCCAGTACCCGTCCTCTTGCAGATCTTGAATGGATCCCGCAATCCATTTGAGCTCCTGCCTAAAGGCAGCGTGTATGGTGTCCCGCCCAACAAGGACGTGGAGATCTCGATCCCGGGCGGTGTTCTGGCTCCCATCACTCACCCGATACACCTGCACGGGGTGAGCAGATTATTCAGCAGCTTCGGGCCGAATTGAGCTGACAGCCGCGCAGCATTCGTTTTCCGTCATCAGGAGCGCTGGTGAAAACAAGACTAATGTGATCAATCCAGTCCGTCGTGATGTTGTCAACATTGGGACAACAGGAGACAACGTAACGATTCGTTTCAGGGTGAGTTGTTGCTCGATGCTTGTGACTTTGTTCTCATGCGGGGCTATACAGACGGATAACGTTGGACCCTGGATTCTTCACTGTCACATCGACTTCCATCTCAACACAGGCTTCGCGATCGTGATGGCAGAGGACATCAATGGCACTGCAGAGCTAGTCCATCCCTCTGGTAGGTATTGATAGAATCCAGAGTGCACATGTGATCTGACGTAGACCGTGCAGAATCCTGGGACTGGCTTTGCCCCATATACGATTCACTTCCGGCAATCGACCACTGAGCATCGGTCGCAGTGGCCCTTGGACGTCATCCGTAATCGTTCCAAGTTGATAACATGTGGCAGCCGTCGCACCGACACTTGCTAGATCCTCTGCACGCTTCTTGTCATGGTGGGACTCAACATTACTGCATCCTGGTAAAAAGCATCTTGTATGGTAATACTGTGAATTCATGGTCCTTAGTCTTATCGAACTCGAGAAATGTTGTAGTCGTTATTATCATCATAAGTATTTATCTGAGCAAATACTCTGCTTTCATTTTGTTTGCACCGTCCGCCTTTCCTTTCCTGGAAAGTTATTAAGCGCCCCTCTCCTTGCTGCACGTATGTCCGCTCCTTCCTACTCGATTTCATTTACATTACAGGCTCGTCAGCCCATGGCAGGCATGTCGAGCGCTGTGGCTTTCTGTGTGCCATGAAAAGGCGCAAATTGCCTTCCACAATCATTTACCTCGTTTGGTGCGCCACGAACAACCTGCGCCCACCTTGACAGTACGCTCTTTGATACTTTGACTCAATCGTTATGTGATCGCTTTGGCCGTGCTTATACGCCACGTACGGACGCTTTAGTTACAGATACGCTCTGACAGTTGTAGCTTTGTATATATATGCTCTCTGGGAGCCTTGTAATCATCACCCAACCCGCTCATACGCTGCGCGAATGACCTACTCCAACAATAACGTAGATATAGTGGCCCACATCGACATCGAGGTGCAAGAGAATGAGACAACTGATCAATCAGGGCGAGGCTACCTCTTTTCCGGGCAGTAATAGAAGAATTTCGACTTTCCCAGAAGTGATCCTAAAGAAATATTGAAGTTGAGAGAAACCTGCCTTGGATAGACGGGAGCACATTGATATCGCACGTGCAACTACTCTTCCAGATGGTGCGGTTGTCACCTGCGCTCCTATTCATGCAGCTCAAGTACTGACGCCGCGCATGTTGAATCTGAGTACACAAATACTTGCATATTCACACCCTTCGTTGTTGGACACGAATCATCGCTCCACCACGTAGAGTGATTTTCTGCCTCGTTGCCACGCATGACCTGCCATGGTACCAGGCAAATGCTGGTGGAGAGCGAGCATTTTCGTGCAAGTGCATAGGTCCATAGCTCAGAATGGCTCCAAGCCTAGAAGCCCTTGGCATGCGCCTTCCACATCAGCAATCTAACGGAGGAGGTTCAGCTGGAGTCAACACGATGCTGAAATGGCCCAAAATCACTGACCTCCTTGGGTGCGTTGACACTCAAGACGTCGGGATAGTCCTCTCCCACTAGGGCCTCATCCTATGTGGCCACATAGGAGCACAGGGACATTGAGAACCTAAACGAAACGGGGCAGTGAAGCGGCAGGCCACACACCTCGATACGAATACCAATATTGTGGAAGTGTTTCGGATAGTGCGGGAGAGGCGGTACGTATATGCCTATGCAACCAATTCACGTTAATAAGGATTGCACATCCCGAGCCCCACCCTTGTATACGCACCTGGTTCAATAGTGATGACCATTCCAGGCTTCAACCTATCAACCTCGCCAAACCCATATTAGCACTTAGAGCACCAACGCGGACAGTCACCCACGGTGAGTTGCGTTCAAAATGAGTTGATTCATGCAAATCTGTAACGCTATCAATGGACACATTGATGACAGCTGCGTTAGCACACTCACCTATCCCTACAGGGTGCCCTATGAAGTGCGGATAAAGCTCTGACATCCGCCCCTCGCTGAGTCCCTGAAAGCCTATGCTGATTAACTCCTTCCTGAGCAGCTCCACTGATCTTCTATGTATATCTGAGAGGCTAAGGCCAGAGCGTGCGGTACACATTGTCACCAGCGCCTTCTGAGCAGAAAGAATCGCAGAGTACAGAGCAGCCTGTGCTGAGGTGAAGCGGCCCGTTGCGGGCCACGTACGGGCTAGAGATGTCTATCTGAACTTATAGCTCGTAGAGAAGCAGGCGAGAAGCGTACTGATATCAGAGGCATATCCACTGTACCGTACGTTAGAGACCTGAGAAGACGCAATGTGAATATTCACTACTGACTTGTATTCGCATCCGGCATCAACTAGGATGAGTTCATCCGCGCGTATGACCTGATCATTCGCAGTGTAGTGTATAGTCAGCGCGTTCGGCCTGTCGATATACCAATTGGTCATGAAGTTGCACATAAGGCAATTAGTGCAGAAGGGGACACACCCGGAGGCAACAACTGGGACATATGCAGGTCGCTGGGAGCCCTCTCGAGCACACAGGTACTCGAAGTGAGCGGCAAGGACATGCTCAGAAATACCAGGGCGGGTGAAACGCATTGTCTGAAATCATGATAGTCAGCGCCGGCTAATCTCGCAATCAACAATCTAAGAGAACCGAACACGACATGAACGTATATGCACGGGCAGGATGCAACCAACACTGCCCAAACAAGCGGCAAGGTGTTAATTCCACTTTAGGAAATGCTCCATCCAAGGTCCAACCAGGTTGTCTTCATAGCCGCCTCAGTTTCACGCGCAAAATCGCCACCCTCGTCTGATAACCGTGCATATCTCATGGGAACCACCCACCTTCGCATGGGCCCGACCACTGATGTCTGCGGCATGGCGCATGACTCTCTGTTCCGTGTCGCTTTTAATAGATCTTAGCCGTCCAACTTCTGGTGCGAGAGGTCGACGTTTTGCTCCAGCACTACTGCTGTTGAGAGCGTCCAGGAGCGAGTCCGAGTTGCCGGATGAGGAGAGATGCTGACAAATGTCGTCAACAGTTACAACTTACAATGTCCTCGGGTGTGCAAACCTGGAGTAATGTCTTCCATCCACCCGTCCTACCTCTCCTCGCCCCGCCGTTCTGGCCAGGTGGCAGGTCGATGTACACAAAGTCGGTGTTAATATCGCGCAGCAAGTCTTTAAGAGCTCCTGGAAACTCATCAACTGCACGGACGTTGTCCGCACTGAATGTCGTCTGCACATCCTCAGAGCTAGTGCGTGCACCGTCCCATAATGCCTGAGTAGGTGTCTGCAAGGGATGGAAGAATGTATAGGTGTACCCGTGACGTGAGGACGCGTTGGACCGTAGAACGATGGCGGAAGAAGGCTCCATGAACCCTGTGAGATACATAAAGTCGGATGCTTGCCGAAACTTGTAGCTGGCAGGCGTCATATGAGCCCAGACATGGCGGACCAGCAATGACACTCACAAAATCTCTGCCAGTGGGCAAGGAGCACGTTAATAACAGAGGAGAATGAATGTATATGCTTTAGACTTACGCCCGCTCATGTATTTGACTGGGGCAGCGACGCATACGACGGCACTATTCGGAGGAAGACTATCCATCAATGTGCGCCGCCTGCGCTGGTATTCCTCCATCGGAATTCCCGGAGTAAGCTCCCCCTCATTTACTGCAATACCCCCTAATTAGCCCAGCGAACAGCGAAAGGGTTTGGAAACCGACCAAGGTGAGGATGGGATGGGAACAGCGGTTGGCCGTACACAGAGGGTTTCATACATGTTTCGGCATGCAGAGGTGCCTCAGTCGCATACAGCCTCTGAAATTGAATGCATCTTCGGGACAACGAGATTATCGGGTTGGGTTTTGGTCTAGGGATGCGTCGAGCAGACTTGACGATGAGCGAGCTAAGGGACATGGAAGTTCACCCTAGGGTTTACTTGAATTGTGGTTAGGGTCTACATACGTCGCTTGTGGGTGCATGTTTTGATCGTCGCGTCGAAAAGTACTTAGACGCTTGCCAGTAATATACTATTTGCTCGTGGCGACCGTGACTGATAGCTACTGGATAATGGTGAAACTGCGCGTCAGCGCATCTCCTGCACCGGCGATTGGTGCTGCATTTGACTTAGAAGACGAGAAAGTTGACCTAAAACACAGGCAGCCAGCCACGAAGCGAGCGCGCAGAGTTTTGGCTGACGTGTCTGTGCTGCCGTTCAATGAAGTGCTGCGTCTAGCGCGTCTCGCACGAGAAAATTTATCCACTGCTATCGTTGAGAATGGTGAGTCTCATGCAGAAACTTGAAGAAAATGCTGACTATACACAAGTACCGTCCGCAAACGCAGAGGCAGTGTGTGCTGAGATGTCCATCAAAGAAGAGCCGAAGGAGGAGCCACTGACCGCAGAAGAGATACAAGCTATTCTCAATAAATATAAGAACGTATGCGATGAGACATGCTGCTACCCTTTCGCTGCTCACATTTTCCTTAGCCCCATGCTCAGATCAAGAAGAACTTACAATTTGACGGTGCAGTGGTCATCGATAGGTTGAAAGCAGTTGGACTCGACCCTTTCCCGATCGATCTCGATGAGAGAACTCTGCATTCTGGGTTCAATCGATATTATATTCACGATCTATACGGAGGCAACCCTTCTGAGACTTTTCCAAGGCCTGCAAAAGAGAAGTTCAAGTTCACGGGTATCAATGATTTTATGTGTCTATCCTTGGACTGGAATCCCCATGCACCGCTCAACCCTGGGGATCCGGGATTATACTTCATCGAATGCGCGGCTTCAGGGGCATGGCCAGAAATTCAGCGAGTATTTGTGAAGACATGCACGAAACCGAAGGCACTTTGGAAGCATATGGGTTATTACCGCATGACACCATCCGAGTCATTGAGTTGCGAAGAATTCTCTAGGCAACCCAATATCGTATGATCATTTTTTCGACCCATCCATACCACTACTAATGAGCATTCCACGTTAGATCAAACAAACCTGGGCAAACGGAATATTGGACAAGGGCTGGGGCTGTCCGGTCTGGACCAGGATCTGGCTCCGCCGGCAAAATCACGGAGAACCATCACCCGAAGAGGTAGAGGAGATCTGTTCTAACAAATTACGGCTTGCAGAAATCAAAAAGACTCTTCGCTGGCAGGAAATCTCCGAGGCGTATGTCAGAGGAGACGAGGTGAGAGTGGTGCAAGTGCGTGGCGGAATGTTCTAAACGCACGCTACGTAGGAACTGGGCGTTTGGTGCATGAAGTGTGTAGGATACGACGTGGAGTTCCAGCACAGTCTTGTGGACAATGTGGGGTCTTACAAGCCGCCTGAACCTGGGAAGAAGAGGAAGCACCAGGCGGAGCAGGAGGATACAGAGGCTATCAGTGTGGCTGAGGGGTTGAGGACACGCAAATCATCTAAGGCGACTGGCAAAGGGACCAAGGGGGACTCGCGTGCTGCGAACACTAGGTCCAAGCGCAGACAACCAGACTCGGATCAGGAGGACTATTCTGAGGCCGACATCGAACAGGACGACTCAACAGTCGGGCGTGGAAGTGGTCCACTATAAGCCAATAGGGACGCGTTCGCGCCCTAGCTTAGGTTGTCTTGTATACCATGGCTGATGCGAGACACGTTGTCAGGTTCAGCCACTTGCGATTCGTAGTTCATAGAACGTTACAATTTAGATATCATTGATATTTACCTTTCTGTCTCCATAAACGTGACTTGAATGAAATGTACCTTTTAGATGTGGTGGTATTGCAATACTGTAAATTTCAAGGGCGTGCTAGTTGTACGAAGGGCACAGCTATGAACGTACTTGACAACATAAAGTGTCATTGTCATCTGGCTATTGGATGGTCTCATAAGCTAAATCAACGTTACACTGTTTCTGAGTTCGCTTCGCAATACGGACGAAACCTATACACCTGTAATGTTGCAGGGAACGAGTGTTCTACCATGAGCGCATAATCAGGTCAAGCAACATCCTCACATTACAATGAGCGGGTTTTAAGGTCATGCCTGGTACCACTGTCAGACTACGCGCGTATGGATCAAAATTGCGAAAGGCATCCACTGACCTTTTCGTCCCGCTGCTTGTACGGCTTGAAGCGAATGAACAATATAGCTGTCGACAACACCGACGTCGCTATGATCGTGAATAGTCCTGCAGACCATATGGCCCACGCCTCGCTTTGGCTGCGGCTAGAATCATCGATCGGTTCGGTTGTCATGAGAGCTAAGCTCATCAAGACGATGCCTATGAACACGCCGAGTCCAGTCAGGGCGTTGAGTGCCCGCACCACACGGCGGGCGACCATATCACGATCAAAGTCTAGGTCGTCAGAATCCAACACGATGTTGAGACCGCTAGCCGCGACTGCAGCAGAAACGAACGCCGTGGAAGCCCAACTGAAGCAATGCAACGATCCACGCGCTGCGGTGAATACGCATGACCAAGCGACAGTGGCACCTGCAGTTACGGGGGTGAGTCAATGGGACTGGGCTAAGAATACTTGGGGAATGGTATGTACCGAAGATCGATACAGCTGCTAAGGCAGTCGAGTTGGCCTTGTGTGAAACGAGTGAACTGAGCACAGTCCGAGTATCTGACAGAGCGTATAGCGTCTGCGCATCTGCACGAGCAACGAAGATTTGTGACGGCGAGCCGAAGCCTTTAGGCGCTGCGGGAGATGTCGGGCCAGGACTGCCGCTGGTGGACGATAGTATGGGCCTCAAAGCTGAATATGTGGAAGAGGGTCGATAGCTTCCCTCTCTACCCTGAGTCGAACTTGTACTGATCGGACTCGAAGCGTAGCTATGGTCATGTGGCGGAACCCCCAAATAGGTCGTATTCTGTGTGTTGCTTCCGGAGACGTCTTCATTTCTACTTGCGGGTGGCCACTCCAGTTTGATCGTCGATCTGGGTCCAGGAAATGAAGTCGGTTCCTTGTCTAGAGGTGAGGAAACTTGCGAATCGGTCGGTGATTCGACATTAATGTCCGGTGAAGCTGTCACCAGAGCCGTTGCTGGAGGCGTGTCTGGACCCATTATCATTATACTGGGAGTCACCATGTCCGCTCCTGGTGGTGATGGAGTCCATGTGGGGGGCATCTAAATGCTGAAGTTTTAAGTCACTACTAGTGTCGGACGAGAGACGATACTGACGTGGATGATATCTGACGAAGAAGAGGGGATACGGGAAGAATGACAGTGCTGTGATTATAACCAGCGTCGCTTCTTGCACTAGCACTAAACCACACTAAGCGCCGGAATTGAAGATGGCTCAAAACACGTTGCAATCTATCTGTCAATAATCTGTACTCTCCGTGGAAAATATAGCCGGCGTGGAAGCATGCATGCTACGCAAATCATCAGAGCTTGTGCCATAGAATATACATTACTATGCATGATGTCGAACAGTATTGACAATCAATGTAAAGTCCCTGGCACTCGCTAGATGTTGCTCACCATCATGTTGTGGTCGGTGTTTAAGATTCGCCGTCACCCGATCCACAATTGTGCCCGGAGACTGATTGCTGTCATACGCGACACACGAGCGTTCTGTCCGTATCCGCAGGTCACGGGTGGGCGGGCACTTCGAGCGTCTACGACCTTGTGTAGTGCACAAATCGCATGTGCAGCGCAACCGTCACGAATGAAACTACGAGCGAAATCGTACATAATCCAGCGGCCTGAATCGCGAGTTTCTCGGCATTGTTGAGATGGGCGTCGTCAATGGGCGCAGGAACCGCGATCGCTGCACTGAGCAAAAGTACGCCACTTATGATTCCGAATGCTGCGAGCGCATGGAATGCCCGGACAGCAGCATGTAACGGCCCGCCACTTCGAACGGCAAGAGCAGTCTCCCTATCGTTCAGGATAACAGCGACACAGCTCGCTGCGGTGGCCGCAGGAACGAGAGCGGTGGTAGCCCAGGCCAAGAGTGGCAAGGATCCACGACTTGCGGAGAAAAAGGAGGCCCAAGAGACGGAGGCAGCTGCCGCGAGATGTCAATCAGAGTTAGGACGTAGGGCAGAAGACGCCTTACCCAGACTCGCGATCGCTACAGGGCGGTCGATTGGTACGCGTCAATAGTGGTGAAGGTAGTACTGGGTCCGGGGCCAAGTGAGTAAAGATTTGGGCCCACGGGGTATAGACTGGAGTCAGGTGGGTAAGACTCTTGCTGGGTGAGCCGCGATCCTATCCTGTAAGGGCTGCTTCGCGATCGCGCCCCAGCGGGTCCAGTCCTCCCATATACAGGCTGTGCTCCCCCGCGCGTTGCCACGGGATTAACTCTGATCTGCGACATGGGACCCTGGTATGCCGCAGGCTGAGAATAGCCTCGGATTTCATACCCAGCATGCTCGAAGTCGATTAAAACTGGTGGCTGAGGAAGTGGATTGGGATTTAGTGTGTCAAGATGCGAGGCTTGCTGTGCTGTTGATCTCGAAGGTGTATACGACGGATCTACAACGGGACTCTGCCATTGCACGGCGGTGGGCCTTCGCGTCGAGGCTATCTCAACTATTATGGGTATTCGTGTGGCTTGTCAGGCGTAATTCAATTTCAAAATGATGGATTTGTCTGCAGCACGCGTGAATTAATCGGCCATCATGGATGACCCATCTTACCGAAAAGCACAAGGTGAAGTTCAGCACGTACGCTTACCGCAATAACAAGCAGTCCGTCCAGATCCCTGACTATCGTCTATGTTCCTGGAGATCAAAGTTCAGCTTTTGGACCGCCATCCAAGTAAATGGATTGATTCACGTACTTAGTGGGACGGCTTGGCGCAAGCGTGTGGGCAGTACGAAGCACCTAGGTTGTGTGCCATGAAGAGCTCTTACAGCAATAACGATAGACCTCCTCTCATAGATTATACTTTGGGGCAAGGTGGGGCAGAAGCTCACAGCAGGCGTCAGCAGTGGTGCAAAGTCTGGCTTCATGACTTGTGGTCAGATTGAGGAAGCTACTGGCATCGCGTCATGGGGTGCAGAGTTCGTCGCTATCTGCCATTGCACTGCCCGGAAGCAGAGGGCAATGAAGTAGATTTTGATGAACAAACGAATATGGACAAGGAAGTTCCTGAGCGCCGCTATGCTCCATGCCGCCTATCTGCAATTTTTGAGAGAAAGGTCTATCGTTATTGGGTTTGCTGTAATTAAAGGAAAGAGGATGATGCCAGATAAACCCGTTACCGCAGGTTGGGCTCCTTGCTTTCAACTTCCAAAATTCCCACGGTCTGTGCCCATGGGAGCAGAATAAATAGACTTGCGGTTCACATACTACATTACACAATGTACTACTGTAATAACAACTATAGCATTGGCTAGCGGAAAGCTAGGCCCCCATCGCCGCACCGTCTCTCAATCATGGATAGTAGCAAGTGCATGGATGACATTGTCAATTGACGTCTTGGTTGAAATAGCCAGTATTTACGTCTGCAAAAGAGACAGTCGTTAGCTAATGAAAGCATTACATAGATGTGAATGTTCAGTCAATGCTCAGACAGAAGATCCGTCAAGGTAGTGTGCTTGCCAGTGGGAGCATATCTATAATGTCATACAAACTTACATCGGCTCTCTGGAGAGTCCAACTCCGCTACATTGAACGACCTCCAAAGTAGGAAGGTGGTGTGCCCGATCCGGGAGGCGGGGTGGCTGATGACGTTGCGGAGAGCGTCATGCATCTCGCCAGTTTGGATATATACCTGGCACTTGTCATGTTCCCGGTCCAATATTCGAATCAAACACCCCCGCACGAGATTTTTCTGCCGACTTAAGAACATGTCGTCCATTCTCCCCGACACTACCAACCCCGCGACCCTCCTCAGTAAACGTTTCCGCCCAGAGGACATCCCCGACCTTTCCGGACGCGTCGCCATCGTCACCGGTGGTTCCGCAGGTATTGGTTACTACGACGCGCTCGGCCTTGCGCGGGCCAATGCACGCGTGATCATCGTCTCCGCGAATCAGGAGCGTGGCAAGCAAGCCGAAGCAGACCTAAACAAAGCGCTCAAGGAGTCGAGCTCGACGGGCAAGGTCGAGTGGCACGGCGTGAATTTCAGTACCCTAAAGGACGTCGACGCGCTAGCAAAGAAGCTCGCTGAGCAGGAAGAGCGACTCGATATCCTGATCTGTAACGCGGGCGTCGGCCAGGCGCCGTATGCTTTGACGAATGATGGGCTAGAGCGGCATTTTGAGGTGAGTTTGACTGTACCCGCATTCATTTTACAGGTGAGCTGAGATTCCGCGCAAGATAAACAACCTCGCACACTACGTCTTCGTGCTGCGTCTCTTGCCGCTCATGAAGAAGACAACGCAGATAGCGCCCCCCACAACGGTCCGCATCGTAATGCAGAGCTCTGAAATGCACCGCGTGGCGCCAAGCACGACAAGGTTTTCGAGCAAGGAAGAGATCAACAAAAACGGTGATGGCGCCATGCTGTACGTTGGTTCGTGTGGTGCTGCGATTGCTTTCTAACCCACATCCCCGACAGCTATGGTCGCACAAAGCTTGGCTTGATTTATTTCGCGCGCGAGCTCGTGAAGCGAAAACTCACTGACCTCCCTCCTGACCGCCCAATCCTTGCGATATCTGTCCACCCAGGCACAGTAGACACTGACGTCCAGAAGCAGTGGACGGAGTCGTATGGCGTGATCGGCAAAGTCCTCGATGTGCTCTCCCGTGCGGTAGGTAAAAGTGCGGAGGAAGGCGCAGAATCAAGCTTGTGGGCGGCAACAAGCACCGATATATTTGAAGGGAACTGGAAGGACCATCAGGTGAGTGTCATGGAGAAGTCCTGGACGAAGCGAATGTTGATCCGGGTGTAATCTCAGGGCAACTACTACTCGGAGGCGTACGGCAAGCCGGGCACAGAAAGCAAGCTTGCTCAGGACAGCCAGGTCTCAGACAACTTCTGGAACTTCTGTGCGAAATTGACCCAGGAGCTTTTGGGTGAGCAACTTGAATGATAGCTGGATGATGGAGACAAGATCGAGACAGACAAGACGCATTAGCCTATTTCCGATAAGAATAATTAGTGTATCGAGAAAACAGCTCGGATTCCGTGTACCCTCGGTGATGCACGACTGTAAGGGATAACAAACATTGTAAGCGGATACAACGGGAAGAATACGCGATGACCTAGCAATGGTAAGAATGCCATCAACCCATAGGTCGATAGACTCAGACCGGCGTCATTGGAATATCCACTATAAATGCTAACTGTGATTCATATCAACTCCTACCATTGTTTAAAAGCCGTGAAATATACTTGGCAGCAGGCATTCTTACAGCGCATTAGTATGTGTCTACAAGGCTAAACAATCAGTCTCATCCGAAGTCGTTCCTCAGCGGAAAATTTTGTCAAATGCTTGAGCCGCAGACGCATCCTGTAACGGGCGTTCACACAACAATCACGGGCCCCTGCGCGTGCCTGTGAGATTCTCCGGCGCATTCAGGTGCTACTGGGGCAGGCACTTACAACAATAATCGTCCGCACCACGCATCACGACCCTGCACGCTGTGAGAGTGGCGAGGTCCAGCACGTCCTTCTCCCCAACAAAGCAACAGTTGATCACCGCAACCTCCGTGATCGGGTCTGCGGCAGGTAGAGCGGAAGGAGAGGAGTCGACGACGTTGCGACCCCGTACAAGCTCCACAAGCACGCGGCCGCTCAGAAGTCCACACCAGCGCAAGTCGAGCCGCGCCAGGCGGGGGCAGAGCCCGGCGGGCGCGCAAAGCAGGCGCACAGTCGCGTCCCGAATGGACGACTCGTGCAGGCGCAGTTCTCGGAGCTGCGGGAGTGCCGCGAAGCATGCCGCAAAAGCCTCAGGGGAGAGGTCGATGTCGTGCAACTCGAGCAGCTCGATCAGGGGCGCCGTGCGCGGATCAGGGTTGAGGTCGCTGTCGGGAAGAGCAGGTAGGGTGTCGTCTGTGTCATGCGCGCTTGAAAGAAACTGCAGGAGGCTCGGCGCGATGGGCTGCTGGCGGTAGCCAAGGTCTTCGAGCGAGCGGAGATGTAGCCGCCGTAGGGCAGGCGTGCGCAGATGCGGCAGGAACTCGTTGAGGTCTGTGGGGCCGTAGAGCGTTAGAGACTCAAGAGCAGGTAGGGTTATGGCGCGCGCAATATCCCGCTCGGGGACGAAAGGGTGTTCGTAGGAGAGAGGCATGGATAGTGTGAGGATGCGCAGAGCGGGGACACCTTCGAGCACAGTGATGAGGGAGGCGGAGGAAAGAGGGCGGGGGAAGGAGCTCTCCTGAATGGTAAGATTGAGCTCCACAATGTGTGTAGGAAAGATGGGAATTAGAGGCGCGGCATTGGAGATATAGCAAACGGTAGAGAGGTTCGGCGCATGGTTTGAAGAAAAGGCATCAGTGAATTCCCCGACGTCTGAGACCCCTTCATCGTGTACAGCATCGAAGTTGACAATAGTACGAATTCCGATCTGACTCAGGAGCGGGAAAGACGGCAAGGACCGCGCAACGCGCCGCAGCAGATGGGCCACCCGAGATATGCTGCCTGTTTCGATCGAGAGCGTCCTCCACCTGTGCGCATGCAGCAGCAGCAAGTCCATCACCTCCGCAAGTTGTCTCTCCGGGTTCCACGGGGCCATGACGGTGACTGTTAACGGTGCCTGACGCGACATAGCCAGCCAGAACCGTGTGCGACCGAGCGTGTCCGGCGAGTCGCAATTGACATAGACGTGGGACCATACCCTCGGTGCGCTCGCAGCCCTCCTCCATGCGGAGCAGACGTGTGAGACGACAATGGGCGCGCGTGTCCAGCCGTCCTGAACGCAGTGCTCGAATATCTTGCTGAGCAGCTCCTCGGGAATGCGGCGAGCAAGCGTAATGACGCCCATGCAGCGCTGTATTGCCTCCTTGTGCAGTTGTTGTTCTCTGCGGAGGCGCTGCACGTCTGATAAAAGGGTGGCAATGTGTTCTTGAATGGCACTGACGGCGCGCTCATGCTTCTGGATTTCCTGGTTGGCGGCGTCGATGTCCTCCAGCGAGGGCTCGCACCTGTATAGCATTCGGTTGAATGACATTTGGGGAAAAAGAGAGAATGCCGGTGATACAGAATACAAGGGTGCGGCAGAGCGCTTTCGCAGACAGACACAGCTCGGAAAGACATGAAGTCACCAATGGATGGGTGATCGACACCACGTGGCATCACGCGTGGCGCAGGCAAATTCGCTTGCGCTCTTGCGGCCTCTGCCGCTAGTACGCGTTCGCCAACCACCAAGGTGGCATATCTCACTCAGGCATAAGGTAATTGTCCCCACCGTTCGTGTGCGGCTAAAGATGATTCAGAGTGGAATCTCAATCGACCTGCACATACTTCCAATACAGTGCTGGGTTGAAATGGAGACTGCGAATGTTCTAGATACTGCTGAAGCTTATTGAGTGGTCTCGCAAAGCAATAGTTCGGAACTAACGGCATGTCCCCTTCACCTTGTTTCGTAGGCTATTCGTGGCAATACATCAGTTCTCCACACTACCCACTATGGACCCACGCAGAGCGCGAGACCCTCGTTTAGCCCGTGCCGACCCTCGTCTTCAGCGCGCGCAGTCCAGTGCACCTCCACAGGTACAGCAGTACAACCAGCAACCGCCAGCGGCATACCCGCCACACCAGCAGCACCAAACTGCGCCGGCACCATACTCATCATACCAGCAGCAGCAACCGCCTACTCCTTATCCGCCTCAACAACAACAGCCCCCATATCCACCACAAGGGGGCTCAAGCGCTGTTCCACCATACCCGACCGCAACGCCCGCACAACTCCCCGGAGCTGCGATCTCAAACCAGCAACTTGGTGATGAGGCACAAGGGGCGTCGAGTATCGCTCAACAACCGCCACAACTGCAGAAGTCGATCTACAAACCACGCCCTTTGTTCTGTGTGGTATGTGCAAGTAATCAGGTAATATTTTCGCCGTTGTCCACATGTCGCCTATTCTGAGGTCGGCCTAGAATCGGTCAATGGAAGGCCATTATGTGTTATCGTACGCACCCATTCAGTTCCTCGCTCGTCTGGTGAGGCTGATAGCTTTTGTAGGAAGGCAGGCTATCGTGTAGTTTCCTCCGGAACAGGATCGGCGGTCCGTCTACCTGGTCCCGCAATAGACAAGCCAAACATCTATGCATTCGGGACGCCTTACAACGATATTTACGAAGAGCTCCAAGCCCAGGATTCTCGGCTGTGAGTCAGCGGCTGTACCGTTAAATCAGGGTGCTTGCTCAGTCGTCTGCAGTTACTCCGCAAACGGGCTTTTGCAGATGCTTGACCGGAACCGACGAATAAAACTGGCGCCAGAACGGTGGCAGGAGAGCAAGACAATCGCAGACATCGTCATTACCTGTGAAGAACGATGTTTCGACGCGGTCTGCGATGGTCGGTACCCGGGTCATTCTACATTCTTCGTGTCGGCTAATTTTCGGGCAGATCTGCTGACCAGAGGAGGAGACTTCAACCGACCGGTCCATGTCATTAACATTGAGATTAAGGATAACCATGAGGAGGCTCACATCGCTGGGAAAGCGATCGTGGACTTGGCGGCCGCGGTAGGTCTCGACAGCCTTCTGCTTGCGTGCCGCGGCTGATCGCGCCGTCTCGGACAGATCGAGGCCTCGGACGACATCGACGAGGACATGGAAAAGATTCTGCAGGCACACCAGGAGAAGCATCCACACAGTCTGCTGCATGCTGTCGCTTACTATTAAGACAACACTGTTTTTTGTATGTTTCCGTCTCGTCCTGTGTGCGGCGTCCGATTAACAGCCTTTCTCATGCAGGCCAAGACTCGGCCGCCTTCGACTGAAGCCAAGCTCATACTGGCGTGGTACTCACTACTTGGCTCTCGCAGGCTGGTAATGCGGAGGTTGGAAGCGAACCGCACAGCTGCGATTGGTTCAATGACCCGCAATATTCCCTCTATGTGACTTCTAGCTTAGTCTTGAGCGTTACCTTTGAATGGTCATGCTAGGGACCATGAAGGCTTGCATTTCCTCTCGTGCTCGTTTGTGGAGCTTCGATGTATCGATAACATGACCTCATGATGTTCTCTGTCAACTTCCAAGCGTGCCGGATTTGTTTAGCCCGCCCATTCTACACAATTCGCCTTTCCGCAGAACATCTCAGCCACGGAAGTTTCAGCTCTCTGTTCCACGTCTCCCTCCTGTTAGGAGCACCCAGAGGCTGGCTAGTCTCAATGCCGGGACGATGAACGGCTATTAGAGTCGTCGACGCGCCATGCGCTCGCGATCGCGCCTCCACTGCACTAGCTTCGATCTGTACAATGGGCGTGGGAACCGAAGGCGCGATAATGATCCACGCGATAACTTCACTATTATTATGACATTGCTTCGATGTATTGCGAGAGTCTCGCTCAAGCATATAAGGATGTAATCTCACGCAGCGACAGCAGCGATCACCTCGATAACGCCTCTTCCGCCCCTCTACCCGCCGTGAAACACCGTCGCAATGCCCAACCTTCGTCTTGGTTACATCGCCCCCGATTTCGAGGCAGAGACCACTCAGGGTCCTATCAAATTCCACGAGTGGATCGGTGATTCATGGGTGCGGCGCCGCTGTCCTTGTCGTCTATTGCGGATGGCGCGTTAATAGACATGTTGTGAACGCTTCAGGCCATTCTGTTCTCGCATCCCGGAGATTTCACACCTGTCTGCACCACCGAGCTTGCCGAGGTGTCGAGGAAGTAAGTTTGCATTCCTGGCGGGATGTTCCCGCGTCTAGACTGACTGAACCCCCCCTCATCCGCCAGGGCGCCTGAGTGGGCGAAACGCAACGTCAAGGTCATCGGTCTCTCCGCGAATGACCTGAAGGACCACCAGAAATGGGTTGAGGACATCAACGACTTCGGCACGAAGAACCTCGGCCCCACCAACGTCCAGTTCCCGATTGTAAGTGGCCCCGCGGGCCCACCCGTGTCGCCCTCAGATCAATAACGAAGGTTGCAACAGATCGCCGACGCGGAGAGAAAGATCTCGACGCTGTATGACATGCTCGATGAGCAGGATGCCACGAACCGGGACGCGAAGGGCCTGCCGTTCACCGTACGTCGGTCCCGCCCACCCCACGGACACATGCACCTCACGCTTGTGGTTTCGACAGATCCGTACAGTGTTCGTGATTGATCCTAAGAAGGTTATCCGCCTGACACTCGCCTACCCTGCGTCGACTGGACGCAACTTTGACGAGATTCTGCGGTAGGTTTGATATTGTGATCCCGATAACCACGAGCTCACCTGTGCCTTGCAGAGTTGTGGATTGTAAGAAGCCCCGAACTCGTCGGCCGTGTTGCTTATTGACGTGATTGAACAGCGCTCCAACTCGGCGACAAGCACCGCGTCACAACCCCCGTCAACTGGAAGAAGGGCGACGATGTTATCGTCCATCCGTCTGTGTCCAACGAGGAGGCTAAAACGCTGTTCCCTGATGTAACTTTCCACAAGGTGAGTTTGTTCGTACTGGGGCATTCGATGCGAAAGCGCTGACTTTGATTTCACAGCAATCGTACCTCAGGACGACTCCCCTCAAGGTTGAGTGAACATAAGCATTGAGGTCACTGGGCCTGTTATGTAATGTACGATATTCCAGGAGATGCAAATAAATTAGTACTGTAGCCGAGCTTCACGTCTTTGCGAGGACATCCATGATACGATAACAACTTGATGCGATGCTAGGTTCCTGTGGCGTACTTTGATTTCCTGACACGCTCGCTGCCTGCGGCATGCGGTGCGATTGGATATTAGACTCCTGGGCATGAAACGCGTGCGGCGAAGTACTCCCAGAACTATAGCCGTGGATATGCACCAAGGAGGTACCTGAGCGACGCTGATCAAAGCTATGTTTCCAACGCAAGATCAGAAGAGGAACGCGTGTCGCAGTTGAAATTAGCGGCCATTGGCAGCTCACGGAAGTGAGCAGTGGACTCAGTGGTGCAGAGCCTGGTCGCGGCGAATTCCAGACCCACGCGACTCCCACGTTGTCCCCGCAATCTGAAATGCCAGATTCATGATCATGTGATTCCGATCCAGCTACACGCGGCGACGCGCGTACCGTCCTATACTCAGTCTACGCGTCTCAGATCCTCAGACCAGACCAACTTACCAGTGCATATCATGGCCAGTGCTGAAGGAGGTGCATACAGGTGTGCGGTATGCTGTATGAATCATGTTAGCGCAAGCTGACGTCTCGACAGTTACTCTCTGACCGTCTTCTCTCCGAGCGGGAAGCTCGTTCAGATCGAGCACGCGTTAGCGGCAGTGTCTCAGGGTACGACAAGCTTGGGGATCAAAGGTGAGTACGCGGCGCATTTGACTGGCGGCCCCTCCACCTGAACACTGTGTCCAGCAACAAATGGCATTGTCATTGCAACGGAGAAGAAGTCGTCCTCCATTCTGATCGACGACTCAATGATCGAGAAAGTCGCCGTCATCTGTCCAAATATCGGGATTGTCTACTCTGGAATGGGTCCCGACTTCCGCATCCTGGTGGCGAAGGCACGGAAGAGCGCACAGGCGTACTGGAAGATCTACAATGAGTACCCGCCAACAAAGGTGCTCACTCAGGAAATTGCCACAATTATGCAACAAGCAACTCATTCCGGGTATGGTTCTAGAGCTGTCGTGCGACTATGAGGCGCTGAGCGTGTGCTTGTGTACAGTGGTGTCAGGCCATATGGTGTTTCACTCCTTGTCGCCGGATGGGACATCAATCGGGGACCAAGTCTCTATCAGGTGGACCCGTCAGGCTCGTATTGGGCGTGGAAAGCCAGCGCAATTGGCAAGAATATGGTGAACGCCAAAACCTTCCTTGAGAAGCGGTGCGTTGCACTCTGTATTTAGATCCGTTTCCCTTGAGTTAATCATGTCTATCATGGCAGCTACAACGACGACATCAGCCTTGAAGACGCCATTCACACAGCACTCCTGACATTGAAGGAAGGTTTCGAGGGCCAAATGACAGAAAAGACCATTGAGATTGGAGTTATTACGGTCCCCAGTGAAGCTGATCTAGAAGCCGGGAAGATTGAAGGAACGGGTCGCGCCAAAGCAGCGTTCAGGAAACTAACAGAGGAAGAAGTAAGAGACTATCTTGCCATGTAGGGGGATTGAACGGACAGTGCATTCATTTCCTGTTGTATTTTGTTCCACGTAATTCTCACAGCATCGGATTTTTGGCAAATTGTGGCTCGCTGTGCGGTCGGTGCTCGATGTCCCTTATTCTACTTTCGCCCAGATAAGTGAAGCTTATCGTTGAATTGAGCTCTCCAGTGGTGTGTCCAAATGAATGGCTATCGCAATGTGGCTATAGTTGCCACACCGCCTGTGATCGGTGCAACGCCGCCGTTCAACTACCGGTCGTGCGGTGGACTCTGGCTATGTTGCCTCACAAGGCTGCGCATTCGTTTCCACAACTGCGAAGGGGGGTAAGCTGGCTCCGGTTGTCGCCTTTGGGTCGAGCGACCGCTCATCACTGCTCGTCGATGCCAATCCACGGTCAGTCTGAAACGGGTCTGCATCCCCATAGTGACTTCAGTGTATCTACAAGCTCACTGCTGCCGGCGGCATCATCCGACGAGAGAACCTCTTCCGTCCATCTACGTACATTGCTGCATACTGACATCCGTACCCGTCCGCGTCCGTGACCGTCGCGAATGGCAATTGAATCTGTTTTGCGACAAACTTCCTTCGTCAGCCGTCGTGCCGAGGCATCAACTTGACCGAAGCTTTCCGCACCGATACCGTAATCGCCGATCCGATCCCCTCAGTCAGCTAATAGATACCTAGTTTCCAGCCGGTCGATGACCGGCTTACCTTGTTGTGTGCATTGGGCCACATATGTACATCGACGCCGTGGGCTTGCGCGAGTGCGCAGCCTAGTGCGCAGGCCGAGTTGACTCAGTTGGGCGATGTTGCCATGCGGCCGAGCGGCCTCACCTCCGTCCTTCCTCGGAGGCTGCCAGCCACCAGGCTCGTCGTGAAAATCCGCTGTTTCCGCAGCTATTTCATTGACCGGCATAATGGCACGACGATCGGTGACACGCGCACTTCGATTGAGGGCGCCCAGCGTGCGCGACACGTCTGCGCCGCGGTGCTCCCGAACAAAGCGTACGCGAACATTGCGGGCTGCCATCGCTGGGTACGAACGGCGACGTGGATCTGGGTGTTTCAGGTGCATGTTCCGCCTCTCCGGCTATGACGCGATGGCGCGCGTCCCTCGTCGCACCGCATTGTGTGCAGTGCCTTCTCCAAACATTACGGCGCTATGATCAACACAACAAATCGCTGATGGCCAGCCTGCGTCAACTCGTGGAAATGCATAGACCACGAGGGAGGTGTTTGCAAGATCCCATCCCGATGCATACCAGTGTCTCGTTTCTTTTTTCGTCCGGCTCAATTGGCGGAGCCTTGGCGCTCGGCGGCTTGCTGTTCTCTATGTTATAAGCCCTCTTGATGACTCGCTGCAAATCCCACTCTCCTCCCCGCATTGGCCCCACTTAGCACTAGACCTTCATACTCACAATGGCCGAATCAGACCTCAGCGGAACCCGATCCAGTAGCATTGGCCCGTCTAGGTCCCGCGCCAGTGGCTCTCGCAAGCCAAGCCCTCGTGAGCACTGACACAATAGTTCACACGTCCATAGCGCTTATTATCTTCCATTCGTATGTCTTAGCCACTGGTCGCGAGCGTGGTGGTGGTGGTGGTGGTGGTTCCGACCCAAACCTCCTCGCGCCTGTGGTGAGGAGCAAGCGCACCCCTATTGCTTGCACTGAATGCCGTCGCAGACAAGTGAAGGTATTTGTCAGGTATATATGATCCGCGCGCAGTACTCGCTGACACACCGCTCCCTAGTGTTCTGGCGGCACTCCGCAGTGTGAGCGCTGCGAAAAGAAGGGTGTCAGATGCGAGTACATTCCAATACACCAGCAGAGGATGGCAGCCAACACGGCCATGCAACATAACCAAAGCGCTATTCATCTCTATGGCTATCCGTCCGCACAAGTATCCCGCTCCGTACCATCTTCACCAGATCATTGGCGGCATCAGCAGGACCAGCAAGCGTATCCAGGCTATGTGCCAGGAGCTGTCCCTTCTGGACAAGAATGGCAACAGCAATATACAGGGACGCCACAAGTCCCGTCACAGAGGTACACTCAACAGACTGTGCAGTCGGCACCGGCTCAGTTGGGCTTCGCCTATCCGCAAGGCTACCAGACAAACCAGTCATATCACATCGCATCCGTCAACACTGCCCAACAATATACGCGAGGGTCTGCGGCCGGAGCGGCCGAGGGCTATACTCAGGGGCAGTCTGTCCCATCTCAGTATGGCTACGCGGGCACATACGATGCCTCCGCGCAGACGGGCAGCAGCGCCGCCTCGTCGAATATCGCGTACAATATCCCGCCAACAGCCAATGAGCAGCTGTTGAGCTCGCAGATGACACTGCCCGCGGGCCAGCTGTAAGTAATATCCCCGTTTAGGTATCAGATGTAACGCCGTGCTAACGGCGGATCAATGTAGTGGTTCGTACCAAGAGCAGTACTACCAGGGGCAACATACTGGCTATGATCCCTCTTCCACCACACCTGGTCAAGAGACCCCTTACGGCACTTGGGCTGATCCCAACGTACGTGACTCATGCCTCCTGCGTCGCAATGCAGTCTCTGATTTGAATTGCCTTACTCTTAGAACCCCGACTATGCAGGATACGAGGGACATCCGTACCCTTGAAATTTGCTTTCCTGATCGCTTTGTGAACGATCGCTGTCTCCACTCTCATTCGATTGTATTTTAAGCTTGCATCTACACATTCACCATTTTGTAGCTCAGAGTATGCCTTTCTGTATTGTAGCATAGTAGAGTGTGTCGTCGTCGTCTCCTGGTGTCCGGATACTATCCTTGTATAATTTAATCGTCCTCTCTAGACAATTGCAACGCGCTCAGCGCCTCGGAGTGACGCCGGAAGTAGGGTCTCGCCCTTCCGAGCTCTACGAAAATCGACGTGGAATCAAATTTCTAGAACCATTTGTTGATGCTAGACTGATCTCTAGGTTCGAGGGTCTATCAGATTTGTTCTGGAGACCAGCTGCACCGACAGGGGCATTTAGAGCGCATGCCGAACGGTTTCACTTCACACACGGCATGATTAGGTCGTTACCTGAGCACTGAGGTGCGAAGCCAAGAAGTAGCGGTTGCCGAGAGACCATGCTACCGATACTATTGTAGAATCCCCATACTATATTCAGTCGCATCCGTGCAAACCATACCTCCGTTGGGTAGATCAATGTCCGCGGACTTGATCGAGGACCGGAGGCGAAACGCAAACAATTCTATTTTCAGGCAGACTCTACCACGTGCTCACTGGAATCAAATAAGATTCAGGGATCATGTGTTTCTTCAAACACTGGGGCTCGCTCCGAACAATTCACAAGGCAGGTTGAATGCTGGAAAGTGAAAGTGACATGTTGTCCTCTTTCCTGGCATCTTCAGCGATGAGTCTGCTGGTGGGAGACCGCCCAATGTCAAAAACCACACGCAAATCACAAGTCGCGGGAAAATACGGGGGAACCGGGTCTGTTAACCTGGACAATCCACGCTCTATCGCCACGCAACTTATTCATGATGATAGGTTGGTGAAAAATTAGAACGGTCGACACAATAAATCAATGTGCGCAGATCATACGGTCGCTCGCCCCCTACTGACGTACTCACGGACATCATACAGGGTCAAATCACAGGGTCCTCCGCAGCTCCATCCTGATGCTACAAGCTTTCCGAACAGCACGCAGCATTGTTAATAGACCACGAAGGCACACACTCCATCATGAACAGTGCCGAAATGCCGACTGACTGATCGATCTCATGTTAGATGGTGGTAGTCAGTATACTCGATGTGTCCGGTGGCATCAATTGCCCGATACCAACAATGCCACACGAGTTCGTCCCAGGGAATATATTGGCTTTGATGAATACTGCATCCACCTGCCTTTACATAAGGAGGAGACATCCTGCCTCGTTTCCAATGTGATGATGGCCGGATATAGCACCAAACTCGCGTGGGGTGTTTGGAAACGAGGCACGAGTAGCCTACCGCACGGGCGCGTCGGTGGGCGTGATGATTGCCGCAGGCCCACCTTGCGCGGCTTTTCCTATATGGTGTGTTGTTCTTGAACACAACCATGAAGCAGCTTGGCGGTGATCTGTGTGATGCGTGGGGTAAAGACGCGCGCCAGGTTTGTCGCCCTAGCCTCTTGTAGAGCGCCAATCTGGACTGTACTCTGTGCTCAGAGGTTAAACACGAGACTCGACAGGTGGACATATCTGTTATTCCAAGCAACCATACTTTTACAATGATAGATTGGTCTTACATTCAGTTCATCATAACATACTGCATCTTTGGTTTCGGCATTCTCTCCACATGGCATGCGAAGCCTACAGCGGCCAACCAAGCTTCTCGCCAAAATTCCAATGCACTGCCTTCACTGATGTGTACTCTTCGAGCGCATAACTTCCCAGCTCTCTCCCTGGAAAGTGGGATTAGTAATATTACAAGCGTGCCTGACGATCTTAGCCGCCAGACGGCGGTGTAAACAACGCCAAACAACATCTCGATCAATTCGAATCTTGTCAACGTTGCCCGCCGCCGGGCAGACAAACTGACACAGAGGTGCTTACCAATGCCGCTTTGCTTCTTGCCGCCGAACGGCACGTTGTTGTAGAGAAGGTTGTATTGGTTGACCCATACCTGCAACATTTGATATCAGCGACTGCAGGAGTACACGGAAACGAGGCTGTGGGGTTGCGCCCGGCGTGCATTGCAGTTGTAGTACAAAGATTATTTACGTGTCGCCGGCATCCAACTTGGCCAGCGGCACTGCCATGCGACCGACGGCGTGTGATATCGAAGACCAAAAGGATCAAAGCACTCACCGTTCCAGCTTCCAGCTCGTTCGAAACGCGCATGCATTGATTCGCGTCGTCTGGCATCGGAATTAGTCAGCCTCATTGTCACGAGCAACAGGTTATTAAGGATTTGTCAAGCATCCGAGAGGAGTGGATATGCGATCGCCTCTCAGGTAGGCTGTGGTGGCCTTCGACGAAAGCGATCTCCGGCGGTATCCAGGATCATTACGGAAGACCGAATCCCGTCCGTCGATACGAAACTCGGGGACACGTAAAGCACAAATAGGAGCTCGAGACATACTAGAGTGCAAGCCCGCTCCCAAGCCATAGGTTGTGTCATTCGCGAGCTGGACGGCCTCTTCTTCAGTCTTGAACTTGGTGACTGCCAAAACTGGTCCGAATATCTCGTCTTCGAACTGTGTACAACATGAACTATTGTCAAGTTGCTGCCTCATTACATCGGCACTTACGATCCTCATGCCTGGCTTTACATCCGTGAAGACTAACTCGAGGTTATGCACATTATCATATAACATCCAGGTGAAACGTGACATACTTGTCGGATCGACGAAATATCCTTTGCTCGGGCGCTTCTCGCCACCCAGAGCAAGCTTCGCTCCGTCTTCCTTCCCATAGCCAATATAACGGAAGATTTTGTCGTATTGAATTTTGGAGACCTGAAAACACGATATCAGCTCCGTTCTCGGGTTTCATAGCCAATTGTGCGGTATCCATTTGCCCTAAGGGCTGACGCCAGAAGCGGCGTCTATAGCAGATGACCCAGGAACACCCATTTTGGGGTTAAGGTTTCAGGACCCGTCGTACGTACAAAAGGCGAACGCAAACAGGCGGAGTCAGGGTGAAACTGCGCACAGACAAATGCAGATATCAAAGTGTTACGTACCACAGGACCTCCTCCACTTTTTTCGTCGAAGCCGTCGCCAACTACAAGTTCTTGTGCCTTGGCGACTAGTATCTATCGAAGCAATCAGGTATGGCAGGAAAAATCTGAATAGATGAGCGACATACCGACATGAACTTGTCGTAGATAGACTCCTGAACAAACAGCCGAGATCCGGCCGTACAGTCTTGCCCCGTGTTGTACAGAATGCCGAGGCAAGCCCAGTTTGCAGCTATCACCATCGTCGCGCCAGAGACGTAAGATCACACACGCAGACTACCCAACTAACTGTACTCACCTTGGTCAAGGTCCGCAGATTCAAAGATTATGTGAGGAGATTTCCCGCCTAGCTCAAGGCTAACCTATAATGGGCCGCGCGAGTGTGTCATGGGACATATACGTCGAAGCAACAAGCGGTTAGCCTGAGCCAGGAGACGGGGATGCACACTCGCCTTCTTCAAATTACTCTTTGCCGCCGCTTCCATGACTCTGCGACCAGTGACCGTGCTCCCCGTGAAGGCAACTTTATCAACATCTTTGTGCGAAGCAAGCGCAGAACCTCCAACAGAGCCGAGGGATGGGACGGTGTTGACAACGCCCGGAGGGAACCTGTGAAGAATTCAAATTAGAGGTCAATTGTACGTATAACGCAGCGTTCATGTGTTCACCCAGCTTCGGCAACAAGCTCGGACAGTTTCTGTGAAGTGTACAGCAGTAAGCATCGGAATCATTGCGACGAGTCCGCGACAGGCTGGGAACTATGCTGGCGAAAGCAGGGGCGTTTCGTGGACAGAACTCATTGGAGGGTGTCTCCTGAACAAACACCGTGCAAGGCTGAATGGGAAGGTGCCCTGGATAAGAATACTAGAAATGGCGAACACAAGTCTTCTCCAGGAAAGAATCTCCCGAGTAAGACTAGAAAAGCCACCTGAGCCAATGCCGTCTTCCAAGACCCGACCCGTACCGGTTTAGGAGAATCGGCCTACCGGCGCGGTGATAACGTCTTTGAAAGGCCTACAGCGTCCGCGAAGGAGAACGCATGAAACGCGACCCCGACCAGTGCTGTGTTACCGTCGTGCACTGTGCGCGGACAGAGAGCGTCCGGTGCGGCGGTGGCGTGAGTGCCGGAGGCTGAAAGCCCAACGCGGTAACTCCGGAAAATCCATGCCTAATTCGGGAAATGCTGTCGGGCATGATTGAAAAGGCTATCACAATCACAATCCCATGGGCGACGTCCTGACGACATGCACCGAGGATCATAAACATAAGGAGAGAGCCGGAATATACGCCCTCGGGTTTGTGTTTCAGACGAATGAAAACATGAGACAATGAGCGAGAGCGCTGGCTAGCACCCTCTGGGTGCCTGAGCCTCCCAACACGCAAACCGAGGATCGCCGATGGGCGTCCGACGACGCGTGGGGCAGCTTGCGGCTTAAATAACTCCATGTGCTGGAGGGCTGAGCATGCATGCATGAAGATGAACAGGTGAAAGTCAGGGTAGTCGATTGAAAATGTCAGCGATATGGGGCACGACATCATGGCGCAGTGAGTGGAAAAACAACGAAGAGTGTCAGACCCTCAAAAGCATCGAACCTAGCAAGCGGGCCTCCGCTGAGACTCCGCCAAGAGTGCAGAGACAGTAACATAATCGCTGACACGAGGACACCCATGAAGCGCGGGGACCGTCAGGGTCCTATCCCCACGAGACCGGTCGCCAATTCCAGCAGGCTAGAGTTATCTGTACGCAAGGGGGATATGGACCCTATGATGCGCCCGCCGGACCCACCCCTGCCGCAGACCAAAAACATACGGAGAGAAGAAAAGATGCTCGGTTTCTTGCTACTGATTGCACAAGAAGCATAGCGAAAACTTGCTGACTGCGAAAAGACGACTTCGATAAAATAAACTCACCAAAGCGGTCAACGGCGTTATCTCAGACGGCTTCATCACGACTGTGCACCCAACAGCGAGCGCGGGCGCGACTTTCCAGGACCTGGCGTTCGCTCGTCAGAACCGTGCTATGGAGACACACCTACCATCACATCCGAGCACATGCGGAGATATGCGGAGGTAGAGAGATGGAGTAGGAGAGCCTGGGATGTGTGGGAGGTAAGGTACATACCACATGTTTATCGGGTAGTTCCATGGGATACTACACGGCAAGGCAGGATATCAGAGTTTGCATCTAGAAGCGCGGGAATGGAAGACCATGGGTGGAAAACTAAAACGGTGTCCAACGAGAACATACGAACGCAAAAAAGAGGGGGACCGTCTGTCATGAGTACGTCTGGATTGCGTGCATGACGCGTCTCCTTCACGAACGATCAGCAGATACAGAAAGGATATACCAAGTTTCGGCAGGTTTGCATACAACTACTTCTAAACAAGAGGTGGAAATTGGACGCACATTTGGCCGCACACCCCAATCGGGTCGTGCCTTGTGAACGCAATCTTCGTCTTGTTGTCGACTTCGAGGCTCTACGACATCGCGACGCATCAAGATGCAGATATGAATGTAGATGTAGATGCCGAGGGAGGAGGGGCAACAGATGAGCGGACGGACAGGACGAGCGTCAGCATATGGCCATCATAAAGGTAGAATTGACATGAGACTCGAAGATTAATGAAATCCGGCGGTACGGAGAGTTCAGTCATTCGACATGCCAGTACACGGTCAACGAGCGGCAGCAGACACACACGGCGTCAAACCATCAATGGAGGAGGAAACACTTTGAGCGACAGCTTCAGCCATGCGGTCTAGAACAAGGCTGAATGGCGAGTAGACAGGCTCGCGCAAACCATCTCCCCACTGTCGACAGATCCGCCTTTACGCCGGATAGTTTCATTGACGTGCATGCAGAAGCGCGACACGCAGCACCGGCATCAAGGAGAACCAGGGTAACTGATTTCTGAGCTAGCAATATGTTGCCACCGCGTCATGACACATTCCCAGCGCGCACAGCACGCCGAACTGTCATCGCGCTCTCGCCCTGGATGCCCGGCTACATGGCCGTTTCCATCCTCGGGGCGCAGTGCGTGATGAAGGACTTCGCAGTTAGAAAGCGACATGTGTGGGCAGTTGTAGGTCCGCGATGATGGACATGTGAACAGGCGTGCACGTTCAGAACAGCGAGATGACAGTAAGCGCGCACAACGCCCCTGTTGATCAAGAACAAGATGCACCTAGTACGAGATGATCACAGCACAGGATGCATGCTAGAAGTTGATGTCTCGGCGAGTTAGGAGTTGCAGGGAATATCAGAGCAGGGCCATGCAAGGAAGATGCACGACGATGAACAGCGTGAGCACGCCGTAGCGCTAATAGCATCTGTGCCAGGTCACAGCACAACGAAGCAGGAAGACGACAACGCGGCAAGCGGCAAATTCCGAGGCTAATGAGAAGGCACAACCAGTGACCGACAAATGCACGCAACGATATGGAAAGGGATTTCGACACACATCGAGATCTCAGATACGCAGATGCACGTCCGTCCGCAAAATGGGCTTCTCGCACACGGAAGGCGGTCGTTGACTTCTTTAATACAGATGGGGTGCGAATGAAGGCGCAAACAAACAGGCAAGCTCGGTATTCGGAGCCACAGTGGAATACTGCTTACCTGGCCAGCAATCTTGTCCGCCCACCCCGCATAGTAGCGCAAGCACGAGACACTATCGCCAATATCGAAGTCCCTAGAGATACCATTGTCAGCGTACGCCATTCATGCGTCCCGGTAACGGTACTGACCGGGCAATCTTCACAGGCTTTCCGTTGTTGAGCGCTTCAAGCTCTCCGAGCTCCTGCGCGTCGCGCTCGATGAGGTCCGCGAGCTTATTGATGAGGCGGGAGCGCTCGATGCCGGTGACGTTCTTGCCCCAGGTCGTCTTGAACGCTGTGCGCGCCGCGGCCACCGCGCGGTCGATGTCTTTCTCAGAGCCTACGGAAGTTTGTGTCAACACCGAAGGACGTCATCAGAGGCAGCAAGAAGTGGCTGGAACGCGACAGTCCGCTCTGACATTTGGGGAATGGACAGGACGCGATCGGGAATGTGAAGGGGCGCAGTTTAGCACCGGCGGTAAGTGATGCGGTACGCGGGGCCTGAGCAGTCTACATCTCGCCTCAGCCCCTGGAACAAAGAAGCTAAGTTCAAAGGGCCTAATTTTTGCTCTGGAATTTATTCAAGCTTGGCCTGAGTTGCCCAGGCTAAGATTCAGCTCAATAAGCCGTTCAATAGAAGTGGCGCTTTATTATAGCATAACATATGCCAAAGCAGGCGATCGGGGATAAGCCCGAGGCTGCCGCGCGGGACCCAGGCGGGGATGGACGCAGTGCGTCATGGACACGCACCTGCAGCGACAGAGCAAATGACTTCTTCAGTGGCGGGATTGATGCACCTGTGTCAGCACACATCGCGTCAGATCGCCGTTCGACAAACGTTTGCGGAGAGCCGGATCGGTGGGACGCCGAGAGAGCTGGAGCAACCCTGCCCGTGCACGTCGAGCAGCACGACAGTGGGAAAGACACACGGAGGATCAGCGCACGCACTCGATGACATCTGTCGAGTCGACCGAGGGGACGAATTCGTTGTTGATGAAGAGGCCCGTGGGCTGTTTGATCTTTCGCCCCGTCTGTGCGATGATGATCTCTACCGGCTGTGCGTAGGCCATGCTTGCGAGCTGTCTGCGTCCTGCTGTTAGCTGCGGTGAACGTCGTGGTCGCGCTCGAAGGAGGACCGATAAGCAGAGCGACGGACGCAGACGGCTGAACAGAATGGACATGACCGCGCCGAAGCGCCCGCGTTGAGCTAAGATAGCGGGGACATAGATTAGATCGCCAGATGCCGCAGCGACCGCTGATTGGGCGAATGCAGAAGTATGGGTGTCTGGGACGGGGCCTGGTGTGGGAGGAGGGGATGGGAGTGGCCAGACCTCCGACACTCCCATCGCCCGGCCCTTGGCGCGGTAAAGCACGGGGCGGCGTGAAGAGCAGCAGCCCTGGGCAGCGAACTCTGAACACGATCTTCCCCATCCTCTCCGAGAGGACCAATTCGCTACTCCCCTTGATCCCTCCCTTCCGCCACAGTCTCAAAAGGCCTCTTCCCCTCCCAACGCCTTCCTTCCTCTCCTCCCTCACCATGCTATGCCGCCCTCAATGCTAGCTCCCTCGCACAACCACCAGAGTCCCCAGTCTCGCTCGTCGCAACGAAAGTCCCCGCCCCCACCGTCCCTCAACCTCGACGACCTCAAGCCACCTATTCTCCCTGCGCCTGCACCTAGCGCCAGCAGTAGCACCACTCCCAACGGCACGGCCTTTGTCTTCTCTTCCTCCCGCCATCATCATGGTCTCGACTCGCATCCTTTGTCCCCCGTCGCGGGCCCCAGCCAGCCTTCGTCCAACACCAGGACACGCGCCCTCCTCACGCCCTCCCAGCTCGCGCGGCACTCAGAAGGTGCGATCGATGCACGCTGTATCCTCGGCCCCAACATGCGCGCCGCGGGCTTTGTGCACCTCGCCCAGGCGGTCGCGCAGTCACCCCACCATCACCCGCCAGGCGTGCACTCCCCGCCCTCGACGCCGGGCAGCAGCGCGAGCCACCACTCGACTCCAGCCGATCCCCCGCCCTTCCCGCCCATCATGTTCGTAAGCTCATCGTCGGTAACTACGATGCCAATGTGGGAGTACCAGCGCAGCATGTCGTGGCAGATGAACAGCGTGGAACGTCACACACTGACGGGCCGGGAGGTCAGTAGCGCAGAGAGCCATGGAAAGGATGTTGACATTGGTACGAGGCCCACACTGCAGCCTAGCTATTCAGGCACTACTGTCTTCAGTCCTGCCTCCCTCTCGGCATCGCCGTCGTTCTACTCCGCATCCACACTTGTTTCTCCATCCCCGACCTCGCCGAATGTCGCCACTGCATCTCGGTTAAGGCCCGAAGCATCGTTCTCTTCGTCGAGAGCTCTGGCTCCTCCACCTCTGGTATTGAACGAGCTCCGCCCAAAGTCGACCAAGGGCAAGGAAGTAGATCTCAAGGAGTACCCTTTCCCGCGGACGATCACGACGACTGTCGTGCCCCCGTCTCCCGTCTCTACGACACCTACGACCGCCACCCCACCAACCTTTGCTTCTCTCTCCTCTCCTCACCACCCGTCTCATCGTGCGCGACGCAAGTCAAAAGCAAAACCTGCTCGAGACCAGGTAGACCGGGCTAGTTCTTCAGATGGTATCTCTCTGGCTCCCACACATAGACACACACTGAGTCTGACAGAGCTATGTGATCTATCCTGGACAGCGCCCTCAGATACTATCGTGCCGACCACCGCAAGTTCTGTATCTACCCGCTCCGTCTCGCGCGCAAGCTCGCAGGTCACACACTCGACGTCCAGCTCGTCCTCAAGCCGAGACCGCGCGAGGGTGCGCACCAACTCCGAGACTCTAGGCGCGGTAACGGAGGCCGAGAGGGACGCCACCCAGCCTTCCCCGAAGCCACGTCCGCCGCAGTCGCAACGACGTGAACGGGCACAAGGAGCGCAGGAACGGAGCACATCGCAACTGGAGAAGGAGGCGCTCACTGCGCTTGCGTACGCGCACCGCGAGCGCGATCGTGAGCACGCGCGGCACGTGGCGGCGGACAGAGAGTCGTACAAGAAACAGGTGAGTCCGAGTCGCGTTCCGAATCTCGGGTCCGTGCGCGCCCTCAATGAGCCCTGGGGCCCCGCCGATCCCGATCGGGGCCCCCGTGCGTGACGTCACGCGGGGTGCCCGCCGGCGGAGGCAAATTATCCTGGTCCATCTCTTCCGTTGTGACGGGTGCAAAGCCGAATGCTGACGTGCTATTTGTCCGTGTCGTGCTTGTGGCGCGCAACTTGCAGAGGCGACATTCGTACGCGTATGCGCATATCCCGAAGTACAACGCAAAGGGCATCATGGACGACGTGCCCACCGATGCGGAGACGCTGCTCGAGCCACTCGCGCTTCAAGTCGTTGGTGGCGAGCTCGCAGTATGGTCGGAGTAGCCGCCGGTCACCTCACAAGGCCCAGCCACAGTGCTCTGTCTGCTCATCTGAACACACACCCACATGTCGCATTGCTTCCTTCCACATCCTATCCATGCACACAAGTTCCGGCCACGGATTTCCAGCGATTCACGCTGTGCATTACGTTTATATCTTGCGCGGGACGCCTCTTCGTCCCCATCGCCATCTCCGCACGCATCCCCATCAAGTCCCGTATGCTCGCAACTGCATCGTCCGCGCCATCCCACCGGCTCTCCGTACGACATCTCCGCCCCCCGTCGCATACGCACAGGTTATCGGAGCCCCGTTGGCCCGCATCATCTCACGATCCCATGCATTCCGGACTTGACCCCGCAAATATTTCTTCTGCACTCTGGGCTATTCGGTGTTCATTACTGCATGGTTGTCTTATTTCACCCGGGTTTTACTGTCGTCCTCCGCACATGTTTCGTTTCCTCCGCATGATGATCTTTCACACACACACACACGCACACACATCCGTCTCTCATTCCCTGTTCCTTGGTCTCGGGTCTAGGTGTCATTTCACCGGTATAGAATCGTGGGCTGGAATCCTCGCATCATTCTCGCTGTATTGTACATATATGCGCACCGTTTTCTTCTTGCTGTTCTAGGGCTTAGCTTCACTTAATGACCGTCTCCTCTCATGCCCGGCCCCTTGCGCGCTGTCGTTACACGCGCCTGTCCGCCATGTACCGGACTCGTACCTGTCCTGTACCCATTGCGTCGCACCATACCGTGCAAAATATGATCGGTACGCCTTCAATGGCGTTCGTGCTGGTCATTCGCAAATCAACAGAGGGCTGGTGTCCGAATTTGACTACAACATGACAGTTCGTCCCATTCGCATTTGCTGGGCGAGCTTTGAGCAACTCCGGGTCGACGACCGCAGCATACACTAAGCTTGTACGTTTGAGGGTGACAGTATTGACAGCCTATTCAAAGCATTGCTCTGACCACTTGGGTGGCATCCAATCGGACTGAGGCTCAGGGTGCAGCAACGTGGCCTTCGACAGCAACAGCGTCTCCAGAAGCCCACAGGAAAGAAGCGACACAGCATGGCGGCAGCATTTGGAACGCATGCGCTGGAACGCCTCAGGAAGCCGCCAATTCATTCCTCCCCAGTACGACGACCATCTGGTCCGCATTCGAGCCTCGCGTCCTTCCCGCGCGGCGGGGACCGCGAGTCGAGAGCAGGATCTGCGCTCATGCCAACCGGGAGGCCCGCCTTCGCACCAGAAGGCCCTCAAAGCTGTGGGCCGTGGGGATAACGAGTGAACACTGGCGATGGGTTCCGCGGAGGGACGCCGCGACGGGGACGGTTCGAGGTGGGATGGGAAGATGAGAAGACGCGAACGCGCGATGACAATACCATCGAAGCTCAGGGTCCCCCCCTGGCCTGGACTGCGATAACGGCACCCCGTGCGGCCGCGCGCGATGGGTGCGAGCTTTAGGAAACCCTGGTCGATGGCAGGGGAGTATGTGGGTCTTGTGACCAGCGATCGATGGACGCGATGGGCAAGGTGAATGTCCCACCACGAAGACCGCCGATGGAGCGCGCAGGGAATGTCCCCATGCGCAGCACGCTACGATGGCTGGCTGGCTGGCTGGAGCCCGCTCAGACCGGAGGCAACGCGTTGGACGGGGCGCAGAGGCACAGAACCGCGGCACGAATAAATATGTATAATCTGGATGCGCGAGAGATCGCGATGCGGGAATGACGAGAAGACTCGGAGGGTATGGCTGAGAATGGCTTGCTGCAGCATCGGGCAGCCCGATTGTCCAACTGGCTACTGCATGAGAATGGGGGGACGGCGATTGGCGGCCAAGGCCAGTGATGGGAACGGTGCGGAGCGCAGAGGGTATTACCTGTGACCGTCAGGTCTTGAGATGGCATAGGCCAAGGGTTTCGGAGCATGGCCACGGTCTGCGGTCTTCCGAATGCACAAGTTGAAGATCCGTGGCGCAGAGGAAAGGGATCCTGTGAGTCTTCAAAGTCGCACTGTCGAAGATGAAGTGGAGATTACCTGTTTGATGTGTGAAATCGGCCTTTCTATGGGGTTCGAAACGATGGACGGAGAAGGCGCGTAATGAAAACGTGGTGTACGCGCTCGGGATCACCTGCAATGAGCCAGAACAACGTACTCAGCCTCTACGGCAACGGCCTCTAGAGGTTTCGACAGAGCCGCCTGGGAAACTGTCGTATCGGAAGCTGAAAGTACTGTGTGAGCCGGAATGTAAGTGGTCTCCATATCGCAGGTCCTAGTCACCTCATCAGAGGCGAGTTGTTGCATATCGACAAATACTGAACGATCTTATTCGTGATAGTGAGGCATCAGAGGGAACTTGGCTATTTCGTCAGCGATGATTTCAGGCAGGCAGGCAGACAGCCCCTGCTGTGGGGCTCATCTTGACAATCTCCGGCTTGGTCTGGTGCGACAAGGGCAGAGGACTACCGGGGGACCCACGACACTTCCGGTGGAGAGAGCAGGGTAAATGGACACGGCACATTCGCGCGAAAACGCGGCGTAACCGGTAAGCCAAGCACCGGGTGACATCAGACTTTGAGAGCTATGACATACCGCCCAGCTCAAGAAGTTTCGAGAGATATATTTGTATTGCCTCATGGTGAGGTATGGTGATGAACGTGTAGGGCCGCTGAGATGGTCTAGGCAATGCAGAAGCTCAACGAGGACTTCTAGTCTGGACCGCCGATCTGTGAGAAAATTTGTCAGTGAAACGAGCAATCAGCGTGCTGACGACACTTACGACATTGACGGCCATCGTCCCGGAAATTGTGAGGTAGAAGGAAGCCATTGCAAGGCTCGCTCGTGCGCTACAACCGCCACCATGAAACAGCAAGACATCCAGGTCCTTTCAAGGCTGGGGAAACACGAGGCGCGATACGCGCTGAAGGAAAGAAAGTCACGGGATTCGGGGGGGTTGGAGAACATCCGTTCAACTTGACATGTCAAGTGAGTAGTGGCGTTGCAAGTCCGGCATTGGCGGCCAGAGACGACGCCAGAGATGTGGCCCCTGCCGCCATCGTTGGAGAGATTCCGGTGCATTCTTTGAACTTGCCATCATGCACGAGGCTGTAAAGTTAACGGTAATTGGTCGTTCAGAAAGGCTCCGTAGCTAGAGAATAGCACACTCCCAGACAAATATGCCAGCGTTTAGATCTACTTGCAATAGATGCAAGGGGTAATTGACAGTATTGAGGACGCTATACGTGCGCATCAAGAAGAGATCGTCACTTACTGAGAACGAGCCTCGTACTGTTACCGTAGCTTGGTACTGTACCTCGGTACAGTCGGACGACAGTGAAATCCAAGAATTAAGAGGGGGCTGGGAGCGGATAGGACTGGTAAAGATTGCCGAGGAGAGAGCTTTATAACACTGAACAATGCTAGGGAATCCCGAGTCGACCACCCAGACGATGACATCACAGAAACGCATACGTCATGCAACAATCAAAGAACTCGAGGAACGAGAAGGAAGACTTACGCAAACGCGCAACCGTGCGTGCGGAAGGGCAGGCCTCAGGGCTCCAGGCTCTTCTGATACGTGTACGCGCGTGCATGGTCGTAGCCATTTATAGTCATTGACATCCTCCTTTAAGAAATGGACCGCCGTATAGCTAGCGGCTAAGAGCACAGAGCAATCGCTCCTGAGCAATATCTTGAGGCACCCAGAGTAAGTAAGCTCAGAGTCAAGCGGATAGTAACGGCAGTGTGAGTATACTGTACTGATCATTCTCGCGAGCATCGGTAGACAGGCGTGGAATCTTAACAGGAGCTCAGCGCTCATCCTTGAAGCTCGAAGGCCTAGTCAATGAGCTCCAGGCTTCTTATTCTAATCATGGGATGAAGACGATCTAGCCAGTGAAGTACCACACGCATAACATAGAATTGCACCATAGATTTAGGCACGCTAACCGTCTTTAGCGAGGCATGATGGACATCGGAGAAAACCGTCCCATAGCTTATGAGCTATCTGAGTTACGAATGTCTGCAAGTAGGACCTGTAGTATCCGCTCTAGGAGAAGCTAGGATCGAGAGACTGCAGACGATGCAGACGAGACTGTAACGGAGAATTGGCAGTGGCGCCCTATGTTTCGTGAGAAGACAAGCCGTGTCTAGGAGATGTGTATATCATTTGGGGCATAAGTCTCACAGTACGAGAGCTGGGATGTGGAGGCTTGAGTGAGCGACAATTGTTGGGTGTCTTCGAGCTTGTAGTGAGCATTGGTATAATTCAAGTAGCGAATGCACAATTTGATCGCGATACGCGACTTCCAAATGCGGCAATCGTTGCGCGTCGCCTGTCGTGTTTCGAGACGCGTCACCTTTGCGCGGACGCTTTGAGTGCTCTCTACTTCTACCTCTTCCACCATGGTATGGCCTACATACGCGTTGCATGCATCAGAATATTGACGAACGCTGACTTATCTAGTTCCGCAACACCTACGACTCGGATAACGTTGTCTTCTCGCCTCAAGGACGCCTTCACCAGGTCGAGTATGCCTCTGAGGCCGTGAAGCAGGGGTCTGCGGTCGTAGGCTTGCGATCGAAGACCCATTCCATTCTCTTGGCTCTCAAGGTACGCACATTCCACCTATTGTCGGTTGCTGTTCCTAAAGGCCGTGTCGCACACAGCGTTCACTGGGAGAGCTCGCGTCCTACCAGCAGAAGATGTACCGGATAGATGAGCATGTAGGCATCGCAATTGCCGGTCTCACCTCTGATGCTCGTGTACTGAGGTGAGCTCTAGCACCATTCGCACATGCCGTCCATACTAATGCTAAATCAGTAACTTCATGCGTCAACAAGCAATGTCCTCTCGCATGGTCTTCAATCGCCCAATACCCGTTAACCGTCTTGTGTCCTCCATCGCTGACAGTTCGTCGCTGTACCTAGTCGCGTGTGAATGACAACTGACGGCTATGGGCACCACAGAGGCTCAAGTAAACACGCAGGAATATGGCCGTCGTCCATACGGAGTCGGCTTCCTTGTTGTTGGCCAGGACAAAAATGGCCCTCATCTCTACGAGTTCTCTCCTTCAGGAAACTCATACGAATACTACGCAATGTCCATCGGCGCGCGGAGCCAAAGTGCGAAAACATATCTCGAGAGGCATTACGAGAGCTTCGCAGACTGTCAGTCCACACGCATTTTCACTGTGGTTTGTGATGCCGGTGTACTGACACATGTATTGTCAGGCAACCTCGAAGAACTCATTTGTCATGGCCTTCATGCCCTGCGAGAGACTCTTCAGCAGGACAAGGAACTTACTATCAACAACACATCCATTGGCATCGTCGGCCCTGCTAGCGCGCACGAGAAGGATGTACCGTCGGCAGGCAACTTCCGTATCCTAGAGGGGGAGACGATTCAGGTATATCTTGACAGCATGCTGCCCAAGGGCCACCAGGACCCCGCGCCCGCGGCACCAGCAGCTCCTGCAGAAGGCGGCGCGGCGCCTCCAGCTGGCGTTGCTGTGGCAGACGAAGACGTGCAGATGGCAGAGTAGTTTGTATTTTTCCTGTATCATCGTCGGACAATAAATGCTCTCGAATGCAGGCAATGTACGAGCAGGGGTGTGTTGCGCCAGTCAATCAATGGAAATATTGCTACATGCGGAGGGATTCAACAAGATATATCCTACGCCTTCCCTCTTTTCGCAAGTAGTGCCTGTCTCCACGCTCTCGCTGCTGCTCCAGGCCTCCGCAAAGATACAAGCAATTGCACCATCGTGGTCAGGAGCATGACACTGCCTGCCTGATGAGCCGCAGCGAGGGGAATAGGTACCAGATATAGCAGCGTGCCAATGCCCAGCAGGACCTGCACGTTCGCCATTCCAAATGCCGCAACCATCATGCGTCTTGCCAGAGGCGGAAGGGCAGCCCGCATTGCGGGGTTACGTGTCATCGCGTATAACGCGGCTGTCGCGGTGTACGTTGTGATCGCCTACATACGTTAATTGACTCCCTCGACCCAGCAGCATTTTCGACGTATACTCACGAGACAACGATGGTCAAATTGGACCGTGGTCGGGTTCTCGAAGATGTTCCGCCACCACAGGTCAGAACCGTCCGGTGCCTTTGCGTATGCCTTTGAGAAGAGCTCATCCTGAGGGGGCGCAAGCCGGCCGCCCATGAGAGGGAACTCATTATAGAGCAGTCCAGCATCGAGGCCAGCGACAAATGCGCCTACCAGAAACAATGAGTCTCTGCAGCTATGAATACAAGTATAATCCCACCTGAGAGAGCCGTCAAGAACACCAGCGCGGTCAATGCCTTGGAGTACCGCGAGAATCGCTTCACAAGCGGATTCTCTAACATAGCCTTCCACTGCACATTGTCTCCCATGAGCCCGCCCCACTTGCCGGTAGTCGCGTATCGCCAGTCGTACAGCGCCGCCATTCCAGTGCCAAGCATCCCAGCATACAGGACAAACGCAGTGCCCAGGTGAGCAGCGAGCCGGTACTGCGATACACGCGGGACGGCGCCAGGGGTGTCCATGAGCGAGTCCTCGAGACCAGATTTGACCATATACCACCCGAGGGCGCCCTGTGCGCCGAGGAGCAGCGCCATGCCAAAGAGCTGCTTCGGGAGCGTTGCGGTGAGACGCTTGCGCACGGCGAAGTAAGCGAGGGGTAAGATGAAGGCGACACCAATCAGACGGCCAAGGACGCGGTGACCCCATTCCATGTAGAAGATATCCTTGAACTCATTGAGCGTGATCGAGTGGTTCATCCTGAGAAGCGATATAACTTCAGAGAGGGAGTGATGTGAGTCGTAGTGACGTACAGCTTGAATTCCGGTGTGGCTTTATACTTCTCGAACTCTACCTTCCACTCCGCCTCGGATAGTGGAGGTAGGACACCAGTTATGGGACGCCATTCCGTTATGCTCAGGCCGGACTCGGTCAGACGAGTGACACCACCGACCACAATGACAGCAAAGACCAAAACAGACGAGAGAATCAGCCAGCGTGCGACTGGAGGTGGGGAAAGCACCGGGAGCTCAGCAGGGATGGTGGAGGCATTCCTCGAGAAGAACCGCGGGTCGAACGGAGGTCGGCAACTCGCACGCAGACTGAAGTGCCTCTCTCCACCCCGGAGATTCGCAAACCTCAGAGATGCGATTGGCGAAGAACTTGTGGCTGTTTTACTTCTGCAGATAAGTTCGCGGAACACGCCTCTTGAGAGAGCGGAAGACTGGTGCAGCTGGGCGCGCAGACATGACCGGCCAGCGAGTATGCTCTGCAGTGAGCGAGGACTGAAGCGGATGCCTTGCGTCCATGCGCCGAAGAATGTCATCCTTCCGGCTCCCTCAGAGACGGGGCAGCCAGGCAGTAAGAGGGGAGCAGGGAGAAGACTGAGAAATAGCTCAATTCCGTATGGTTCTCATCGTGGATCGGGTCGGGAACGCGGTCGAGCCTTTCGCGGGGAGAGACGCCGGCCGAGCCTCTTGCTCGCCCTCCATGTTCACGCTTTCACTTGCTCGGCGGATAGGCGCAATTCGTCTGCCACCCCGCGTTCGCGGCTATGCTGCCCCGCCACCGTCTGGTCTCACAGACGGCGAACGAACCATTTACACGAAGTTAACAGAGAAATTCGATCCTGCGGAGCTGCAAGTCCAGGATGTCTCAGGTACCGTGTATTCTAATCCACTCATCACATATGTTGACATTCTTGGTGAATAGGAGGTTGTGGTACATTTTATCAGATCATTATTGCCAGTGGGGCGTTCAAGGGGATGCCGACCGTCAAGCAACATCGTATGGTGAATGAAACCCTGAAGCAGGAAATCGAGGGTATACACGGTCTGCAGGTTAGTATGTGTCTAAAAGCCGCACACCTTCATATATACTCAACGATGGACACAGTTGACTACGAGAGTTGTGTGATTACGTGTTGTGCATCTTCACATCCACACCTACTGTTCAATGCTTCACTTGCATAATCATTCACAGGGACCGGCAATACTGAGGGTCCTCTCAATGAGACTCACGACTTCATCCTTCCGAGTCCTATCATGCATGAAACTCAGCCACAAGAACCACCAATATATATATTCCTGACGGCTATTAGTGCTGATTGCCATTGAGTGCATGTTGATGGTCGAACCACCAGGTGATATTGCCAACGACTTGTCGTGATGTCTGCATCTCGTCTATCATTCCCAATTGGATAGAGCCCTAGTTACACTTCCATGCAAGTTGTTGTGTGGTCCAACATTAGCGCTGTCTAACATTCTGCACATATAGCTTCCCCCTCCCCCTCTCAGAGTCTTTCTCAGATACCAGAGTCTCCTCCCTGCACCAAATGTGACGTCCTGCAAGTCATCACTTAGAAAGCAATTAGAGCATAGTTGCACGTAGTGTAAGTGAGGGTCCACGGTCACTGAACCGCCAACATTGACATCTCCATCCAAGCTTATCAGCAAGCAAATACACTCGGCCTCTGGATCGGCCTTTACTCTGGTGCGAACACAAACGTGTAGGTCAATCCAACGAGGTGGGTAGTGACTCTTTCTTCAAGATAAGGACAGTTTGGTGACATTGTATTCTCGCATCCAAAAATTTGTCGTAGATATGTCTGCGACGTCTCTGCCGAGCGCAATGTCGCGGGGTCGCAGGCCCAGTGAAGGGTCCAAATCAATACGATGGCAGACTCCTGTCGGCTTAATCATGGAACCCGAACCGTTGCCCTCAGCATCGGAACCATTTTCACAATCTCCCTCGCGTCATACGCCGCCGCCTTCGGCATCAGCCCCATTGGCATTGTCTTTTCCGCGCCTTTCCCCATCGCATCTCTCTGGCTCGCCATCGTCCCTAACTTCACGAATTGTTCCAGGCGATACGCCAGGTCATCCATACCCGCTTCCGAGGCCTCCAATTCTCTCGGAACTCAGGGAGGGAAACGACCATGCTGCCCGGTCGCCATCCTCTTATCCAGCCATGTTGCACACCGACAGTCCCGAAGTGCAGCGATTACGCTCGGGAAGCACGGCCTCGTGGAAACAATCGCAAATCCCCAAGCGTTACCTGCCCACAGCATCTAGCCCCAGGCCCTTTACCACCGTAGAGTCGTATCAGTCAAGCTCAACCGCACTGGTCGCTATATCGACTTTGGGTACGAGGCTTCGCATTTGACGATAAGGCATACCTCTGAACGAACATGTTGCTGGCAGGCGCATCCGTATCGTGGGCCTCCTTTTTCACTGCTACTCGTGGATCGCTCCCGCTACTGGCTTGGGCCACAGCGGCGCTGGTACCTTCTGCTGTGGCAGCAAGCTGCGTTGCCATTGTCCTGAGTCATAGAGAGGCCGCATTCGCAGTGGAGCACGATATCCAGCGGCGCAGAATTGTCCGAGCGTTCCATGGCTTCGCTGCCTTCGGAGTACTGTGTGGTATCATTCTCTTGAATGCGGCTGTCACCTTTTCAGCGCCCATCGACGACGCCAGTCAAAGCGCCGCTGAGATTGTTTCCGTCAGGGCTGCGGGACTGTATGGGATTTTTCTCGTCGTAGCTCTTGTGATAATTACAGTGTTTCTGCGGTTCTTCCATTACAAAGAATAGACCACGCCTTTTGTTTCAAGACGATAATCCGTTCCGTATTGATCAGACACAATATATGCTTAATAGTAAGCTCTCATTTGCCACATCTGCAATCTATCTGACATTTCTAGTCGCTGACGTGTATTGGAGGCTTCAGACCTTCTGTTCCCCTTTCTCCCACATGGGTGGGACCATGTGCTAACCCGGTAGGGTGAAGTAACGATCTACTGAAGCGAGTGGTCGCCAGGGCTGCCATGTTTACTAGGAGACAATCTGCGCATAATTCGAACTAAACACTGAAGGCTGATTGATAGGGGTTCGGACGTTTTGTACAAACGTCTCATTGTGTAAGCGAATATCAGTGCACGAGCAAGATAACAAGATTGCATGCCATAGTAACCCAGGACGAAATTCAGGTATATGATTCCCATGAAGCTGCAGTAGATACGCGACAACATAAGATGCATGATACGTAGATCGATCAGGGTTCGGCCGGTGGAGTGCTCGTCTAATCCGGGCGTACTAGTCACCGGCATCGGCGGACTGCTCAGAGGACGAATTGGATTCAGGCTGTCTGTGTGTCGAGCGAGATAAACAGAAGGTCCTAATATCTCGGTTGTGTTGGTCAACTCACTCTTTTTCTCTTGCCAGCAGGTGGTGTGAAGCGATCGGCATTGTCGACAAGGAGTCGCTGAAACTCCACATCATAGCCTACGCATTTCATACACCACACGCCAATTTCCTGGAATCTGCGAGGTCAGAATAGCTGGACTCTCTCAACACTGTGGAGTATAATGACCTCTTCGTTTCTCTCGTATGCCGCGGAGATTTCTTGCCAAGACAGGGAACTAGCGATCTCTCTTGACCGTGCGTCAGAAACAAGCTCCTCTATTTCTTCGAGGGTCGGCTCCCTGTGATACTCGCGACGTGCGTAGACTCGCGCACGCACATCGATGCCGAAGCCATGCTGTAGAATGCGCATTCCCCAGGATCGCCTTACCTGTTGGTGAGAGGAGAGCCGACTCAGGATCTGTCAAGGTGTAAAGAAATAGACTTACCAGCGGTGGTTGTCTTGCGAACTCTTCTCGAGTGAGGGATCGGATGGATACATCCTGTAATTTCCCGAATACTGCCAAAGAGCTTTGGGAGTGTCGCGCAGTCTCACGAATACTCGAACAACCTGGCGCGCATTACCCCATGTACCATCCGCAGGGACCATATTCAGAAACAGGCCGGGATCGCCAGGGTTCAAAGGAGCATGAGGATGCAGATCAAGGGTAATGAACATAAAGTCATTGAGTCCGTGGATTGCCACTTTCTCGTCACTTGGAGATGGGAATGTATCAACGAAGCTCCCACCGTATAAATTGTGGATATAATGGCGATTGAAGAGAAACCGCTGTAGCCTCTCCTCTATATCGATGGGATATCGCTCAAAGCCAATAGCCTTAAGCCGGTCTGTGACCATCGCACCATCGAATTGAGAGTCTTTCTTGATCTTGGCGTGTGGCTACAGAGCATCATTAGATCTATTATTGTCATAATGGCCAGGTCATGCATACGTTGCGGTATTTTTCCAATGTCGCAGCCAGTTCCTCTGCAGAAAGGGGCTCCTCTTTTGGTTCCGCCTTGATGGTCGCTTCCACTTCAGACGCCTCTCCTTTGATCTCAGGCGCTGCTTCTACAGTCTCATGCTTTGGATGAAAGAGCAGACACGTTTGTAGTGCTCACCTTCTCCTTGAGCTAAACCACTTGCATGTGCGTGACGTGCGCGACGCATGACTTCTCTGAACGGCAGGACAGTCACGTCTGCGAACGTGGCGCGCGATCTTTTCGAAGTTCGTGCATCCGTTGCGTCCTTCTGCTCTTCCTTGAACTGGTCTCTTAGTTCAATCACGGCCCCAGCGGCGTCATGAGTAAATGGTGAAGTGCTATCTCGGTTACTATGCTTAATCGCAGCGTGAAAGGTTGACGTCATGTCCCTATAGCAGTGCAAGATTAGTACTTCTATAGTCTTGTTTCAACACTATGCGCTCACGTTCCGAACAGAAATTTGAGTACCAATTTCTATGGGAACATTGACCAGAGAATACTGGCGCGAAGATAAGTGCGGTGGTCAGGCGGCGGTTGTCAAGTAGTGCCAGCGCCCATAAATGTACGTTAACCGCATCAATGAGCTACCCTCGTGAAAACAACACTAATCAGAGGTGACTTTTGGGGACTGTCAGATTCGAAATGCAGTGGCAAGGCATGCGTGCATGACCGCAGTACATGCCGAAAGTCTTAGGGCCTGACTCTATGCGGTGGCTTTGATACTCCTGTGGTTGGCTTGATACATTGGGATGTGTGATACTAGTACGGCAGATGCAAAGTATGGGAGCTGGGGAGAGAGGGGGGCTGGGCTTTAATAGTACGTAATGCATTTGGCAAGGTAGTCGAGGGCGTGAAAATCAAAAGATGAGAACAGACAGACCCGATCACTCTCGCTCCTTCAAGAACGCTTCAAGCTCGTCGTCCAGGTCTTGTTGAGTCTTGTGAGGTCGCGGGCGGCCTCTGCCGCCAAACGAGTCATCCTCGCGATGGTCTCGTCTATCCCGTTGCGGTAACCTTCGCAAGGATGTGCGATGGTCGTCTTCCCGCTCGCTATGTCTGTGAGACCGCGCACGCCGTGGAAGCTCAGCAGTTATACGGGACGCCAGGGTATCTGGTCTGGCTCGCATGACGGAGGTTCGCTGGAGCAGCGATTTTCTGTCCGATACCATGTGATCCGACCGCATTTTCGATGGCGGAGACGGTAATTCTTGCGGAGCGTCGTCCTCGGCCAAGAATGCGTCCAGTTCGTCATCCAGGCGGGCCATTTGGACTGCTTTATCCAATGGATCCTCCCTCCTCCGTTTCCGTTGGGGCTCGTCGTCTCTATCAAGTGCACCGACTTCGCTCCCAATTAACTTCCCGGCCTTGCTGCCGTACTTCCGATAGAACTCGCTTTCCTTCTTCGCGCCCTTCTTCTTGATATCATCGCGAGTCGCCCACCTCATCCTGATAGCGCCCTTCAGTCCCTCACCCTTCCCTAGACTCTTGTTGATCCTCTCTTCTGGAGGCCATATAGCAACAGGAATTGGTTTAGCGGTCACCGAACCATCCTCAGCTGAGGGTTCCTCCGCTATTGACTTGGTGAGGTGGCGCAATGCCGAGCGTGCCACAGCTTTGGTGTCGAAGACCAGAATGCATGTTATGTCGTCGATCCATTCGAGGGCCATAGGGTGGGAGTCATAATGTGTGGCGTACTCTTTGATGCTAGCGGTTGATAGGTGCGAAATGGGTGTCCCACGGAACAGTATGGCATTGTCCCTGTAGGGCGAATCTACACCTTTATGAGAGATTACCGCAGGCTATATGGATGTTTATCCACCTTCTTCCATTTCGAGATCTCCATTTGTACTCTCCCCTATCCTTTCCTCACTCTCGTGCCTACGCTAATGAGACAGACCGCAGGTGTGTAAAGCAGGCAGTTTTGCAGGTGCGAGTTGACCACTCTCTTGTTAGGCTCCATCTCCGCGCCCGCTAAAACATGCTGCCAGCGCACCTTTCCTAGTCGCGTACCTGTCGCTTCCGGTAGTAAGTATACCTTCGTGTTTCCTATTCGATCGGCGAGTTGGGTGTGCACGGGCTCGGTAACCGGCTGGTGGTCGTCGTAGGCAACATTGTCGTCGTAGGATAGCATATCGGCAGGAGTAAAATCTGAGCTCTCAATCCCGATATTCATGGCGAGAAAGCAAGTCTTGTTATAGGATGGCTTTGGTTGGTAGAATGTCAATCGAGGAGACAATGGTGTCACATTCGTGAGAACGTTACTGTGACTGACACACCGTCACGATCAACCTCGGTCACTTTGTAGGGCGATCACTTTGGGCCTGCGCTCATTTAACTTGTCCGCTAGGGATATGGCCGACACTACAGAAGCAGCTCCTGCAATCAATAAGAACAAGAGGCATAGAAAGGAGAAGCGTATGTACTCAAGTTACCCAGTGTTTGTCCTGTTCCTCACACCGGTCCGACAGCATGGGATACAGATGACATCGACCAGTGAGCTCATTCTTCTGATGGGTTTGCGAATGCATTTCTCACTTTAGCTTTCCAGTGTAAGCATGCATGCAGATAGCTATACTATCTAAGCCTGAAACAATGTCCAGTGGGCGATACAACCGTTCCAAGTGGAGGATAATAAAAGCGGTACATTCACTGAAGAATCTTCGTTTGCGACCCTATTCCCTAAGTACAGGGAAAGGTATCTGCGGGAAGTCTGGAGCGCGGTTACGCAAGCCCTAGAGCCGCATGTATGACTTAGCTTTGTTGCTATTTTTACGCTCTGATGTTATTCTTACAGGGAATCGCTTGTACACTGGACCTGATTCATGGCTCTATGTCTGTACGAACCACGAGGAAAACATACGACCCATACGTCATATTGAAAGCTCGCGACATGATTAAGCTCCTGGCCCGTGGAGTTGCAATAGGACAGGCGGTGAAGATTTTGGATGACACCGTTGCATGCGATATCATCAAGATTGGGAACATCGTGCGCAACAAGGAGAGATTTGTCAAGCGGAGACAGAGGATCATTGGCCCAGATGGAAGTACGCTGAAGGTGAGTAACCTCACCGGCCTCGGGAGAACCCTGACTGAGCGTTTTCTCAGGCCATTGAACTGCTTACACAATGCTACGTCCTTGTGCAAGGGAGCACTGTCAGTGTCATGGGTCCCTACAAAGGGTTGAAGGAAGTCCGGAGAATTATCCTGGATTGTATGAAGAACATACACCCCATCTATAGAATCAAAGTGCGCATGGCAAATGATACTGGTTCCGTCCGAACAACATTGACATTGTTCCACAGGAACTTATGATCAAACGCGAGCTTGCTAAAGACCCCCAGCTGGTCAATGAATCCTGGGATAGATTCCTGCCTAAGTTCCGCAGACATCATCTTAAAACGTCCGAGAAGACGGCACGCAAGAATGAGCGGACACAAGAGAAGAACGGGGCACGAAAGGCTGCAGGGTTAGAGCCTACGGGGTCAGAGAAGGATCAACCGGCGAAGAAGGTGTACACTCCCTTCCCGCCTCCACAAATGCCCCGAAAGGTACGAGCAGCTACCATGTTCTTTCGGAGAGGCCTCTCACATCTTAATATCCTAGGTCGACTTGCAACTCGAGTCTGGAGAGTATTTTCTCAAAGCACACGAGAAACAGGATAGGGAGGCGCGAAAGAGAAAACAGAAGGTATGCATGCACAAATATAGATCATGCTATTTTACTAACACTTTGAAATAGCAAGAGCAGGTCACCGAGGAGCGGCGTGCAAAACGCGCCGAAGCATTCGTTGCGCCCGTTGAGGAGGTTGTGCCCACCGTCGAGGAAAAGCGGAAGCGAAGACGAGAGAAAGAAACCGAGGATTTGGAGGAGGAGACTGGGAAACACAAAAAGGCGAAGAGGAAGAAACGCCTGCACTCAGAGGGCAATAGCGAGTAGACATTGTGGGCTCTACGAGCTGTATTTCCTTGCATATTGCCCTTTGGATTACCACCTTAGCGTGATAGTAACGCTTTGTGACGTCTAGTGACTATGGCACACTGGTGTGACGATGGACTTTGTCCAGCGACTTGTCCCGGTTTCGTCAGCGTTGCGGGACCCCTCTACCGTACTTTCTCCTATTCCTCGCTAGCGATCCTCGGTTAGCTCTGTAGACTTTCTTCACTCTGCGAAAAGTACCTCTAGGCGATATCAGACATGAACAAGAATCCGTTCGTCACTACTGCAGCGTACAACCCCCAGCAACCCCCTCTTCCACCGGGGCCCCCTCCCCCCCAGCCTGCCCAACCGGATTACTCTGCATACTGGGCAGCGGCAGCGACGGCGGGACAGCACGCGCAGAGCTCTACTACTGGCACTTATACTCAGCAGTGGTCCGCAGCGCAAGCCGCTCAGCCTGCGGCAGCTCGGCCAACGCCTGAGCAATCTGCCTTATACGCAAATTATGGCTATGGCGGCCAGCAAAATATGAATTGGCAACAACAGCAGCAGCAAAGGCAGCAGCAGCAACATTTTCAGCCGCCGCCGCCAGTTGTACAACCACCTCCCCCGCCACCTCCGCAACCAGCGTATAATCCGTATCAGCCTCAGGCCGGTGCCTATCAGCAGCCGTATGTTCCCCAAAGCGGACCTGCACCACAACAAGCACCTCCGACGACATACCAGCCCCCGGTTGCACAGCAGTTCCAGCAACAGCCGCAGCAGTTTTTTCATCCACAACAGCAGCAACGCCCCAACAATCGTAACCCAAATATCCATCATGCATCTCCTCAGCAGCTTCCACCGGCGAAGCGGCAGCGATTCGACGGTCCCAATCAACATCGCGGTCCTCCTCCACCCCCGCCTCAGTTCCAACCCCCGCCCCCGCCCCCCATGCCTATGCAACAAGGTGGGGGCATGGGCATGTTCAATCAGAATCAAGGGCAAGGTCACAGCCGCGGAGGCGGTCCTCCGATAGGATCAATGAACATGAGCGGCGGTCGCGGAGGGTTCATCGGTGGGCGTGGTGGCAACAACCAGGGCGGTAGGGGAAGAGGCGGCCCAATAATGAATCGGGGCGGAGGCCGAGGTAGAGGCAACGGGTCATACAACAACATGGGTGGTCGTGGAGGTGGCGTCGGGCAAAACAGCGGCAGCTTCAGAGGTCACGGTTCGAACCGCGGATTCGGTAACAGAGACAATCGGCGAGGTGGGTCGTTCTCTGGTGGAGGCAACCAGGGTTATTCGCAGGGCTTTCAGCATCAGCCGTACCAGCATCAGCATCAGCACCACCATACTCATCCTCACCACCACCAGCAGAACTACAATACCAACAACAGTTTCCGTGGGCGCAATCAAGGCTTCCCGCATTCGAGTCGCGGTGGGCGGCACGACCCGGGCTCGTTCCACGCGCCAAAAGAGAACGGGAACACCTCATCGTCGAACTTCACTCCCACATTCTCGTCTGGTAAGAAGGATGAGAACAGGCGCACGCTGACTGATTTCAAGATTGTCGGGCTGGAGATCCCAGAGTTAACCTGGAATTGGAATGCTGCCAAGTCTGATGCTGCCGAGACAGCAGTGAAGGTGGAGGCTCCAGAGAGCGCTCTCCCGCATACCGAGCCCGCTAATACTGCGGTTGATCAGGATGCTTCTCCAGCGAAGGCTGAGGATACTACTGGTGCGGGAGATGCTGCGACTGCTGCGGCTGATGTATCCGCTGAAAGCGCGCTCGTGAAAACGGAGTCGGTTGCATTGGTGCCGCCGCCTCCATCGCGTGTTCGCATCTATTTCCATACACCGGTTACTGCTGACGATGCCCACCCTCTTCCGTCTCATATGTCATATTCTCCCAGCCCTTCTGCTGCTATCAGGAAGGGGAAGCGTAAAAAGCTCGAGGATGATGATGGTGACTATGAAGACGGTCGCGGCGCTCCGCCCCCGCCTCCTCACTCGTCCGGTATGGGCGCGGACCATGATGGGAGCGTCGCTCCCAGCGTGGAGTACAATGGCTCAGAGAACGTTGGTGGTCGGGGTAGCGTCGCCCCCAGTGTAGCCGATACCGTCAGCGATGGCGACTGGTTGATGGCCGCGATTGGCGGGGACGACGGGCAGGATGATGGCGATGACCATGATTATGGCAACGACGGCGATCAGTACCATGATGCTGATGCAGAAGGCGACTATGGTAAGCCTCTAGTCTTCGATCGAGACTGTGCACGACACGAGCGCGCCGCTCGTTCGAACGATTCGTTCGCACCACTAATTCCTGTTTTCTCAAGATGGTACTGGTCATGATGATATGCAAGGGGAGGGGCACGAGGAATATCACTCGATGGGTGGTGATGCGGATGCTCATGATTTGCCTGATGAGCAGCATGATGCGAGCATGCACTCTTCAGAGCGGGGCGTTCTGTCTCATGCACCCAATGGCCCTAACAGTCACAACGACTCCTCTCCCAATGGCGGCTCCATGAGTGTGCCGCCTCAGGTGGGGTCAGCCCCTACACCCAAAGCCGGCCTCGAAACCCATGGGAATGCTCAAATTGCAGATGCTTCTGCCTCTGTCGCCTCTGCATCAGTCTCTACTTCCGTCGATCCTGTTAATTCTGCACGCGGTCCCGATTCTCAGGCTCCTTCCGAAACTGCGCCCGCTGCTCTCAGCAGGCCTCTCCAGGCAATGGACTCTTTGGCCTCTACCGTGCCTGATACGAACGGGCCAATTCCTGGTAATGCTTCTTTCGCATCCACAGTGATTGACGAAGATGTTGCGAATCACAATGGCTCTGGCGAGGCAGAGCCCACACAGCCTGCTGACGACTCATTACAGTATGAGCATATGTCGCCTTCCTCAATCACGGCTGTTTCGCCGGCGTATACAGGCTCTACGGCATACTATGACCCTTCGACATCTCAGAATCCTTCGCAGACCGCTGGGAAGAGCAGGGTCGCCTCTGCCAACCGCCTATCTGTATCCTATGCTGCTGGCACAAGGAGGATGGTGATTGACGCAGAGATTGTCGACAAGCTGAAAGTCATCCGAGCGGATGGGCGCATTGAGGTTTCTCTGAATGTGACCAAAGATGAAGTCAGTGGGTATAAGGGAATTTTGGTGCGGGTTTACTTAGTTTTGTTCGAGCCTGCATTGACTGATTGGCTCTGCTCGCAGATGGAAGCATACTCAGAGACCACCGCGTCCTACCTCCCGCTCGAGATGTCAGAGAGCGTCGAGACGGATCCGACCGTGCCTGCATTCTCCACGATCTCCCTGCCTGCCAAAATAACCCTGACCGCGCATCTGGACAAAGAGCGTCCGCTATCCGAGCCTCGCTGGGTCAAGTCGGGCGATGTCCAGGAGTGGCTCAGGAGCATGTTCGGCCGCATGTTCTGGGTCGCAGGCGATGCCGCCGAAGGCTGGGAGAAAAAGATCGAGGTTGCCGATCCTGATCCGGTAAGCTGCGTCACGCCTATGTTCGCCCTTGGCACCGTTACTAAAGACATACTACGCATCAAAGGCGCCTACGATCTGGACGATCCTCGAGGCCTGGGCGCAAAACTCGACGGTCGGGCAGCTGACGGAGCGCCAGCGCTTCCTCCGCACACACATGACGGAGACCGACAACATCCTCGAGATCCTGCTGCGTCTGGTGCGCGGCGAGCGCGCCACCACCCAGCCGACGCCCGCCGTCGCCGCGCCTAACATCGCCGGGCCCCTGTTGTCCGCGCTCTCGCCCGGCGCCGCACACGGCGCGCAGCAGACGCACGTGTCGCTCGCCGTGCTGGCGATCTTCCGGATCGCCGTGGAGTACGCGAAGAAGGCGTCCCCGGAGAACGGCAAGAACGAGGTCGAGGAGCGCGCGGGCGAGATCATCCGCTCGCTGCCGCAGCACCTGCTGTATAAGAGCCTGGACGGCATCTTCAAGGAGTGGAAGATGGAGAAGAAGGGCGGCGGCGGCAAGTGAGGTGGTTCTGTCTGCGGTCAGGGTCAGCGTACTTCGTGCCGTCGTGTCTGCATTGCGAGTGTCTTCTTGTATGCGAATTCTTGGCCGTCGCTTCGCATGTCGCCTGCGGGCTTGCCTTTGTATGGTACGATCTCCTTGCGAAAGTGCTCTCCCTTTTGTGAAAAGTGCTCTGTTGTGCGAAAGTGTCTCGGCGCAACCCCCGTGCCAAAGTGCTCTTTTCGCCCCCCAGGGCATCGGTACAATATCTCTTTGCGAAAGTGGCAGCTTGTCCGATGAGACGGACGTACTTGTTCTCTCTTCATAAGCGCGTCCGTTCGATCAGGAACTCGCCCGCGCTCATATGCATATTAGAGTGGGATATGATCCGGCTGAGCGATCGACTAGACTATGGCGAAAACAGTAAACGTCTAACGAAAACACTAACTACGCGACAGACAGCAAAGAGACCGAAAACCATCGTGGACCAGGACATCACCGCTCGTCACCCCGTCGTGAAACTCGTCGCGCTCGCCCCCTCGCCCCCTCGCCCTTGCCCTCGCCCTCACTTCGTCGGGGTGTCGAACATGCCCTTGATCTTCCCGAAGATGCTCGTGCGCTTCTTCCGCTGCTGCCCGCCCACGCGGCCCGCGAGCGTCTCCGCGCGCGGCTCCTTCTCGTGCGCGCTCCCCGCCGCCGACCCGAGCTCGGTCACGGACGTGTTCGCGCTCGAGCTCGAGTGCCGCGAGTGCCGCGAGCGCGTCGAGAGCGACGGGAAGCGCATCCGCTTGTCCTTCGCGGGCGGCGTGCTCGATGGCGTGCCCGTGCCCGTGCCCGTGCCGACGCTGCTGGGCGTGGCGGGGGTCGCGGGGGTCGCGCCGTTCGTCGCTGGCTTCTCGGGTGTGCTCGGCGAGGCGGCGGGCACCTCGTCCTGCGTGCCGGTAGGGCCGACCGTGGGCGCCGCGGGCAGCGGCTTCGGCGCTGCGATGACGACGGCCGGGGCGGGCGCGGGCGTGGGCGTGGCGCGTCCGTCCTCGGCGGCCTGGGTGGGCGTCGCGGTGCGGGACGCGGGGCTGTCCACGCCGTGGCGGCCTGCGGGGGAGTGCGTCGACGGGGGCGCGAGCTCGTCGGCGTCCGGCGGGGCGCTTTGGGGCGCGGCCGCGGTGTCGGGGGCGGGGGGCAGGAGCGGGAGGAGGTGCACGGGCACGCGCGGGGCGAGGTGCGGCGCAGCCTCTTCGGCGGGCGGGATGACGGCCTCGGGAGAGAGGGAGAGGGAGGGGGGCGTCGTGGGCTCAGAGCCGGGTGCGGGTGCGGGCACTGGGACTGCGGGCGCGGGCGACGCCTGGTCGGTGGTGCCGGGCGCGATTGCGTCGACCATGGCGACGGCGGTGTGCTTCGCGGTGTCGGCGACGTCTGCTACTGCGTCTGCGGCCGTCTGCATCGCTCCGGCGGCGCTCGGGGCGATCTCAGGGGGCGGCGGGGCGAGGTAGATGTTGTTGAGGTTGCCGATGGCGTCGTACTCGGAGGGCTGGCTGTCGGCGGTGGCCCAGCGGCCGTCGACGATGAACTTGTACGTGGTCTTTTTGCTCCAGGGGACGGAGACGGAGGCCTCGAAGCCGGAGGGCGTCTTTGTGAGGTGCGTTGAGCGGGACCACTGAGGTGAGTGAGTGCGCAAATTAGGGGCAGAAGGCGATGGCAGGAAGAGAACACGCACGCCGTCAAAGGTGCCTGTGACGATGACGTCGGAGGCATCTGTGCGGGGCCTGTGCGGGGCGGTCAGCCATTGCGTGCTGGGAGGTGCAGCCCAGGGGCGGTTCGCTCACCATCGGAATACGACTTTGTGAAGGCCGGCCATTGGGAGAGGCGATGGGATAGCGCAACAGGGTTCAGCAGACCAGCACTGTGTTAGGAAAGTCGAGCGAGCTGCTGGGCCACGACGCGGCGGGCACAAGGCGGCTGGCGGCACGATGACATAGTGCGGGATTCGGCAACGAGCGGGAGAGGGATTAGCACGCGGGGACAGGGGTCGGGACACGATCACTCACGGAGGGGGCGAGGAGGAGCAGCACCGGCGACAGACGACACGAGGAAGGGCCTTTTATATGCAGGTCGAAGCGAGGGAAGAGTTGATGGCGCTCGCCAAATGCAGACAATTCAATTGCGCATCCCGACACATGTCTGCTCACATTCCAGTCCAGACCGATCGTCCCTCACGCTAATCTGTCGTGCGCTCGCCCTCTCCTCACCGCCGGCCAACGTCTGCATGGCTGCTTTCAGGGGCAGTCAGCCACCGCAGACTCACCAGCTCCCAGGCTGTCGCGGCCAGCGCCAGATGAGCCGGCGATGGTCGATCCCCGCCCGCCACGGTTCCCTATTCCGCACACAGTCCATCAGCAGCGACTCTGATAGCACAACTTCAAAATGGCGGGTACATGCACAAACTCACAATTGCGCATATGCGCATTTCGTTACGACATGGCTGAACATCAATACATGACGATGCTGCCGGTGTAACATAGGCGCCCATATGGTGGCACAGCCGATTTCACGAGAGATGTCGCGCGCGTCGAACACAAACAAATCCTCGCTGAGCGACCTCCCACTAAGAACACGAATATCTCGACAAATACTGAGCGTATCGTCTTCATTTCTGCTGCGTTAGACTCGCCTCGTCGTTGCGCATGTCCTGGTATCAAAAGCATCATGAATTTCCAACACTGAAATTTCGACACCTTCAGCATCCTTCTGAAGCAGACTCGTTCCTGCTCGCGAACACGACATCACAAATGACATGCCATGTAGCTGCCGGTGTGCTTATAACCACAAGCGCTTGGCATTGTCTTTGAAATGATATTGAGAATGAAATCTATGCTACACATAATGTAGACAGTCAGATCTGGAGTGACGAAGTACTTGCAAGTGTAGGAAGCATAAGAATGATTGGCAGAGCTAGCACAAGGGTGGGAAAGAAAATGAGAGTCCATACTACAGGCAATGCTTATGAAAGGCTTACAGCAAAACCAATATTGATAGACCTCCCTCGCAAAAAGTACAGATAGGCGGCATGGAGCATAGCGGCGCTCGGCACCTCGGGGGTGACGTACCCTCATCCCCCAGATATCTCAGTGTTGTTCACGGCAGCCATAAATAGTCGTAACCCACGCCGATGTCTCGATATTCGTCTATGGGTCGAGGTCTACATCGTCGCTCTCTACTTCTGCAAACAAAGGTAGACAGCGACAAACCCTGCGATACCAGTAGCTTCCTTAATCTGGCCATTAGTCATGGAGTCAGACATGTATTATACACCAAGTTCTTTCTGAGGAGGGATATATCGCCCATCCTAACAATGACGGCGAGAGGACGAGAGGATTACACTGAGCGTCTACCTCACGATCCTCAGTAGCCCATCGGCCGCTCGTCGACGTATCTGCACCACTGCCGACCCCTGCCACGAGCTTCTGCCCCACTTTGCCGATGTGTATACTTTGCGAGGGGAGGTCTATCAATATTGGTTTTGCTGTAAATGAAGGTTTTCTTCAGCACCTGAATGGGATGAGATGAAGTAATACCATCATTTAGGTACATTCAAAATTGCCGCTTAAATCTCGCTGGAAAACAAGCGACTTCTCGCTGCTTTTGAGCACCCAAATGTGGCTGAAGCTCGCTGAAACGTCGCTGAAAGCGTCACAGATGACTAAGCGTGATGCAGCTGTGATTTGTTCACGTTCTCGGCTTGCGAAGGGCTACAGTAACCAGCCAATCAGGTTGGCGAATCACGCAAGCGTGACATGGCCGTGAACCAGAATCTGCGAGCGCTTGCGACGAGCAGTTGCTTAAATGTCGCTGTTCGAGGAGGGGAGCTCAGATTCTGCTCGCTGCTTTTGGCCGCTTAAATGTCGCTTGTTTTCCAGCGAGATTTAAGCGGCAATTTTGAATGTACCTATTATATAAACAAAGCTAGGAGCATAGCGAGAACCAGACATAAGACTTTAGAAACACACTGCAGCTGTATCAGGCCATCCACAGAACCCATCTAGCCATCCTACGAATCTCCGATGCCGTGTTCACGAGTAGGAATGATTCTGCTTCAGAGGGATGTCGAAGATGTCGAAATTTCAATGTTGGAAATTCACGATGCTTTCGGTATCAGGACATGCGCGACGACGAGGCGAGTCTAACGCAGCAGAAATGAAGACGATACACTTAGCAGTTGTCGAGATATTCGTGTTCTCAGTGGGAGGTCGCTCAGCGAGGATTTGTTTGTGTTTGACGCGCGCGACACCTTTCGTGAAAACGGCAACAAGTGCGATTCTTTGCTCTCTACCATGGCGGATTTACTCCGCGAGGAGACTCTCGACGACCTCGATCCTCTCCGCCATCTCCGCGGCAGCGCAGACGCAGACGACGCAGACGACGCCGACCTCGTCCCCGCCCAGCCGCCGTCCATTCTCGATCAGACGATCGAGCTCACATTCCCCTCCGACGCGTCCGAGACCGTCTCCATCACGCTCGCCGTCTCCGCGTCGCCCGGCTGCGGGGGCATCGCATGGCCTGCAGGAGAGGTGCGTCGCGCCGCGCGCCATGCGCCATGACGATGCGCCCTTACGCGCGCCATCCAGGTCCTCTCGCGCTACATCGCCCGCAGGGGCCCCGCATACTTCAAGGACAAGACCGTCCTCGAGCTCGGCAGCGGCACCGGGCTCGTCGGGCTCGTCGCGGCGAAGCTCGGCGCGCCCCGCGTCTGGCTCACCGACCAAGCGTGCGTGTCTCCTCCCCCCGCCACTACCCGGCTCTCACCCAGCCCCCTCCGCCACACAGCCCGCTCCTCGACACCATGCGCCGCAACACCGCGCTGAACGGCCTCGCGCCGCCGGTGCGCGTCGCGGAGCTCAACTGGTCCGTGCTCCCCCCTGCCCCCGTGGCTGCAGCGCATGACGCATGATGGACGTGCACACGCCAGGGGCGCGCCGCTCCCGCTCCTCCCGCGGCCGGACGTCGTCCTCGCGGCGGACTGCGTGTACTTCGAGCCCGCGTTCCCGCTGCTCGTGCACACGCTCGCGGCGCTGGTTCCGCGGGGCAGCCCCAGCCCGGACCCCGACCCCGACGTGCTCTTCTGCTACAAGAAACGGCGCAAGGTGCGTGCGCGGGTCGCGGGTAGCAGGTCTCGGGTCTCGGCTGATCGTGCGCAGGCGGACCGGCGGTTCTTCGCGCTGCTCAGGAAGGAGTTCACCTGGACGGAGGTGCGCAAGCGTGCTGTGCCGTGTGCGCAGGCCGTGTATGCTGATGCGCGGTGTATCCCGCGCGCTTGCTCGCAGGTGCTGGACGACCCCGACCGCGACGTCTACGCGCGCGAAGCGATATCTCTGCTCCGTCTGACCCGCAGACAATAGCGCTTGGCGCGACAGCTATGGCGCTATGCAGCCCGCCTTCGCTTATGGTGAGCGTGCCGTGTTGCGCATCGAGCACTGGCGTGTGGCTAAAGTATAGGACCGAGCCGGGGGATTCGAGTGGTACGGCACAGCGATCGACCGTGTTTTCTGTTCATGCTTGGCTACGGGTTGGGAGCGGAATGTGGAAGGAGGAAGGTAGCCCTGGCGCAGCGCGCCAGGGAGTCGGAATGTATATCATCGCCGTGTATAAAAGCAGTGCTCATCGTGGTCCGCATACGCAAGTATCCCTTGCTGCGCTGCTTGGCGCGGTGCGCGCCAGACTGCAAGCTCTCAGCTGCACCAAGCCCCGCGCCATTTTCTGCGACTCCAGCGATCAGACGAATGCCTGGCGTTTTTGACCACACAGAGCCCGCGAGGCGAGCACCCATCGTAGGGATACGTACGACGCCGTGGCACCATGGAGCCATACCGTGACAAGGCCGCCACGAGACAAGGTGGCACGAAGGGCGATAGCGCCACGGATGGGCCGACGATGTGTGCAGCCTCCCTCAGGTGCGTTCTTCGGGGTGTGCGCGCGGTGTGGCGCACAGCCCGTATTCGGACCCGCGGCGGTAGATTTCGCCTCGGGAGCAAGGCCTTTTACCTCAGCAGTACGCACGCGACGGGCTAGTAGAGAGCCTGGAGCTGGACATAGGACCCGTACCGGATGAGTATTATGTGCTGATGAGTCCCATACCCCACTGGCACATAGCCGTAATGGCAGTGGCATCCTGCACACTCAGCCACGGTCTTCGTCAGTTATCACGCAAGCGCATGCGGTCTGAGGAGCTGGCTCGGAGGTCCCTAGACAGCCTCGCTTCGCAGCGTAGCTGAGACATTGGCATCGGGATACATAAGTCGCTCACTGCGACGGGCCGCCGGGCATGCGATCTTCGTCCAAGTTGAATTACGGCCGTGTCATCTTTTCAAGACATCATGCCGGCGAGTTCTGTCTGCGTGATGCATGTACACCATGGGGAAAGTGACCGGAATTGTGGTTGCTAATAACAGGTCGAAGGGAACGCTATACCCTTCCAACCTTTCCAGGGGGTTTCCAAGCAGCGGGCGTGAACTCCTACCGTTCTATTTAACATCATCGATCGTAGTTGCAGCACCGACAATTGAAACCTATGTACTGGGGCCGTTGAATGATGTATGGGTGTATTAATTTTAGTATGCGGCTCAGACCGCTACGTATTCATAACAAATAGTAACGGGGTCTCAAGCTTTTCACGGACCCATCATTGATCGCGATGGTGCTAACGCCGAACCCAATGTTCCCAGCCGCGGCACAGGTCGAACTTGGCTCACAAGTCGCTCTTGACTTTGACTCTTCGTATCATCAATATCAAGAGGCGACCTCTCGGGGATCCGCTGCGGCATGTCATAAGTACATGGGTAGTCCAAGCGTGTTCAACTGGCTCACGTTACGACGGCCCGACGGGAGCGTATCAGAGCCTTGCAGATCTTGCAGGGAAAGCGAGAGAACGTCGTCTCCAACCGTCCTCACGCGCAGAATTTTGCGAGCGTTCAGGGTGGCGAGTAAGGAATTTGTATGCACTAGATTTCGTTATTTCATCTCCCCAGTACGTAGTGCAGAGCATGATGAACTTACAGCGTCCCATCAGGAAGAAAAACGCAACATATATGAAAGCGGTAGGTAGGACCGCAATCTGAAGGGAAGTGAGACAGATGACACGCTTTCATACAGAGGCAACTCGCCGCAACTAGTGAGCAGATTGCACATATGCTACAACCGTAGATTAGAGGATGGCGACAGAGTACTTGATAGCGTACTCACCTAGTCAAGAGTCCCGTGTTCACGGTGAATGCGATCTGCCCAAGCTGATTATCATATGGTCATGACCATGAACCAAACCACCTACCAGCTTGTTGATGAGGCCGTCGGACCTAGGTGGATGAACGTCTAGCGCTTGTCAAAAGAAATGTGACAGGAGCGCACCTTCTGTAGCCCGTGCGCGATCCATGCAGAAGTACAGACAACGTGATGGCAATAAGGAGATCTCCGGCTGCGGCGATTGCATATACAGACATCAAGAGCTCCTGCAAACGCAAGCCCGTAGAACTCCATATTCAATAGAGACAGCACCACGTCACCAACCTTGAGAGCGTTAAGCTCGTCGAACGTCCGTAACCGCAATCTATTGATGCAGATGTCAGAGAAGAGCGCGTGCGTTCGTCAAGTGACTGACGCCTTGAATGTATAGGCTGAGGACTCTGTTGTAAGCACGCACAGAGTATACAGATCGAAAAGTGTACTCGCCCACAATCGAACCTATACAAGAGTAGGAATCAGTCTATCATGCATCCATACATTACGTTAAGAGCGCACCAAATTCTCCCAGAACCAATACAGCCTGGAATAGGTGTCATATCGGTCTGCATCCATACGTTTGTAACAACAAGGAGAGAACCCACCACAAGGGCAGATATCCATGCATTGTTCTCGCTTACTGAGTGGGCATGAATGCTAGATTTCTTGAGGCAGTATCATTTGACTCACAATTCCAAATTCGTAGTGTATAGAAGCTACATCATTTTAGCATAATGATATTTTAGAATATGACATCGAACACAAACCTCTGCACTAATAATGCATTGAGTCCCTACAAACGTACCGGTTTTGCTTTAACATATTGTCTGCCTAGTCGGCTTACTTACCACCAAGGCTACTTGTACGATCAAACTCCTATGCAATAAACGTCCATATCACTCTATCCCTGTGATCACACTTGTACTCACCAGAGAACATCATTCAGGACCATCGGATTGTTGTAATTTGTGATTAGGTAAGTGTAAACTGCGTTGAGGCTACGGTTAGTATTGATCAAGGTGTGCGAAGGAAGGTTAGATACCAGCGTGCGTAATGAGGGATTGATGTAGGGATTCAGATACCCAAACAGTTAAAACCTGGTAGCACACATCATTGGACGCGCTATCCTTCGCTGAGGCGAAATCATATGAATACCAAAAGTTTCAGACGCCATGTGTCGTCTGGGTAGCGCGAGTAGTAATACAATATCTGCGTGCAAGAGACTAAGATTCTTAAGCATCTCTCCTACAGTAGCAAGACTCAGTTCGTTACCTCCGTATAGGCTGCGAATGTGCAAGACTCCGTGAGTGTGGTGTCTTTCGGAAAGGTATAGACCTCTCGGCATACGTAGCAGCTATCACGATGCCAATGAAAATGGCACCCAAGCTATAAAAATGGTCTAGTAAGCGAGGACTACAAGTGATTGAGCATCTAGCGTACGTCTCGTCCAGGAGTCCCATATGATGACGCGCAAAGGAATGAGGTGTTATTGTCAGGGTTGGGTAATGGAGCAAGGAGCAGGACTGCAACAATAAGTACTGCCGCGGACTGAAATATTAAGACAGGCCTTGGTGGATGCGCGACATGTCGCGACGGAGCATAGAAGAATCGACGAGCGCTAGGCATAACAGCAGCAAGGTGATTCCCAAGTTGACCGATAGGAAGCGAATAAATACGCTACGTAGTGGACCACTGTGTATTGAACATAGTACGGAGCGTATGAGTCGTGACCTACATAGTATAGTGTGACAGAGTGATGGGGAAAATATTTGCTACGAGTCAAAGGGCATGTTGCATCTTGTGAGATTGGAACAAGAGTTCAGATGGAGTGGGACATGCACGCCACAAGATGGCAGGAGTGCCTGCTGCCAGCTGCCAAGAGGTCGGAGATACGGTAGCTGAGTCTCATTTGAACTCATGCCCTGGAAGGTAAGCCGTTCACCCCGAAGTAGCGATTCACGTGTGTGGCAACTGCTTCTGCAAATGAGAAGCACCAAACTTGGGGGACAACGAGGCAGATGTAGGATAATTATAGTATTGTTCGAGAAGTATTGCAGAACGGAATAGCAGAGATGTTGGTGGGAATGTAACCGCGACGCGTTTGACCGAAACTGTGGAAAGCATGCAGCGCACGTGATACGCGACTGTGGGAACCAACTTCCGTAACGGCACGAGAACGAGCAAGCGGATTTTGCTGGCTCGGAGTGGTCTGCATAGATATCACTGGACATAAAATGGCGGTGCGTGTTCTGGTAGCCTGACTAGCGCATGTTCTTATCGGTCTACAGAGTCGGTGTTCTGCTGCATTGCGTACGTTCGCTCGGACACGCTGCCTGACGCGGTGAGTTCCAAACAGCATGGCGCGTCCGCGTCTGTACTAACTGGCGTAGCAGTCCCAACTCTCTGGCCAGCTCGTCAAGATGTCTTGCCACCGCGGCACCAGCAGCAGCCTCTGAGTCGGCACCTCCACCGCCATCACCTAGTGTCGCTGCCGACCCGAAGTTGAACAAGATTGTTGACGAGATTTCCGGGCTGACTCTGCTGCAAGCAGCAGACCTGGTGACACTGCTCAAGGTGCGCATACCGCTCATGTGGACAAACTGATGTATTGACCTCCCATGTCTATTGTAGTCGCGGTTGAACATCCAGGAGATTGCAATGCCGGCAGCGGCTCCTGCACCAGCCGCGGGAGCGTCAGCGGGCGGTGAGGCTGAAGAGGCTCAGGTACGTGCCACGCAGGACAGTATGCAGTAATGCGCTCAAATACCTGCAATCCCATAGGAAAAGCCGAAGGAGAAGACCATCTTCAACGTCAAATTGGAGTCATTCGACGCTACGGCAAAGCCCAAAATCATCCGCGAGGTCAAGGCTATGGTTCCCAACTTGACGCTCATTGAGGTGAGCAATAGTCCGTTTCTATCTCTTGTGACATGCAGCCGACGTGGAATACAGGCGAAGAAGTTCGTGGAGTCACTACCACAGATTCTCAAGGAGAATCTGTCGAAGGAGGATGCGGAGAAACTGCAGAAGACCTTCACTGACCTTGGTGCTGTCGTGAATCTCGAGTGACCATAGACGTCTTATTGTCGCGTTAATGATTTTGCTATTGCTGGATCTGAGTTGACTATCGCTATGGATAAGCTGCGTTGTCCATCAAAACGGCAACGTAAAATACAGGTGCCTTAGCACATGCGTCAAGGAAAGTACTACGAAAGAGGAAAGGAAAAAATGAACAATCAGGTGCGCGATGCAAGTGGGAGGTTAGGACGATCCTAATCCTCGGAGAGATATCGGTACTCGAAGCGGAAGTCGCTCTTCTTACGTTGACACCATGAACCCTCCCAGTCGAAGTAGACGTAGACGCCCTGTTCGTACTCCTCTGTGATTGCTTGTGGCTCTGAATGGCGTTGGAACCACGTCAGGTATTTGACGTGGAATCTCCATGATTGTCGCTTCAGCTCCTTTGCTGCGAGGTATCTGTGGCGTTGTCAGTCGGAAATTGTGCCACGAAGATGCAATCGAGACATACTGTTGGTATGTGCCCGGGCAATAGTAGAACACATAGAACAATGTCTCGACATCCAGCTGCGAGAAGATGCCCGCAGTGTTGAGGACAGGGTTTGGTGTCTGCGGGTAATACGACGGCGTCTGGATCGGATTCCGTGGCACGTAGTACTTCGGTCTGTGCAAGTGGTCAAGAATATTTTTCACGCCACGAAGATTAAGACGTACTTCTCGGTATCCTGTGGCTGCGGCATGTTTGAGTAACTTCCCTGAAGCAACTTGTGCACCTGGTCAAGATTTGACATGCGGTGTGGCGCTGTAGCAAAGGCGGTATCAGTCTCTTACTGATAATTGGCACGGCCTTTGTCACACTTCGGAGATAATACAGACCTTTCTGCTTTACGTTCTCGAACGAGACAACTAGATCTGACAACGAACCGGGGAATGCGGTGGGTCGCGACTGTTGCTGCAGTTGAGGAGGCACTTGTGATGGCGCGGTCGACGTCGGCCGCTGCGCACTTGTTGATGGCCCCTGTGGCGCCACTCCAGATGGAACAGACTGGTCTGGTGCGGGTGTCGCTGTCGCAACCTTGACCCCGGGCGGATACTGGGGTTGCTGCTGTTGCGATGGTGCGGGCATGGGCGACGATGTCGCTGATTGAGGATTCGCTAGACTCGCGGAGATGCTAGAAAAGGCCTGCGCTTGCTGTGGAGGAGGTGAAGGCTCCAGCGGCTGTCGCTGACTCTGCAAGGCACTATTTTCAATCAGGTGCGGTGGTTGTGGCAGTTGTAGCGGCTCTGCTGGTGGTGGCTGCTGGGTGTAAATCAGATACTTGGAACAGGACATAATAGTACTTTGGTACCCACAGCTGCACTAAATGCCTGCAATGCAGTTGGGGACGGTGTCGACGCTGAGGAGAGGATGTTATAAGACATGGATGGGAAGCGGCGACCTACTGTACTGACCTTTCCGTGCTGCAATCCGCTGAGGCGAAGATGTTGCTGCCGGTCCACTGATGGAGCTGGGTACTGCCTCCGACATTGCTGGAGAATCCCGGACAGAGTAGCCATCCGCCTGTTGTGCGGACACCGATGCCGATGAGAGCATTGGACTTGTCACCGATGGATGCGTCAGACTGGGCGATGATGTGACTGCGGATCGCTGATCTGCAGCAAGTGTAGATGAGGCATTGGCTGACCCTATTGATAGTGCAGTGGGTGCAGATGGCTGACTAGATGATGCTACTGAAGGCGTTGGTGGCGGTTGCGTACTCGTTGATTGTGTCGCTGAAGGGGTAACTGCGGCGGCTGCCGCTGCCGCATAACGTACTGGTAGAGCTGTCGGACGTGGTTGTGTCGGAAGTCCTGCCTTCAGTATACTGGACATGGGCTGTTGCACGAAGTTAGGATTTGGTGGGGGCTTAGGTGCTATTCAGTGGAGGTCAGTCGCAAGTTTTACAAATCATACATGTCCACCTACTCTCCGCAGCGATTGATGTTTCTGAACACCGTTAGCAAGACTGCAAGCAGCTCACAAGAAGAAACCTACTTCGAAGGGGCAACGCGGCTGGGGGCTTCTTTAAAACGGGGCTACCATCCCGTTTGTGATTATTCGCAGTACTCTCCTCATCGTGTTTCTTCGACGGCGTTCGAGGAGGAATGTCTTCTTATAGCCATAGAGGATCAAATGAGGGAAACGAGGGAAGCACCTGAAGCTGATCGCACCTTCACTAGCGTCTTCCGACTCATCACTATCGTCATCATTCGCCAGACCAAACTTCTCCTCCTCCTCATCGAGATTAAGCTCATCGTAAATACCTTCGTCTTCGTCAAAGTCTTCATCCTGCATACTAGAGTGAAGAGATGATACTGAGGAAGACAGGCGGAAACGTACTGTGTTGTTCTCCACAAAATAGGACACATCTTCCCGCAGCCCTTGCACCTTTTCCGTTGGTAGAGTGCCGTTGTCCAGTAATCGCAGGATAATCTCCAAGCGGCTAATATGCCACTTCCGCCGCTCATTCAAATGCTCCAGCTCTTCCAAACGCCCCGCGGCCGCTGCACCCGACTTCTTCCTCTTCCCACTCCCCTGCAATGTCTCAATCTCCGCTTCTGCCTGTTCCACCTGAAGCAGGAGTTCTTCAACTTGCGTTTGGACCCATTGCGTGACTTCGAGCTTCTCTTGAGCCTTCGCGTCGAGTTTGATAGACTGTGTCAGACCCTCCTTGGAGAAGGCCTTGGTCTTCATTTCCTTCTCGCAAGCCTTGAACTTCTCCATTTGCTGGACATTGTGTAGAGCAAGAGGGACGTTCGACCGATGCATGAAACGGAGCATGATGAGTATGGCCATACAATATACAGCCTTACCCTCACGTGCGCGACCATGCAAGGAGGCGGAGAGCCAACTACATGATGATCACGTATACGCAACAAGACTCACCGTCTCGATAAGTCTGCGGTTGTCTAGGAGCGCGGTCTTGTCCTTGATGTCATTGCTTGCGACCCAGGTTTTGATTTGGTCCCGAAGACGTTGCAGTTTCTTGATTTGTGTCTTCAAATCCACCTCTAGCTTCTCCTTTTGCGTCTGATTCGTCGACGCCTGCATCTTGTCGTATATACTCTCGAAGAGTTCGACGCCCTCCGCGACCTTCTTAAGCGTCCGGTCGATTTCGGCTGTGCATGAATACTCTGCATTGAGCATATAAAAGGTATTCGGCTGTGTGTTCAACTTACTTTGCAGCTTTCTGGCCGCCATGTTGAGCAGCGAATGAAAGGGTACTAGCAAGAACTGGACTCGCGAAGTAACCGGAATGAAACAGTGTAACTTCTCGGTGTCACGCGTGACCAAGCCACGTGATTAACCACAACATGCGCAGATCGAAAGCTGCTGGGATACTGATTCAAAACACTAGAGACACGGCTGAGTGATGATATGGACAAAATGCATGACTAGTTGACTCTGAGCTATTTGGACTTTGGCCTCGATAATTTTATTGAAGGGTTGCGAGATCTACTGATAGTTATATATGGCATGAAGTATTCTGGCGAACGCCTCCCACAGCATGCGCCTAACGAGACTTACAAAGGTTATTGTACTTCTGCGGGTATCTATACGAACCTGTGCGCTATGATCGCTATGATACAAGCTGTTACAATCCCGTCGGCACATATGCGTCATACGCGGAGGGACACATTTGACTGGACCCGCGATGCGTAGCGTAGCCGGGTCCTGCTCCTTCGGTGGACCCAAGTATGAACCAGCGAGAAAATGCATCATGAATCAAGGAAACGATCACTCGATGCCCATCCTCACGTATCCTCAGCGATGGGTGCATGTGCCCTGTTGACTCCAAGCGCCATTGCCGTCGAGAAGCAAGCAACCCTGGTGTTCGCGATTGCGCAGGTATACGAGGCCCATGCAATGACAGATGGTATCGGGCTATACCATCGCTGAATCCCATTTACCGTAAGGCGGCTGCCATCGGTGAGGCTCCATTTCTGCGGGAAACAGCTCTGTCGGCGGACCGAGCTGCCGTGACGAACATTTGTCCACCCATGCAGGAATGTATTGGGAGGCATGCTGGACGCGATCCTGGATGGATGTACGTGACAGAGTCATTCCCTGAAGGTACCGCGAATCTGAGTCCGCTGGCATCGGCATTATATTCACAGGAGTGATGAGTGCCGGTGAATCCGCCCACAAGCTGGGTGAACAATTTCCGCGACAGCTTGGGAAGGAGCACGTAGATCGCCGTATGGGGATGACTAAGTTGACGGGCGATGGTGATTCTACACCTGTGAAGGGAATGACATGGCGCTGTGACATCCCGGTGTCGCGCAGGGAAGTGCGAGAAGACCCTGCACCCGACCGTTTGTAGCGACTACTGGGCTCTTCGATGCAGTATTGTCGTAAGCTAAGAAAATGTCGGAGTATCGCCTCTTCGGTGATGCACAGATCGAACTTGATGACGTCTAACAACTCCCGTTCGAGTCGATTGATGTCTTGCAGGTCAAAGAAGACGCTTGCGGATGTCGCCTAATGTTTGTTGCGGAGGATTGGGTCACAGATAGCCTGCGACAGACTTCGATGAGATGACAGCACAGTGATCAGACAATATGGCATCATACCTTGTGCGCGAGGATGAGAGATGCAATGAAGAGCTCCTCGCATTCCCAGTCCCGCCTCATATCGCCGATGTTCTGGCATACTTTGTCGATGATGGTTAAAGCGACTAGAATATTTGCAGTGTCAATTCTCGTCTTGACGACGACGAGCTTGACAAAGTTGATAAACAGAGCATTCTTCAGGCGTCGAGTGGGATTCAAGGTTGTATAACGGACTGCCTCTACAACGTGGTCTACAAGGTAGTCTGTAGGCAGACATCCTCATAGTTAAGGAGACACTTCATTGCAACGATGCAGTATTATGGCTGCTTACCGATGAGATCCCAATTGACAGGAATAGCGAGCAGTTCAGATAGAAATGGACTCCTTGATGCAAACGTGACTTGACTCGAAGGGTCGATAGAGGATGGGACGCAGGAGAACATTATGCTGCTTGTTGCTGTGCCTCACGAACGGGAGAGGACTGGAGACGACCCGCAGAAGTAGTGTTGCCGCCACATGCAAGGTCCTCTTTATACATTGATAGATCGAGAACGTGGTACAGCCATGGTGGCGGGGACGCCACAACTTGTCGCCAGACCACATGGTAATAGCGACGCGGGCGATGAAAAGCTGACGCGTCTAGAAAGAATTGGCTGTGCAAACAAAGCAAGGCTTGTTGCAAGCAGTCGCAACGGTTCTGTTATTGTGATTCACCTTGTTATCGGTAGTGAGCGCTATGACCGTTCGTTGCCGAAGATAGCAGTCGCTCGCCCACGCTTGTGTACCACTTCTTGTACAAGGCTGCGAACAGCGTGGGAAGAGCAGTGGCTGCCGAAACTCGCCAGATCACACAACGCAAGAGACCGCAGGACGCATTGCGACAGCTGCATATGGTAGATTGACAATGCGTAGCACTCACATCGCTTCGACGGGGGTAGTAATCGTGACTTTATCTGAATCTCAGGCAGTGCAATATGGCATGGCTTGGCATGTTTTATGTGGTGAATATACATATGCTGCATGCAATAGGAGAGTAGAAAGCAACGACAGGGCGAACGAATCAATCTGAGCCGCTAGTTGACCGGGCTGTATGCATAGTCAGACTCAAATTCATGCCGTGGAGAGACTTTACGCACTGTAGATCAACTGGCCACTGTGGTGCACAATCCGCTTGATCTGTCCCTCCTTCTCCAGATGACTGATTGCTACCCGAGCCAAGCTCCCATTGACCTTCAATCGCTCGATGAGGATACTCTGGCTAATGAATCGGAAGGTCGGAACCTCCTTCATGATGCGGTCGTAAGTGGGCTTGTCGAGGATGACGGCGTGCTGCGCCTTGTCCTTGACCTTTCCCTTGGACCACTTCTTCTTCTTCGCGGCCTTACCGCCGCTTGACGACGTAGGAGCTGCCTTAGCCTTGGCCTACAAACAGAAGAATGTCAGCACCAATCCATGACATCCGGATGATCTTCAGCGCATCCAGTGTTTTCTACAGCGAAATCTGGCACTCAGGACGCGCACATAGCGGCCTTACGGCAGATACAGTGCATCAAATAGCGTAAAAGGGACTCACCATTGTTTTGACGGCCTTTAGTGGGTGCTGTGGAAGTCTATTGACGAACGACCACTAGGCGATATGCCAGCACGGATGATGCCGAGCGGAGTATCAACCCAACGAGCGTCTACCGATTGCGCGCCACTTTTGAACCATCTCGAACTCTGGCTCGGATCTTCCTTGCAGGCTCGCTTTGAAAGATTATTTCGCTATGGGCCTATTGGAGAGTATATATATGTAGGCTCCAGATCACCCGATATATTACTTCGAGTTCAAGTCCTCGGCGGCGAGTTGCTTTACATAGAATCCGTCTGCGCGATTGTGGCGTATCGAGGGGCAGATTCACGACATAGGGACTGCAGAGCTTTAGATCTGACTTACCTTCCTATGCTTGATTGCGTTCACATTGATGATATCTTCTCTCTCGAATATCTGATTCTCATTAATAGTGTAGAGTTCCACGCGGCTTGATGAAGACCGGACGAGCGACTTCAAGCAATCCCTCAAGATACGGTTAACACCCACACTCAGGCATTGCATAAATAATCTCGGTGGATCTACCACCATACTGTGCATACAGCCATCCGCATTCCGTTATGTCCATCATGGAGCTAGTGACAGATTGCGTCGCCTCGCATCCAGTAGAATAAACCCCCCAGGATTTCTCGCAACCTGCGGCGACCGACATGCGGAGAGCACCCGAGGCCGTTTGACGTTGTGGCCTGCCGGCTTTTCGCCTCCGTTGGCTCATACCAAGCCCACCTCCGTTCGTCTGGAATCCTTTCGTCTGGAATCCTTTCGTCTGGAATCCTTGACAACGCTGGTTGCCACGAAAAATTGCCCAGTTGATGATTGTTAACTTGGGTGACTAGACGCTCCAGACGAGGCGGCGAACATGACACCGTTGGCTTTCCTGTATCCGAGTCGTTCCGGATGGATCCAAGGTTGCTGGAGGGGCACGGGGATTGACCGGGCGCCTGGCCAGGTTCGTACCACAACGCCTCATTTAAGAAGCGAACACTCTTCTTCCCGGTTCCATTCCTGCGAGACCTGCCGGTGTGCAAGGCGACGAGGTGAGTACCACCATAAGAAACCAGGAAGGATAAGTCGTTACCTGGAAGAATGACTCATGCTAGACTGAGCTCACTGGCGCAGGCTGGCTGGTCGACAAGCCGTCGGGTGTGTGGGTGCGGCAAGTGTATCAGTTCTTCGTGACTTTATAGCTGTAGACGCCACGGTGGCGGTGGCGCTTTGCCACCCACAATAGCCGCATAGCCTGATTACCCGGGTGCGCAGCGCTTTGACACAAAAGACAAGTACAAGGGACCTTGATATTTTTGGTCGACGAGCCACCAGCTCCTATGCCATCTGTAGTGTGAGAATCTACTGATGTGGACATGTTGGACAAGACCACGTTACTCACCGAGCCACTGGACAAGCACCTTGTGGCCAGTAGGCATGTGATTTGACCGCATGACAAATGAGACGAGGTATGCCATCACAGCGCTTTGTGGAAAGGTCAGAACCTGCGAACGTAGAGACCTGCCTAATGTGGCAACGCTCTGATGGTGGTGATCGAATGCACGTCAGACCCTGCGACGCGCTTGGCACTGTCCTCCACGTTGACCTCCGCTGCCTGCTCATGGTTCTCTGGTTACTATTCGCGCTTCCAGCTCCCACATTCGCTGGTGTCGAGAAAATCCATGGCGTTGCCCCGTCACTGCTCTCGCGCTACGTCGCGCCCGCATCCGATTCAGCACCTTGGTCATGTCTAGACGGTTCGAAGACCATCACATGGGCTGCTGTGAATGACGACTACTGCGACTGCCCCGATGGGAGCGATGAGCCTGGTTCGTTACGAACATACGTTGCTATACGAGGTTTGTCGCTTACGTCCATTCCGTAGGCACTGGTGCATGTCCAAACTCTATGTTCTATTGCAAGAATGAAGGCCACATTGGCAGTCTGATACCTAGCACACGCGTCAATGATGGACTCTGCGGTATGTAAAACGAATGCGCCCACATTGCTACCAATACTAAGCGTCCTCTCAAGAGCCCGAATGCTGCGATGGCTCGGACGAGCGTCTTGGCGTGTGCCCTAATGTCTGCCACGAGGTCGGCGCTGTATACCGAGAGCAACAAACAGCAGAACGCAAGATGCGTAGCACAGTATGTCTTATAACTCCTTCCAGATATCCCCAGACAGCCATAATTACGCGGTACTTGCAGGGCTCGAAGATTCGCCGTCTGTACATCGCTTCCGCTCAGAAAGAGAAGCAGAAGCTAGAGAGCCAAATTACCGCCGCTGAGGCAGAGATAGCTGATTTGGAAAATGATGTCGCTCGCATGAAAGGTAGAGAGGCGTGTTGGGTATAGAAGCCGTTTCCTTACACCGTTCACAGACCTTATCGACCGGACGGAGTCCCTTTCTGCAGCTGCGCTAGAGCACAAGAAACAATCTCGTTAGCTTTTGATTGTGTGCCTTTGTCGCTCAGAAGTTGACTTGTATATTCGTTGCAGCGCTGTATGTTTCCTTCATGGAACACACCGAAGCGCTGAAATCGCTTCAGCGAGAATACAAGAAGCGCCTCGCCCGTGAGAAGGCTCTGGGAGACATCTTGGATGCACTTCGACGCGGATACAATCCTAACTACCAAGACATGGCTGTCCTAGAGGCTGTCCGTGGTTGGGAGGCGTTGGCAAGACTACCGCACATTAACGACGTTGCCAAAGATGACGGTGAGGGTGAACAGCAAGTAATTACTGGAGATGAAGAATACGAAGAGGAGGAGTGGACGGCAGAAGAGCTAGAAAAGGAGCTTGACAGTCTGCTCAACAGTGATTACGAGGCACTACTACTGGAGCATGAGAAGCATATCGGTGCCCCGACCCCTTCGAGCTCGCTATGTAAGTCCAATCCGGCCACGCCGACCGTCGAGTGGCTGACTGATAGAAGTGCTTGATCTGACTGCTTATATTCCGGATTCTCTCCTTCCTCACTACCAAGCATTCACGGATACTCTCATGGCTTGGCTCGAAGCGCTCGGCATAGCCCAAGGACCGGCTTCCGCGGACTCGCCAGGTAGTTCACTCCAAGCAGGACATACACGGTGGGACTTACCAGGAATTGCCACAGATACATCGAAAGCCCGCCAGGCATACACTAATGCCGAAAACAGTCTGAATGCAAAGAAACAAGAGCTGCAGAGGACGCAAGAGGAGCTTACACGCATGTTCGACCCCGAGTGGTTCGGATCCGAAGGGGAATGGAAGAGATTGCAAGGCGTGTGTTTGTCGAAGGACACGGGAGAGTAGGTCCACAGACCTTCCCGCTCTGCAATGCATCTACTTACAGATTTCTGCGTTGCAGCTACACTTACGAAGTCTGCTTATTTGATGAGGCGAGACAGAAGCCGAATAAGGGCGGTTCTATTCAAAGCCTGGGGTGAGTACTCACCCAAAGTCGCTCATTTCGATGTCTTACGCGCGATTGTAGGAAATTTGCCTCGTGGAATGCGGGAGGTGGGGCTGCTGTTGGCTCGCCGGAGTATTATAGCAAACAGCATTATACCCGCGGAACGAAGTGCTGGAACGGGCCCATGCGGAGCGTCACGGTATGTGCTCACATTCTCCGTCGGATGATTACTCATGAACGTTGACATACCTTGGCCTAGGTCATACTGACTTGTGGCCTGGAAAACGAGCTGCTATCCATTGCAGAGCCGGAAAAGTGTGAGTATCAGTTCAAGGGAACCACTCCGGCCCTCTGCTTGCCGCCGGATGCACAGGAGGATAAGCACGATGAGTTGTAGTTCCTGCCCTGATGTCCTACTACTGTAACAGCTTCTGTTATAATAATGCCTTGCAGACTGGTGCAAATTCACCTGAGAATAAAACAAACTATCAAGATCTTGAACCTACACATGATTGATGGACTTTGATTAATAATCAGTCAGTCAGTCAGTCAAGAGTCCTTATTGACTCTTCAGCTGTCTCTCAATCTGAGGGCCAGTGATGTAATGTCATGTGATTGCTTTGTAAGTTGCATCATGTGCCTTTGGCTCAACAAGGGCAAACAACATGTGCAGAAATGGCCATTTTTATGAACCAGACTTCATCTCTAACCACATCAGCAACATTGTCACAACCAAGTTTAATTTGGATTCCAGTGGGCTTGTTTGTTCTGACACTTATGGTCTACTTTCAACCATTATTCCAACAGACTACAAGGGTCACCAACACCATTGCACAGTGGTATGTTCATCATGTTTGCTATGTCATTCTGGAAACATTTGCCATTAAGTGTTCAATGCTGTGTTTATGGGAGTGGAACAACAAAAATGCAGCCACATCCTAGTTTGCTGTTGGCTCTCCAGTGGCAGTGGAAAACAATGTCCACTTGCACCACCTGCATAAACAACTCATTCATGATCACATCCCAGTACACAGTAAATCCTTTCAGTAGTGAGATTGAATTTGTCATGTATAAATCTGCATAACCACTTGTGGATGGACAGTAATCTCCCTATCCTTTGCAAGGTATTGTCACCAATTGCTTTGATGGTATCTTCACAAATACATGTCCGATTGCCAGCAATTATGGGAGTTGCACCTGCATTGGATATCCATGACTAACTTGGTATTTGACATAGGAAGTGCAACCTACACAACAATCATATTGTTCCTGCCACAATTGTTCTGTTCAGTCCCTAATCTGACAATCCCACCAGCCCTGAGGGTGAAGGGCATCAATACTTGGCAAGAACTCAGGCAGGTAAGGATACCTTTTGGAATCATACTCACTAGTATATAACCATTACACAGGGGATGTTGGATGTTGGGATGATTGGCTCCCACAAGAACCAAATAAGCAAGGTTGGGAACCAGTCCCATCTAGCCATGACTCCAGAAGTGATGGCACCACTGCCCGGAGACCATACATTCATTGACCTCGATGCCGATGATAATCCCTCTTGGACGGTGCTCCCTGCTACAAAACATGCTCCTGGACCTACAGACGTGAAGGGAGCCAGTGTTCATACTCCCGACTATAGAGTATCCGAGATCCTGATGCAAAGTCCCATCCACCACGTACAACAAAGTCCTAAGCCACATGCTCAAGATGGCCGGGAACTATCAAGATCCTCTTCACAGGCTTCGTCGTATCAATCTCTACTGGAGTTGTGTGCTAGCTCAGGCTCACAAACGTCGCGTACCAGTGTGGATCGCGGAACACCGAACGCCGGCTTCGCGAAGCCCAAGCGCAGAAAGGACGTCTTTGTCGGTGTGGTCATCACGGCCTCTGTAAAGAATAGTACCGCATCCGCGTCGAAAGATGGCAATGGCACTCCTCCGGCTCCCACGAATGCCTCCGAGCGTCTTCAGGGACGACACGCCTTACGCCCGCCCGTCCATGTCACCGTACATTCCGGCGACGAATTTCCGCAAAGGCTGTCTCGGAAACATGCTGTAGATGTAGTCGCTCGGCCAACTCGTCATCAAACGCTGACGACATCTCGGGCAACCCGGACGCACGAGGCTTCGTACCGCGTCGACGCGATCGCTAAGTACTGGCAGAGAGTTGATGATCTTCTTGAGACGGACATAGCGCCTGCCGCCTTTGACAAACGTGCTGTGCATGCATACACAGCCGAGGGAGAGCTGCGCTGCGGGCGGGCTTTGCGGTTCATTCCGCCGGAGATTAGGTCTGCTGCGAAGGCGGGGAAGACGAAGGAATGGGAGGCGTATACCATGCCTCGATGGTCGCAGACTGCCGAGTTCAAGGAGAGACTGGACGCAAATCTGGGGCCTGGCGACCTCAACCGGGGCTTATGGAAACGCCCGAGACCTGTAAGTGTTGCCATGTCATGAGAACCACTCACCGCCACCTGGACCATAACGGGACTGACTACGCCTTCTAGTTGGCGAGAGAGTCGCGTAAGACGGAAGAGGATAACCCCGGAGCAGAAGCGTCCGACGGGGAATCCTCCGTCACGGCCACCGAACATCCATCCAAGAGGCTGAGAAGCGCTGACAACTCAATTCCCGAGTATCCGGCAGATGTCTCGGAAAACAGCGGAGGAGTGGAAGAGATCTGGCCAAACAGACGGACCAACATGCAAGGCAAGCCCGTTTCCCAGACATAGCAGAATCTTGTGGGGCGCACGTTTGCGAAGGCAATCATATCCGTCACACGCGGTACGTTGCTTGGGCTCCCGGCGACAGAAAAGGCTGATCATAAAAATGCAGGGAACTCGGTCAGGAGTTCAGGGCGCTGTGGCCATGATCGTCAGTTCCCAACCTGAGTCTTCTTGGGCAGCGGCGTCATATATAGCCCAACGTTCCGATACCATGGAGCAATACAGCCCCAGTAGAATAGCATCGATGTGTGTCCATAATGGAAGAAAGTGATCGCGGATGCCGACATACTGCGGACTCGTCGGGGACGAGTTGGATGTGGACCAGCAGCTGTGGCAGCAGTGCGGACCGCATCTCGATCACAGCCGCAGAACAGGAGCTGTATCCGCTGTGACGGAGTTTAGCGTGACTGTGACGAGAATGTGACATGACAAACCCGGTGGCACTTGCTTTTTGCTGGCCGTGCATCCTTCTCGCAACCATACATCTCACAGACCGCCCCCATCATTGCACCTGCCATTGTCTTCGCTTAATTGCACAGCCCGCACGCCTACTGCATTGTTGACTACATCATGCTTGCCTTGGCACATCCAATGCCTCATACCACGACCGTCACAGCCGTAGATCACCCTCACCGACCCCAATCTTCGACGTCCAGCAGCTCTTCACGTTCGGCACGTCCGCCTCAGCGGAAGCTGCACTCGTCTATCATCATTCCTACCCCGTCGTCGTCGTCGGCTTCGTCCTCCTACATCAACGTGACCGCATCGTCTGCCAACAGGTCTGCGCCCCTCGAGGCAGCGTCCGCACACCGCGCCCTGCACAATCACGCGCCGCTCAATCAACCTGTACCACAGGAAGCCTCACAGCGAATTTTGGGCTCCGAAGATGCGCATACACCTCCAGCATCTGACTCCGAGGACAACGACCAGCCCCACTTGTCGGGCAATGATGTCCATAGTTATGAGCCGGAGACCCTTCTGCGGATGCTGGCCAACGCTCTGAAACGAATCGCGGAGTTGAATGCGGGGACACCTGCCGAGTCATATATGCCGTCGTCAAGTCAGTTTCAACATCCGGATGCTCACCGAGGACACCACCCTCCCATATGGCGCACATTGACGAGCGCATCCCGTCATTCGCTTTCGACTACCTCCGCTCTTGCGTTTCACGCACGCAACGTGCCTACGATCGTCCTCGAGGGTTACCTCAGCCGCATACACAAGTACTGCCCCGCGAGTAACGAGGTATTCGTCTCGTTGCTTGTGTATTTGGATCGCATGTCGAAGATGGCGAGGGAGGCGTGTGGGAAGACTTTTCCGATCGACATGTATAACATCCACCGCCTAATCATAGCGGGGGTCACGGTCGCAAGCAAGTTCTTCAGCGATGTGTTTTATACCAATTCTCGGTACGCCAAGGTGAGCAATCGGTCTCCATTGTTCGCCATATTGGGGCAGCAGGATAACCGATCTATCGTGTTATCAGGTTGGAGGCTTGCCGCTGGCCGAACTTAATCAGTTAGAGCTGCACTTCCTTCTCCTGAACGACTTCCGATTAACCATATCCTGCGAGGAGATGGACTACTACACGAAGATGGTCGATCTCCAATCCCAGATACCGGACGATGTAGACCTTTCTCCGTATCTCCCGTCCTCATCGAGGAGCACAGGGCCGCACTCAGCTATAGGGCCATCAGAGTACTTCGCCGCCGTCGACTCCTACTTTGGCCGGATTTATGCGCCACCAGTTTTCCGCTCCTCCTCCGTCGACGACTCCGATGACGCTTCCTTATATTCCTCGTCCCATTCGCGAAGGTCACAATCTATCGCGTCCAGGTCGGATGTCGCGAGTGAAGCCGGGACGGAGACCGACTTCGACTGCTCCACCGACGACGAGCCGACGATCCGGCCGCCGCATTCTTCAGCGTCTTCGGAGACAATGAGTCTTTGCAGCGCGGCTAGTGAGGACTCAATGATGACCGACGACGGGGACATGAGTAGAGAAGAGTACGAGGACAGGCCCGCGGGAGGCACGCCCGGGCGGGAGTTCATGATCATGAGGACTCCGAGTTGAGATGGATACCAAGATTCTCGCTTCTTTTCTTTTTAGACGCAAGATAGAGTGGATGCATATACATGTACATTGGCAGATTTTTGGACTTGTATTACTTCAGTGGTCATGCCCCTTGCTGCAACATTGGCGTCGCAAGCATCGCCCATATTTATCCAGTCGTATACAATAGGCTCCGTTTATTCATTTTTGTCTGTATGCAATAGTTGATGCAATAAAGCCCATATCACCGCACTTCGCGACTTAACATTTTGCGACATTTGGCTGGGGTCGGTGATCTAGACGTATGCGCTCCAAGTTGATCTCAGTGCCGAAACAGTTTGCGGGACCCACAGGGTTACACACTATAATCTCAACCGTGGCGTAACGCATAGAAATGTCGTGGCACCCACAAGCAGTGTCGTCAGGACTGCGAGCAAGGCAACGAACTGCTGTGAAGCGAGTCTTGGCCTAGAACTAATCACAGTTGTGCGTTCATAGTAGTTTTTTTCTGCGGTCTGGATGCGTTTACGCGTCCTACTCATCTGGACGTGACAGAACGGCTGCGTTACCCCGTCGCATTCACCTTTGCAAGATCTTTCGGCGACTTCCGTCCGTCCATGCGTGGGTCACGATGTTCTTGACAATCTCGACACATGTTCTAGAGCCGTCCCCGGGCTTCATTGCACATGGGTAACAAGACTGGTCTGTCGTCCTTGAGACTAGTGAACTGCAGCTGTGCAGGCCCCGATATTCAGGAAGCGACAGCTGAGAGGAGTGAAAGATATTCCAAGAAGTAGGCTGCAACAGTACACGGGCATTACATTCCGTCCGTGTCATCTTCAATCATCACTTTAAATCTCCATCCAGATAGGTCATCGTCTGGCTCTTCCAGCGCCCATGCAATGTCGGGATCATCTTCGTTTATGCGCTGGAGTGCTTCCGCGGGGAGGACTGGGTCCTCCGCCAGCCCCAAGATGTCGACTTCCTCCTCCTCTGCCTTCATTTTGCGCAGCGCAAGTTCGCTCTCATCCTCCTGTGACTACCTGTGAGGGCGCATGAAATGTACGATAATGAGACCACGCACGATGTCAAACTCATCCTCTCGTTCTTCGTATTCCACGTTCTCATCGACCTCTTCAAAGCCGCCCGCAAAGGCACCCCACCGTTCTTCCCTTGGACAGTGCCAGATGAGAACATTTCCTTGATTGGTCGTTGACACGATGGCAGGTTTGTTGGGATGCCACTGCACCGCAGTTAGCCAACGGACGTGTATAGACAACGAGGACCGTACGTGAACATGCAGCAGTGGTTCACGCCCACCATCCAAAGCCGCAGCGAATTGACCTTCGTTGGCAATGTCCCATATGTATATCTTGTGTGCAGCATTGTCAGCCGCGCCTAGAGCTCACGTCATTGGTACTCGGCATGATGCTGTACAGTCGCAAGATTACCTCCTGCGAGATATTCCCCATCCGGGCTGTATGACATCGCGAGCCACGCGGTCTTGCTGATGGGGTCGTTGAAGCGATATGTAGGCTCAAGCTCTTGCTCGAGGCATTCTGCATCTGTGGTTGGAGTCGTGTACACTGGCAGATTAAATTGTCTTAAAATGCGATCAGACGAGTTTGTGACGAGTCGACTATAGCAATGGCTCAGCATGCAGAACGTACTAGGAGATTGGGCTTACCGTCCAGCTTTTGCGAACTCGAGACCCTTGATAATACCTGCGCCTGCAATCTTATGCCGCGCTATCATCTATCGAGCTAGAGACATCAGTACACTGTATTTAGACGGACAACTGAGAAGACTGACCGCTTTTGTGCGCGTGTTGAATACAAGCACGTATCCAGACGACATCCCTAGGAAGATATAACGGCCTGTGGGGTCAAAGCGTGCAACCGTGACTCCAGAGCTTGAACAGCACTGTGAGAAGTTGAAAAATGTGGGTAGTGTATACGCACCTGGTACGGTTCATTTGAGATTCATCATCACTATCCCCTTGTACCTCACAGAGCTCGAAGCGGCCCCTGTACTCTTTACGACGGTCCACGAGGTATGCTTCACCAGTTCCCAGTAAGACCAAAATAATCTTGCTATGAGTGAATACGTTAGGGGGGAAATATTTTGCTCAAGAAGGTACCGCAGACCAGTTTTTTGGATGGAACGAGGCAGACACGATGGGCGCGTCGAAGCGAATGATAGCTTCACGGCGCGTTGGGTCCGTCTCTGATGCGAGGTCCCAAACAGATATATTCCAGTCTTTCGACGACGTCAGCACATATCTTGAATTCCTTGACCAGCTGAAGGTACAAATTCACATTGAGTACTCACACTATGGCACGGTACTGGTGTCCACGCACTCTACGCTGGTGATCGCTTTGACGTGACCGTCCAGCCACCGCACTGGAGCCCTGGTGTCGAGGTCCCATATGATGGCTATCCCGTCGGGCCTTCCCGCTGCGACGAACCTTCCGGAGTAGTCGAATTTTGCGAAAGACGCTCCAGAGTTCAGGGATGTCTGCACGGCGGTTGGATAGGTGATGGTGAATGGGTCTGAGGCTGTGGTAAGTTTCCCCGAGAGCGACTGAACACAGACGAGGTGCACTTAGCGAGAGAGTATTGTTCATGTCGGGTGGTGGGCACGGAATGAATGACTGAAGGCTGCAACCATATAGCGGATGGGAGTGGCGGAGTGATCGAGCTCGACGCGATCGACACAGCGCGTGCCACTCGCCGTGCACCTTCACCTGGAGTGGCCACCGATGTCTACGTACAACACACTGTCCAATGGACAACCGCGACAGTTCCCCTCTGCAAACCACTCTCGCAAAACTTCGTATTCCGGCTGAATTTGCACGCTATTCGGCAATCGCAGAGACAGAGCCCGAGACAATCCTCCGACTCGAGCGGTGGAAAACTCAAGTATTGGACGTACTCTCGGACTTGCAAGCTCAGCTCGCACAAGGGCAGTCCCTATTGCTGAGCGAGAAAGCAGAAGTAGTATCTACCATAGCCCCATGGGACGGCGTTGCTTCATGGACGCTTGACAGTACGCGGGAGATTGTTCAAAGTATGTATCCCTTTATTGCCAAATCTCTGACTGTTCACAAACCCACCAGGCATTCTGCATCTCTACGAGGATTCTGATCCACCTCTACTGGAACAGATACTTAGCACTCATGTTAAGCCTATCTTCCAAGCCAACGCGCATCCCTCCTTAAATCCATCTACTGGTCGGATACTGCCCCGCTCTGCAGGCGGCCCCAGTGCCCGGTTAGACTACATGGAAGGGCAGACCTGGAAGTCGCACCCAGGAACAGTCTATCTAGTGACATGGTGCGTCCGACATTGCACGGTGAGCCCGTCCCATGGCCTGCCGAAGCGTTCTGATGTCCGAGTAAGAGCGCTGCATACGAAAAACTATGGCATCTGATCATCCCACCTGTAATGACCCTCCTGGATGACTACGAGGCCGCATATAAGCTGCACGGTGTACAAATTGTCTCGGATATGCTCCGGGCAGTTCCCGCCGATCTCCTGCGCCGCACCGGGGTCGACGGCCTGCTATTTACTGTATGTTCCGCCCCAAGCTTGCCAGACGATCATCCTGACCGAGCACGCCCCACAAGTCGCTCACGACGTGCCTCACGTACCTCCACAACCCAGAAACGCCCAGCCTGATCCGAGCCGCCGTCCCGGCTGCGGTCTCGCTTGTCCTCCTCACTGCGCCCGCAGGCTCCGAAAAGCGATTCAACCAGCTGTGCGAGATCCTCGGCGAGGGCATCATCGGCAGCATCTGGGTTTATGCGACGCGCGAGTCCGAGGCCATCGAGGCGTCGGTCGACACGCTCCCGACGGTCGTGCGGGCGCTGGACGTCGGTGCCGTGCGTTATCTAAAGGTACGCTCCCCTTCCGAGGATTCACCAGGCGCTGATCGTCGGTTCCTCCGATGGTGCCTCCGGTAATTGAATAGGCTCTCGTTCCGCAACTGGTCTTCCCTCTGCAACCGGCCTCCGGAAACGTGGCTACAAAACGGTTTCAGCTAAGCTCGCTCCACGCACTAGCGGCAGTGATCGAAGTGTGCGCGCCCAGGATCCACCGGTGGAAAGGAGCCATCTTGGATGGAGTGCTACGCCTTTGGGTCACGCTCGCTGATACTGGTGTCGATGATGATGGTCAGTCTGTGTTCTATGTTTCAGTTTCATCGTGGACACTGTGCTGATCCCGGCGTTCTGTCGTCAGACACAAGAGAACTGAAGCACGCGTGCATGGGTGTGTGCGACTGCCTACTAAAGGCATGCCCTGCAGTGGCCAATGTGAGCTTATTTCGTGCTTCGGGTAGCTGTGTTTCCTGTTGCTCACACGCATATGTAGCTGGAATACGCTCGGCTGTTAGATGTGGATAAGATGATGTTCGGACCGCTCGTGAGACAATCAGGCAAAGGTGACTGATGTGATATCGACCTGAGCCACATCCAGCGCGATGGCGATAGATGGCTTGGATACACCGTCGCACCAAGAAGTACGACTGAATGCGAGAACGTTTTGAGCAGATCGTTGACGTCGATGAGCAAACAGCCCTTTGTCCGGTCAGTGGGTGGGTCTGGCATGGCAAGGCATGCTAACAACGGTCGTGTACTCTAATTTCGGCAAGACGGTCTCATGTCATGACCTGTCCTCGGCCTCAGTTATCTTTACGAAGACATATACTTACCATAAGGAAAGATATCCGCTTAATTTGCCATTAGCTGTAGCCGTTTCAGTGTGGCGTGTTGTTGTCCCAGTCTTTGTTCCGCTTCAAGACTCAGAGACACAGCTTGAAACAACTTTAGTGCTAACGCTCTAACGATGGGCGCCCAAAATGCATCTGCCATTAACTGCCATTAGAAGAACACAACGAATGCTTGCTGACATGTTAGGCACGGCTGTTACAGCTGAGGGACATGGGATATCGGCAACTTCCTGACAGTGCTTGTCAACCCGGACCTGCACTTACAATATCTATCGCATTCCCGAACTTTCCGTTGTATACACGAGTCGAGGTGTGTCTAGAACACTGTGTGGGACGCGATCCTGGCAAATTAGCACACCAAGTCAAACCCTGTATTAGAAGTCAAGAAGCTATGAACTGGCCAGGCCTGTCTATCTGATAGCGCGTGTGTTGACTGGTTTCCAACACGCTCGCAGTGACGATCATCCCAGAATGTGTGTCTCGCATGTCTTGTCTCAGAGTTCTGTTACCACGGCGCTACGCCCTAATGACAGACCGAATCATGAAGGCCGATATGTCAGCACAGACGAGCTATGTCGACCGACTTGTGCTTCTTGCCTGTTTGGCCAGGGACGACCGTGCAAGCATGTGTGCCATAAACAGGAACAGTTACGCACCATAACCCCGATCTCCACACGCCTCCCCGGAATCAACAACGGAAGTTCTCCGCGTTCATTTCACGGCTTTCCCCGTGGCTATCGTACCTGAACGAGGCTAACCTTTACCTGCCAAATGAGGCCTTCTTGCGGCGTCATGCTAGGGCTCTCGGAACGGGCTTGCTCAGCCCGTGTCATACTGCGCACTGGATAACCGTGCATGTGCGCCGGCTGCGCATGCGGAAACGCCGTGCATCGCGCGCACCAAGTCTCGCCGGTTCATGAGGGCCGTATGACATCTAGGCGTTGCCGAGACATGCTCGAGGAGTGGGTTACGAGAGTATGGAGCGGACATGAACCGATGACGGTGCACTTGCACGGGGTAGCTTGCGGACGCACAAAAGCGCCCACTGCCCCGCGGAGGACGGGGACAGCCGCCGGCACATCTCGGGTGGATGTTGCCTGATCGGGGTGGCTAGTTTCGGCGGGTCCGATGCCGGCCCGCGGGGCGCCAATACGAATGATCCCCAGACGCAGAGTCTATGAAGTCTGCACTGCAAGGCAGTCCTAGCTTCCTCCCCCGCGTTTTCCCGCTTTCCTCACCATCGACCATGAGCATCTCCGTCGACGACCTCGTTGCCTCGCTCAGCTCTAACCACATCGGCCAGGAGGCCATGGACATAGCGGATCTCCATGTAAGCATTGCGGCGGTGTCTCGTCCTCCGTCGTGTTCCTCACCGGGATTGCCATGTAGGCGCAACTGGCCCAAGCTCTGCGCTCGCCAAGCATGCAACCTGTGCAGCGGCGTGGATACGCCCCGTCAAACACTCCGTTAGCCCGAACACCATCTTCGAGCTTCAGCTGGGAGTCAAGCGATTTTACTCGCGCCCGGAGCTCTAGTGTGGCGAGCGTAACACAACGTTGGAACACCGAGGAGCGGTTGCCGGACATCGACGACATGGACGAGGATGAGAAAATGGTAGAAGACATGCTCTTTTCGTCCCCCACGTCGTCCCACTTTCCCCAGTCCGCCCAAAACCAGCCCTCCTTGCCGTCGGGCCCGTCCGGCGGTGTTTCGCGGAAACCAAGCATTCCACATGTCTCCAGCTCTTACGACACTGCACAATACGCCCAATACGATATGCCGCCGCCGAACATGTCCCTCTTCGCCACGACGGACCCATTCTTCATGGCACAGCTGCAGGCTGCGCAGAACCCGGCGCCCTCGTTCTTCGCCCAGTCGGGGCATCCCCCGGCGCACTCACCCTTCCTCTTGGCCTCGCAGCTCCAATCAGCATATGGGCATGCCCATAATCACCATGGCGTTACCTCCGAGATAGACCCGCACCATGTGTTCGCGGCGCCACCAGCGACTTTCTCGTGCTGAAGGAAAGGAGTAACTCTGACACCATCGAGAAAGCTCTTCTCGTCCTGCAGTTTCTGAGCCTCCCCCTCTGCCATTCCTACCATACTCTAGATTCCCTTACGGCACCATTTTGATGCCTATGCCTACCCGGCCCCGGTGCACCGGGCCTCGCTTGTTTCTGGCAAAACATCGGCATCCGTGCTACGGCCTGTCGACCCCCGGTGCATCGATCGCCACAGATGCTCACCTCCGCCTGCTGCCTCGCGACAGATCGCGTTCGCTTGGCATGGACGGGATGCGGACCGAAATCTATATGCCATATTCCTATTTATCTCCACCCCTTCTCCGTGCTTCACTGTCTTGCTAGTTACTGATGCGACAAACCCCACTTTCTGACTGCTCTGTGTTCTCTCCTCTCTTTTATTTGACCCTTCAGGATCTTGCAAGTGTAGCGCGTTGTCATGTAATAGGTTGTTGCGTGCAAACCAGGGTAGTGTAATGTGTACAATTCTCTGATGTACTTTGACAATTACGAGTCTAAAATTATAGGCACTTTGAAATCTTCATTTCCAATGACCGGCATACTGAGCGGGCGCGTCCTTGCAGGTGCGTAAATCACTGCTCGTCTCAGGGGAACTCGTCAGATTCCCATACCTTTGTCCGCCCTGTTCCGAATTCACAATCACGTTCTGCAGCGTTCTAGACGGGCTCGAGTAAAGCTGGGCTCAAGACATCTGATAGTCACAGGACGGGACATCTCAGGACTCGCGTAAAAGCCATGATCATGGCTGATACATTGTTCGACGGCATTGTCTGGATTGGATACGCGGCAACCTGTAATTTCGTTGATGAGGATATGTTTAGCGGGCAACGGTCCTGTCGCTCGCTGCTTTCGCCTTCTCGTTGCGGCGAGTTCCGTGAGTTGCCGTTCGAATTATCTGTCACTGCCGTCCGTTTATACTCAACCCGACGACCGGTGCACTCTAAGTACTGCGAATATATAAAGCACGTATATATGCACGGCAAAACATTCGGCGTTCGACCCGACATATTGCAATGTGGCTTTATAAGACTTGGGGATAGAGAAACCTTCAAAGTGCGAGTTGCTTGATCGCTTTTGCTAATCGATTTAGGTACGACTGTGTAACATATTATAGCCCCGAGAGTATGCGCTTGTAGGTCCAGGCCGGCGTTCTAGGCGGTTATCAGATACTCGTCCGGCAAAGGCTGCTGCCTATCGCCCAGCGCCTCAAGGCCTCAAGGCGAACGTTCATCGTTCGCCGCTATCGCGGGGCGGGCGTTGTATCTGCTCTCCCACTTGACTCTGCTCCTTGCGCTGCGCCAGAATGTCTGTGACTGTATTTTTGTCTGAGCATGGGCGGGCGCTCGCCGCGAGCGCACTGGTCGCCGTGCTGGCGCTGCTGATCCGCAGACTACGATCGGCGAAGCGTGCACACGCTGGATCGAATTTGAATCGATCGACCAATTTCAAGTTGGGCGCGGTGACGGCGGCGTCCGCCTCAGGTGCACGCGACGCACAACGGGAACCAGGAGGTATGTGTGCACTCAGCCGCACGCTCTGCGAAAGGAGCTCAATAGTAGAGGGCGTCCCGTGCCGATAGAATGGATCCCAGTACAGTTCGACTACCCGCGCGTCGAGCCAGAGACTGCCGACATTAGCACAGTGAAGCCCATCCCTTATCGCCCGTTCCGATGGGGAGAATATCAGTGCGTCTGCTATGGACAGCGTGTACACCGCGCACGTCCACTGACCTCGCCGTAGCGTCACCATGGGCATCCGGAGCATGCCCTCTAACGAGTGGATCGAGGTATGCTATACATACATGACATGCTCTACCTCTACCCGCCCGTTCTGTCGGTTAATGGACATCGTAGATCGACCAGCAGTTCTTCGACTACCACAAGATCGTCGGGTATCGCATCAAGACACGCGGAGACCGCGCTGTCAAGATCAATGACGCACAGCCGGGGATCGTCGGCTCTGGACATGCTGCAGGTAGCGTTGCGTCCCTTTCACCTCCCTCCTCTTCTGTCTCCTTCAGCCTCGAGTCCTGATCATGTCGTGCTGCCTCAGCCCAGGAATTCGTGCATGAGCTCGCCGAGTACCTCTCGCAGCGGTATCCAGCGCTTTACCAGGCCGTGCGCAAGGAAAAGGACACGTCTGGGTGGTATGGTCAGGGTGAAATCAAGACAATCACGATCATCCCCCTGCAAGAGACGTACGACCTCGACGAGCAGGACCCGTTGATCGTCGCGTCGCTATTGTGTGTGTTCTCCTAATTGACAGTGGGCGCGATTTGATGACTGTCGCGGCACAGAACTCAGGAAGACTACACGATCATGATTGAGGGAACCGACGGCAGGTACTACCTGCAGGCCGGTGCGATCTGCATTCCAGGTACGCAGCTCGGACCGCAAGTCCATGGCGCAGGTACCCGTCTCATGCTGTCGCCGTCTACCTTCTGCCCGACCAGGATTCTGGCGCCTCGAAGACAAGCTCGGCATGCCGCTCGATGAAATCCACCTCACCGGCAACGTGCCCCACTGTGCGCCCCTCCCTTTCCGCCCCCCTCCACATCTGACACCCTGCAGACCAGAGCAAGCTCCACCTCAGCATGGGCCGCTTCTTCCGGCGGCTTCCCGTCGACAAGCCCGTCGTGCGCAACAACTACAGCTTCCAGGTCGTCCGCCCGCCGGCGCCCGCCGCAGACACAGACACAGGCGCAGACGCGCTCGCGGCTGTCGACCCGACCGAGCTCGCGTGGTCGCGCACGATGCACGGCTCTGAAGACGGCGCCGCCTTCGAGCGCAGCGCGGTCATCCGCGGAACACTCGCGCCGTCGAACCAGCTCGCGCACGCACACGTGAGCCCCGAAGGCAAGGACGAGAAGCGGGAACGGACCAAGGCGCCGTTGGACCCACAAACGGTGTACCTGCGCACGGAGCGCCAGACGCTGCGCCGCCTGCCGCGCACGGGCGGGATCGTGTTCACGATCCGCGTGTACCAGACGCCGGTCGCGCAGCTTGCGCAAGAGCCGGGCGTGCCCGGACGCCTCGCGAGCTCGGTGCGCGGATGGTCGGAGGAGGTTGCGCAGTGCGTCGCGTCCCGGTCCTTGTGGCATCTGAGTGTGAGTGCTGATCGTTGATTGCGGGGTACGTGTGCAGGTACAAGGACCTCTTCGCGTACGAGGACATCCTCGAATATCTAGACAAGTGCCATGCGGAGCAGGCGCAGACAGGACTTGTCAAGCTGGATGAACAGACATCTGCGTATCCGATGTGATGCTGCCATCCTCTCAGCTGAGCTTCGACCGCTACGATAGGTCTGCATTGCCCACACGCGTTGGCTGTGCAATACCACAGACATGTGACAGGCGGAGGGGGGGGGGGGATGTAAAGTAGGAGTGATGAGATACAATACGTTCAATTGAGGCTGTCAGACATGCCACGAGGGCTAGCCAGAATAGACTAGTAGAAACAAAGAAGTGCGTGGCTGCGATGATCTGACTCTTCGATGTATGCGTGTCGGAACATCGTCGACAACGCAAGTCCATTTGAAATGGAGTTGGACCAAACCAAAAGACAACATGCGCGACGTTCAGGCCGTTCGCCTACATTGCCCTACGAAAAGACGACGACATGACGGCAAAAGATTCACCAAGTGCGGGAGACACATGGTTCGTCCGTCCACACTGGCCGCACGCAGGGTGGAAGTCCGGATGAAAGGGAAAATCTGGGTTGCTCTGCCAGGCCGCTGCCCGATAAGGACAAAGAGCGGTCTGAACTTCACTGCCGTCCCTGGCGATTGGATTGTGGCCGCGCGCACAGAGTATACAGGAGCAGAAGCGACGTGCTGGAAAAGGGCGCGTGGCTCGTTCACGGCATCAAGAGCCACGCCCCAGCGGCTTCGCGGCCTACGCGTGGGGCATGCGGGTAGAGTCGTAGACAGTCATCCGCGCCAGCGGCGAGCATCCCGTTCCCCAGCGAACAGGCGTGCTGTGCCGGCGCAGTCTTTGGGTGCGCGCAGGTGTTTGTCGTCTCACAAAGACCGGTCTGGGGGCCTGTCAGGCGTCGAGCGAGCGATTGGGTGCGCTCCTGCGACGCCAAGCGTAGGCGAAGGAAGATGCAGATTTGCAGTGGCAGTCAGGGCCGCGGGGGGCCGCACCTCGTACGCACCAGCCCTGCGAAATACACAACACTGAGCACCGCGCGTCCTTCGCATCGCCTCCACGACGGACACGCGCGGCCGTCAAAGTGCGATATTGCGCTGGTGCACGGGCTTCCGGGCGAAACACACCCTCGTCGGGACGCCCGCGCGCCTCGCCAGCGAAGCCCCGGTGTCGGCGGCAGCATACCCAGCACCAGCCCCTCGATTCGATCCGAACAGCGCGTGCGGCCGCGTGCCGCGTGCCGCGTGCTGCACCTGCCGTGCCCGGACCAGTGGCAAAACGGCGCTCGTCGTCCGACACCGTCCGCACGCATGTCCGCATTCCAGATCCCAATTCCGACGTTCGACGTTCGACGTTCGACGTTCGACGTTCGACGTTCCAACGCCCGACCCTGGCTGCGAGATTTATGCCTGCCTAGTACGTATGCACTTGCGGCCGCGCCTCCAGGCGGATCTATACATAACCTGTCCACGTCAGTACCCGGTTTCGACAGCGACCGGTCGCCGATGGCGCAAGGGTTGCACGCTGGCGCCGGCCGTGCGTCATCGATGTCGGCACGACGGTGTGCGCCTGTCGGCGCCATATGCGCGCGCGAGCCTCCAGGTGAGCCTTATCACGGTTCACGCATCGCCCCGCCCCGCTCGCCCCTCCCCCCACGCGTACGCGCACGACGTCATCGCCAGCGCGCCAAAGTCTCTTTTCTCACCCCATCCCCATCCCAGGAGAGACGTCGCGCGCGCCCGCACGGCGAACGCGCCGACACAGCTTGCCCATCTCCGACAGTCCCGGACGCACGCGTGCGTGCGACGATGCTCCGATCTTGGTTTGTCTCTTGTTCGCTGTTTGGAGGAGACCCGCGCGCGCGCGGCGATGCGACAGCGGCCAGCGCGTGCAAGGCGGCAAGGCGGCAAGGCGGTGCGCTTCTCGGCGTGGCGGGAGCCGAGGATGACGGCACGATCGTCGCCGCGGGCGGCTCTGCCTGCCTACCCTGGGCGGGCGCTGGGGGATCGGGGTCAGCGAGGTGGCGCCGGATCTTCAGGGCCTTATTGATTCGGGCTTCTGCGCTCCTCGGTTCGAGGCTCGGCGCGGCGAGGCGGGCAGCGGAGCACCGGGGGGGAGGGGGGGCGCGGGCGGGGGGGTCGTCTGGAGTGGAATCAAGGGCCTGAGCAGTGCGAGGGGAGAGCCGGGGACGGGCAGACGCTGCGCGCAACAAGCCCCGTATTACAGTACGGACCGGGCTGTCTGGTGGTCCAGTCTTGGGCGCGACCGCCCTCGACGGCAGCACGCCGCACTTACCTGCGCTGGCGCACACCGGCCGACCAACGGGGACACGCGAGTGCCTGCCTGCGTCCTCGGTGCCTGTGCCGGGCGACCGGGTCCGCCCACAAAGGGTGTCTGCGGGGAAGGCAGCGCAGAGATGCGGAGGAAGGTCAAGATAGCGCGGTGCTTCCATCCACGGTGCAAGTATCGGTCCAGAATCCAGATGTGCGAGCCGCGATTCGGATTGGCACAGCGGGAGGTCCGGGGGAGCGTTGGATGCTGGATACTGCCCCGGGCACGCGTGTGGAGCGCTGTCAACGTCAAGCTCAGGCGCATCCTCGCGCTCGGCTGCCGCGATAAGTAGCACGGATAGCGGGGCGCGCATTCGAATCGCGAATATTGTGGCGTGTCTGGACCGCGTCCGCTTTGGGTGCTTGCCCGTCCCCCCGTTGCGCACCGGGGCATGCGTGCAGCCATTTCTGTCGCCAGGCACCGCAGCGGATATTGGACAGAACTGTAGACTCCGGACAGCCCCGTCTCGTCTCGCGTCTTTGGACTGAATGGGCGGCGGCGAAGCCATGGTTACGGCGCGCGTCGCGGTTCCAGCGTCCGTTCTGACCGGGGGCTGTCGCGGGGTTCTGGCTCCACTCTTCACTTGAGCGTATTACGCCGTGCTCATGGGCATATCGATGGCAGCGGGGCCGATAGCGAGGACAGGTCCGGGCAGGCAGGATCCTGGGCGGAGGCGTGTGTGGTGCGTCGGATAAGCGTAGGAGAAGGGACGCAGGGATAGGACAGGGACGGGTATGGGCGACACTGGCGGGGACGAGCGCAGTATCTGTGATGTGTGGGGCCTCGAGGAGGGCAGAGATAGACGGTGTGCGGTGCCGGCGGGCGCAGGTGCGCGGCGCCATGCAGGATCGGGGATGGGTTCTCACGAGAAGACGGGCATGAGGCGAGGAGATCGCAGACGCAATGTGGGGGGAACTGCGATTAGTGCGGTGGTGAGCGTGGGGGCGGTGATATGAAGGTGGGGAATGCGGGGGACTATTGGGTGCGAGGGTGGTGCGGGCTGATTGGACGCGAGGGTGGTGCGGGCTGCTTGGGATCTTAGGCAAAGAGGAAACTCGCAGGGTGTTGTTCTCCGCGCCGGATAGACCTGCAGAAAATGAAGTACAGTGCGTGCATAATCTGTGAAATGGACGAGACGCATGCGAGGCTTTCCGCCCACCATATCCGCACCGCGGATCTGGGTACGAGAAGCAAGCGAGGGAGAAGCCTTTGTGCGTGCGCATTCGCAGGCCTGCTGGTATGACGTGCGGGAGCGCATGAGATATGAGGATGAATACGAGAGTGCGCACAGAAAGTATGCAGGCAGACACGGGGTTCGAAAGAGAAGGGATTGGTACGGCGAAGGTATTGATGCCAGATTGACGGTGCGATAGAGGTATGCAGGGAACCGGGATGGGCGGACGATAGGGCAGAGTGCGTATCAGAATGAAGTGGATTGATGGGGGCGTTGGCGGACAGAAGGAATGCAAGATACACGGCGAGATGGGAGAACACGTTTGTGAAGGGACGATAAGTGAGAAGGGCGAACGTGTCTGATGGTGGTAGATGGCAGCCGGAGCTAATACTTGTGGCCTGCTTAGCACTTGCTAGTCGGGGACAGACGCGCGATGGCGTACTGACGGTGGCGCGTGCAGGACCGGACACGGCCGGGCGCAGTGATGGCCGCTAACGCCGGGGCGGGTGGCTGGCAGGGCAGCACCACTGGTGCGTGCGTGCGTGCATCATCGAATGGCCCTCTCCATCCTTTCACCCTCTTCCTTCCCTCTAGTTCTTGCCCTGGCCTCGCGTGTCCCTCTGCCGACGCCCGCCGATGCCCAAGCCGACTCTGCTGCAGACCCTGCTCGGCCGCCCGTCGCAGTCGTATGCGCTTCCGCCCCCGAAGGACTATCACTCGGCAAAGAATGACCTCATCCGCGCCGCGACGACACCAGACGACGTCCCACAGCACACCGCGCCCTCGCCACCGGCCGCCCGCGCACTCCATCCCCCACGCCCGCCGCCTACTTTCACGCTCGCTCCCACACCGCCTGCTTCCTATTCTCCCTCTCCCTCTCATCTCGCCCCGCCGCACGCTCGCCGGCCCCGCCTGTCCCGCACGCACGCTGCTGCGTACACTGCGCCAGACGAACGTGTGCCCGGACGTGACGCACAGGTGAGTGCTAGTGCTAGCGCGGCCACCCCCCGACAGCTGCTTATCACGCCCTTTTTATTCTATTATCGTCTTACCGATCTTCCCTCGTCGCCATGTAGCTTCTGCGTCCTAGCCGATCCCTTATCCGCCAGATCGCCTCTCCCAGATCTCCTTCCCCTTCGCACACCTTCAACAACTCTCTCGTCCCCCCAGCATACTTAAGCCCCATCCCGCACCCCTCCCCGCCCCCGTGCGCTCCCGTCATCGTCGTCGTCGACCCTCCCTTCCCGCCGCCCTCCCCCGGCACCCCCGACAGCGCCGACGACGTCTTCTACACCCCCCGCTCCTCCCTCTTCCCCGACGTCCCAGACACCATGCTCCTCGAACCCCAGGCTCTCGCCACCGCCCTCCTCCCCATCCACGGCCGCACCTCTCTCAAGGCCGCCCTCGCGCCCCCGGAGCTCTCTCGTGGTTTCACCCCGTCTCCCACCCCCGAGCAGGACCCTCGTACCGACGGAGCCGTCACCCCCGGTCCTCCATCACGCTCATCCTCAGAGACCGAGCCCCACTCGGCGTCCGTCTCCCGGACGCCCTCCGGCTCCTCGCTCTCCTCTTGTGCGTCCGCTGGCTCTACATCTCTCTTCGATGCCGCTGCCCCCTCCGTGCTCTCCGCCGACACTCGGGTCACGACACCCGCCGTCTCAGACGCGCCACCCAAGTCTGACGATAGCGAGCACGAGCATGAGATGATCACCATTGTTCCCATCCCACAGGCTCGTCGCCCCCGACCCCGCAGCATTGACCTGTCCTCCAGCTCACTCGCCCCTCGCCCCGTGCGCCGCCACTCACAGCCTGTGCCCGCGCGCTCCGACGAGGACTGGGCCCGTGACGTCCGCTGGCTCGTTCCCCCGCCCGCGTCGCCTGTCCGACCACCACCGTCGCCACACCACGCTGCCCCGCCACACACACCGTCGCCCCGCCGGCGCTCGCGCCCACTACACCCCGACCTCCTCCCCCCGCCCGGTCCCGCGCTCGTGATTCCCGCGCCACACCAGCTCGAGCGGCACTCATTCCCGGACGTGCCCGTTGTACCCCAGCGCCCGCGTACGGGAAGCAAAGCGCGTCGCCCGCACTCGCATCGCCATTCGCGCGGGCGCATGAGCGCGTTATGGGAGGAGGATGAGAGCGAGTGCTCCACAGACGTCGGCGCGAGCAGCGCCGAGGTGAGCCGCGCAAGCACACCTGCGCCCGTCGCGGCCGCCGAGGGCTACCTCAGTGTCCATCCTGGTTATGGGTACGAGGGCCGGAGCGCGACGCCCCCGCCGGGCTGGCCGTATACGGCCGGCCCTGGTGCTGGAGTAGGAGCGGGCGGAAGCCCTACCCGCCGCTTCATGCCGCACGCGATGCACCGCCGCGCCTCGATGTCCGAGTCGGAGCTGCTCCAGCACCTGCAAGTGCAAGGAGACACGCCCCCGCCCTCGCCGGGCGCGTCGCCCGACAGCAAGCTGCGCGACTACGCGCGCCAGCACGCACAGCAACACCATCGCGCCATGTCCACACCTCTCTCCTCGCCCTCCGCGCCGACGACATCGCCCGCGCGCCCCGCGTCCACTACAGGCCACGGGCTCTCCGCGAGTCTGCCTACGCACGCACTGCCTGCGCCTGCATTCGCCGGCTCCGCGAGCGCGGGATACACGGGCCTGACGCTCCCGCACGCGAGCTACACCCCAAAACACGGCCGGCCGCAGCGCGACGGGCACGTCGACCTCGTGCGCGCGGGCCGCGCGCAGAGCAGCATGGCGACGGTCGAGGTCGTGCGCGGGGCGGCCGCCTCGCTGCCCGCGGGCTCGCCGCTCACGCGCACGCGCACGCGGCTCTCGCGCGGGTTTTCGCTGAGCATCAGCCGCGGGAAGGGCAAGGGCGCGCGGCGCCGGAGCCACAGCCGCGAGCCGGAGCGCGAGCGCGAGCGGGAGAAGGGCAAGGAGCGCGCGCGGGACGGCGCGACGCCGGCGCACCTGCGCGGGGCGCTGCCGCTGCCGGTCGTGTTCACGGCGCACGTGCCGCCGCCGGCGTTCGTGCCGGGCTCGCACGTGCTCGTGCAGGTGTTCGCGGTGGGCGTGGACGCGCTGGACTCGCTCGTCGTGCAGGAGAAGGCGGAGCGCCGGGGCGGCGCGGGCGCGGGGAAGCGCCGCGGGTTCGTGCCCGGCCGCAGCTTCGTGGGGCGCGCGGTGGAGTGCGGGTTCGAGGTGAGCCGCGACGTGTGCCGCAAGGGCGACTGGGTCCTCGGGCTGCTGGACGTGCGCAAGGTGAGCCGCGGTCGTCTGCTGGGGGCGTAAACATAACTGACTGACGGTGTGGTCTAGTGCGGCGCGCTCGCAGAGTTTGTCCTCGTCGAGCGCCACCGGGTGGTCCGCTCGCCGCAGCCGCGCGCACGGTCGTCGTACCTCCGTCCCCCCGCGCCGCAGCACACACGGCCACACGCGGACGCTGTCCCTCC